CCCCCACGGCTTTAACGTCTCATCGCAGTCATCCTCCTCAGATGTTCAGACGCAAACTGACCTTTGTGTGAACAAGACACCGTCATCTTGCCCTCTCCTGACCCTCGATGACCAGCCCCAAGATCTGACCAACATCCTCTCCTGAATTACCACATGATGGGGGACTCAGTCAAGAATGAAACCTGGTGGTCGACGATTGAGGAGACACCAGTGAATATTGAGAAGCTTCTTCTGCTATGCCACAACCAGGGACAATTGGAGAAAGAAAGCTACATTGTCGACTGTCTCACGCCCGCTCAAATCGACGCAAAATCCAGATGTGCAAACTGTAATGGTGAGGATTTGCCAATAACAAGAACGTCAAAATGTCAACTCAGTCTCTGACTCGCTGGCAGCTCGAGTCAAGCGTCGACCTAGGGCGTCCACTCCACTGAACCACATCACGCTCAACGCGACCGACCGCAATGAAGAAGATCATGGAAAGATTGATACGCCAGGAAGCAAGGACATCCAGAAACGAGGAAAACCGCGCACAGAATCAACTGCACAGGATTTAAAATCTGCCGCCACGCCGCCTCGCCCCAAATGCAGGTACCACACGGGCAGAGTGAGGTACAAGGTGCTTGCAGAAGCCCCTTTACCCTCCCTTCCCAGACGCTGACGGCCTCGCAGATCTTCTCTTGCTGTCGCAAACATGTCTCCCAGCCTGGCTGCGTTATCGAACAAGAACATACTCTACCTCCTTTCAATGACCCGAAAGCCCGCTAGTACTGGCAGTATCATCCAACCCCAGACTACCCTGCTCAGGGTCAGTCTACCTCACCACTGCAGCGCCGACGGCGTGGCAAGAAGGCGAAGCAACAGAACCAGCAAAAGCGACAAAATGGCCCTGCTCCCGAGACTCAGCCTCCTCAGACCCCGGTCAATGCTATCGCCTTGGATTGCGAGATGGGTGTTTCGATCACCGGTGAAACTGAACTGATCCGCCTCTCCGCGGTCGATTTCTTCACGGGATCAGTCCTTCTCGACAACCTCGTCCAGCCCTCTGTACCCATGTTGCACTACAACACCAGATACTCGGGGGTTAGTTGGACGGACATGCAAGTGGCCGTTCAGAACGGTACCTGCATCCATGGGCGAGACATGGCTCGTGAAATGTTGTGGAAGCACATCCGGCCGTGGACGATTGTCGTGGTTCATGGAGGGCGCAACGACTTTGAAGCGCTCAGATGGATCCACACACGGGTCATTGACTCTTTCATTCTCGAGTCTTATACGGGTATAGAAACCGAGGGAGGCAGGTCGTTGCAAAACTTGTGCAAGCTGAAGCTGGGTATTGCTGTGCAGCAGAAGGATGTCCGCAAGGGCCATGACAGCCTCGAAGACGCCATGGCATGTCGGGAGTTGGTCATCGACTGGATGAAGAAGATTCCAGACGCTTAAGTCGGGCAGCGTACATGGCCGAAGTTCTCGTCGATTGAGCTGAACGGAGAGCAAGAGCGTCGAGGAGCTGAACGTGTCGACAAGGCGAGGATGGTGCTGTCACGCGTTCTCACTAAACCGCCATGACGAACTATGAGCTGCATGATTGCTACGCTCCAATCCGATACACTTGTATGGTCATTCTTGCTTGACGTAGCCCACAAAAGATTGGGAAGGGAGGGAACTGATTACCTGGAACTTCTTGCCTCGCGGTGATTCACAAACAATTTCGGGGGATGGAAAATGTAGCTCGAACAGCGAGTCATCCCAAAGTAGACCGCAGTTCCCAGTTCGCAGCCAGGGATGTGTTAGAAAGCCGTGATACCGAGCTGAAACTAGTGCATTCCGATTCATAATGGACTGTAGGTTCCTTTATCAATTTCTCGTCATGTCCTGCATTCCTAGGATCGTAAGTCTTTGACCACCTGCCCATTGTCGCCGCCGCACTCATGCCCTCCTCTTCACAAAGGCAGGCAATTCTTGACACTTCAAATGGAAACCTTCGCGTATATGCGAGTCCTTCTCCGGGTAGACGAGCCTGTACTCGAAAAGCCGGAACAAAGTGGCCACCGTCTTTTTGAGTTCCATATAAGCAACCTGGACGTGCCACACTTGTTAGCGAAACTTACTCACCTCGAAGAACTTGACATCCGCTCTTACGCGAAGCAGGAAGGTCGAAGGTCAGGGAGGGGCCAGAAAACTCACATTCCGCCCAATACATGCCCTGGGCCCATACGAGAAGCCCAGAAAAGCTTTCTCCAACTCGCCACTGCCCTGCCGAGTCCACCTTTCAGGCTTGAATTCCAACGCGTCCGGTCCCCAGACACGCGTGTCCCTGTGTGTCGTGTATGTCGGCGTCGACAGGACCGTGCCAGCCTCAAAGAAGCGTCCGCACACCATGGCGCCGCCCTTGGGCACGACGCGGGGTAGGCCGACGGACACAGTCGTCCTGAGGCGCAAGGTCTCGTTGATCACGCCCTGGGTAAAGGGTAGGTCTTTGCAATCTTCGAACATGGCCACGAAGCCAGGCTCGACCGGGTCGGGATACGCGGCGTCGAGCTCTTGTTGGAGGGTTTTCAGCGCGGCAGGATTACGGCACAGCATATCAACCATGTGCGTGATGGTGTTTCCTGTGGTGTCGGAGCCGGCGATAAGCTGGGTGAGCGCTTCAGCTTTGATTTCGAGGTCGGGCAGGTCGCCGCCGGTGTCCGGGTCCCTGGCGGAGAGGAGGTAGTAGAGGATATCGCGGCGAGAGGAGTCGCGGGAGGCAAGCTTGCGCTTTTCGACCTTCGCAATTCCGATGGCTGCCAGGTCCTTGGTCGCTTGCAGGCCTTTGGTGAAGAAGCTGTCGAAGAAGAAGTATGGTGTCCATGCTGCGCGGAAGTACATTAGTACCGTAATTCTTCAAAATACAGGTCCAGGGAAAGAGGGTGTGAGGAAACGACGAGGAAGGGGACAAGGAGTCAAGACGGACTTTTTATCCAAGGCATCTGGCCGATCGTAGCGCACCATTCCCCTCGATCGCGAAGCTTCTTGATACCGCCGTTGGTGTCCTGCCCGAGGGCAGTGAAACCAAATGGTTCTCCGAAAGCCTTGGACAATATCAGTGCTCTGCACAGCAGTGGAGGTCGTCTACGGGTAGGAGAACATACCAAATCACCGATGATATCGAATGCAAGGAAAGCTGACCATTGAGCAACGTCGATAGCAGCTTCGCCTTTGCCTTGACGCGCTCTGATCTCCGGATCGACTGCCCCCAAAGCAGTGTAGCGACCAGCGCGGCCTGTGTCAATCAAAGAGTTCATCTGCTGGGCAAACGTTCCGATGGCACTGGTCATGTATGGTTCGAAGCCCACCATGGCCTTGGGGCTGAACATGTGCGAGACGTATTTCCGCTTCCGGCTGTGTGCGGCTCGGTCCCGGGTCGTGAAGATGCCGGACTGGATGTTGTCAAAGGCATAGTAGAACTCTGATTTTGTGAAACCGTTGCCGTGGCCCATGACATCCTATTGACATGCTTGCGTCAGTTCACCGCCTGAATTGGTTGAGGAGCAAACGTGGATGGCACGTCATTGATACTGTGGATGGGAAAACGTACCCTGATGCTGTCCGGATGGGAGATGCTGACATGATCTGGTGCCAGTCTCACGAAATCTCCGTATTTGTTGTGAAGGTCATGCGTGACCCACGATAGCTGATGCTGTCTTTGACCACCAGTCAGGTTTCGCCGGCTTCAATGTGTTGGTCATCGCTGTGACCTACCTCGCCCAGTAAAGACTCCAGAGGTTGGAGAATTTGGCTACTAATGGCCCAGGAATGTCATTCATCTTGCCCTTGTTGGATACATATGGGATGATATAGTATGCCTGTTGGCCTGGTTAGCCTCTCCTTTATATCGCTGGAGGGTGTTGTGGTTTACTGCAAAGGTTATTGCACTGAGAGTCAAGACATACAGCACCGCTCGAGAAGCGGTGCTCCATGCTTCTGGCGTCGACATTGGTTGGAACATTGTTGAAGTCAGGCTCCAGTTGATGGTGCTCTCGAGCTCGGTAGCGGGCCCTGTACTTGTATTCGACTGAAAGGCTACTGCAGGGAATTGGCCATATATGTATGAGCGGTCGATCAATGCACTTCCTGAAGACGTCGTCGATCTGTGGTGTGGAAGAGATCGTACATGTCTCATGGGCGGTAGAAATCAGCTGCTGTTCGTGATCTGGACTTGATGCTGTGTCTGGTAGCGTCTACAAGATAAGGCTTTCACTGCTCTTACTGGATAGCTCGGGCTCAGAGAGCCGTTTCCCGGATATCAAGTGCCATCGTCCATTGGATGACTCGGGAGAGGACAATAAGCCCCGAACTCGGGCTGTTTATTGGCCCAGTAGTCAGAGTGATCAGAAGGCGTAGCATGGGCATCTCCGTCCCCATTCTTTCTTTGAGATACCCATCCTTGCAAGCAACCCCGGATTCTTGGTGGGCACTCAGCACTTTATGATGAGCTAAGCAAGGCTCGACTGGTCTCAAAAATAGGGCTTCCTGCTGCCGGCATATAAACATAGCTGCCGAGTCCCAAGCATGGCAGGATGTCAGATTAGCGAAGCCAAAGGGTGTTCAGTCGCCGAATGATCTTGCACCAACTGTTCTGTAAGCTACTCCGTACAGCGATCGCAGTCGAGTTTCGTCAGGAGCATATGGTGAATGTACAGCCCGCCAGAAATGCTTCCATGCAGGCATCAATTGGTGAACTTTCTTGTACGACAGACCACGCAGCATTCGACAATCTGCCTGGTACTCCGTACATCCACGTCGCTTTGACGAACAGAGCCGGACAAGCGCGTCAGAGGTTGTCGGTTTTGTCCGAAACGGTTACTTATCTGACGGGGACCGTCCATGCCGCTCCGACAGGTATATGTCGAATATGGACCGCTAGAAAGGGGAATGACCAAATATCAAGGTGGGTGTTTTCTTTCATGTCCGCTGGGGTTCTTCTTCTTCTTTCACCATAACAATAGCCAGAAACGTAGATCGATAAAATTGGCCCGAACAATATGGTCGCTTAGATAATTGTCGGCTGTTCAGCCTTGTCAGTCTTCTGGATAAATCTCCACTTCTGTTCCGTGAGGCGGGAACCTCCCCACCCTTCGATGCCCACCCTTATCTGACCTCACCCTCGTCAACCTGGACACGCAACTTGAGTGACAATCCGAAAGAGCAGATGCAGTGCGGCTTCGTGGGCGAGGCTAGATCCAGAGCCTCGAGCGTCGGTTTTTGAGCTGTCCAATCGCAAGGAAAGAGGCTGGGAGGCAGCGGGATCTGCAAGCGTCCTTTTTGCGGCACATGAGTGTCCTTTCGCCGTTCAAAGGGGCTTCTTCCCAGATATTTTTGAGATTCAATCTTCTCGAATTCCAGAATCTGTCTTTTTAACTCATTATGTCGAGACTAGATGTGAGTACTCAAAATACCATACGTTACCGTCGCCTATCTGACACCCGTGAAGATTCTCATTGTTGGAGCTGGACTTGGAGGACTTGGTGCTGCCATAGCCTTGCGGCTTGCTGGACACAATGTGACCGTCCTCGAATCCGCCCAGGAAATAGGAGAAGTTGGAGCAGGGATCCAAGTGCTTCCGAACAGCAGCAGAGTCCTGAGATCATGGGGCGTTTTCGACATGATCGACCCATCCAGGATATGCACGACTGATTCATGTGACATTCTCGGTTGGAAGGGACAGCTCATCTCTTCAATGGATTTCATCTCCGCCGAGAAGGAATATGGATCACCATTTTATGATATGCATCGCGCCGACTTGCATAAAGCCCTCTTCGATCGAGCAACTGAGCTTGGTGCTGAAGTACACGTCAATTCCTTGGTTACTGACGTCCGATTTGACACCGTCAATAACCTGGCATTCGTGACTACTAAAAGTGGCAAGGTATGGCAGGCAGATCTCGTTGTTGGTGCAGACGGACTTCACTCTCGGTGTCGAGCTTTCATCCTCGGAAAACAAGATCACCCTCGTCGTACTGGAGATATGGCGTACCGACTCTTGTTAGACGGTGATGAAATTCGAGCAGACCCTGAATTGACGCCAATCGTTGAAAACCGAGCTGTGACTTATTGGTACGGTCCTGGTGCACATATTGGTAAGTGTGCTGTAGGTGTCTTCAGGATGGTAGGCTTACATTCTCAGTTACATATGCACTTCGTCAACGGAAACTTTTGAACATGGTACTTCTGGTGCCAGATGACATGCCAGAGGATGGCCCATCGACGTTAGCAGGACAGGTAGACGAGATGCAGGATTTGTTCAAAGACTGGGATCCGAGGTAACTCCCCGACCAGGTCTGAATCTGTGTCAAGCCTGTACTAATCAAGTCCACAGGATCGGCAAGCTTCTGTCGAAATGCAAGTCTGTACTGCGATGGCGGTTATCGATCTGGGATCCAATTGAGTCTTGGATCCACCCCAGTGGATGCATGGTGCTCCTTGGTGACTCTGTTCATGCTACACTGCCATATCTCGCCAGTGGAGCCGGAATGTCGTTCGAGGATGGAGCAGTACTTGGTCACTGTCTGACAGGAATCACCAAATCAGCTATGAAAGAGCGGCGGAAGGCACTGGAAGTCTACCAGTCTTGTCGTATGAAACGCACCAATGCAATCGTGGAGAAAGGGAATATACAGCAGGATATAAACCATTTCGATGATGGTCCTGAACAGATCGATCGAGATCAGAAGATGAAGGCGTTCGCGAAACTATACGAGCAAGATCAACGGGGCGAGTCTCTCGAATGGGGCAACCTGAAGCGAGGAGAAGATCCTTTGGTCTGGAGAAAATTTGGTGCTGGAGAGTGGCTGCTATCGTACCAGCCTAAGGAGGACGTCGAGAAGAGGTGGCAGGAGGTGGGCTTTGCTAGCCAAGAAGGGGCCTCTGATACAGCCCGGCTATAGCAAAGCCTGCTGCTGTCAACTTTATACGACGAAAATAGAATGTGCCAGTCATGAAAGATGCTGTACGTGTCACAGCCTTGTCGCTCTATCATCACGTGACAAGGCTGTGGGTCACTTCCTCACAAAGGTATCTCCTTCGGAAATCTGCGACTTTGCCTCCTACCAACATCCGTTGAATCGTTTCTGCATGTCGGCCGATTTTGCCGAACACGTACCTTACCATACTAAGTCTTGCTAGTGGTGCTGTGAGACCTTTTCGCTGACGTGCGTTGCCCAGTCTGCAAAATTCGCAGCTCTGCGTGCAGCACGTAAGGCCACCTGGGTTGTACATCATGGAACAGGTGTACGCGGGATGCAATCAGCACATTTCCCGGCACCTGGAGTTGTGAGACTGCCGAGTGTGCTCCTATGTAAGGTACCTAGACGACCCTTTTCCGATATCAGCTTCACCTTCCGGAGCGACGGACGAACGCGGACGTGCTTCAGGTCTACAATCGAGGACATTTCAACTACTGCTGGTACAGAGCTGCGGCACTTCCATGGACTCCTGTAGTCCTATGTCGACTTCGATCATTATCACACCCATACATCCGTGTGTAGATCAAGTCTCGATTCAGCACCTCCAAGCTCTGTACTGATCTTCCTCCCTTTGTAAGGTAGTTCATACGTGCTACCCGACTTGCCAGGAAACCTGTTCCCGAAGATATAATTTCTAAGAGTTTAATGGTGATGATGGTTTCAAGATCGACACGGTTCTCATGGTCAAAGGTCTGTTCGGAAACTTCTTTCTTGCATCGCTCTCAACCTCCTGATCCCCGTTTGGACTGGTCGTCGCCTGCTCTTCTCCTCCTTTTTATCTCTTGCATTGATAGTCTATATGTCCAGGCCAGCAGCTTCTGGTCTAAAGTTCCTTATAAGCACTCCCGGCGAGAACAGTTACACCGACAATAGCGTAGGTCGGTGCGAAATCGGGCCCTTCAGACCTTTAAAACATCTTGAACTGGGAATACAGGCCAAGCTATAGGCCCCTACCAGAGCGTACGGCTATAGTCAACCTGTCCAAAGGATGGCACATGGCTGCAATGCTAGAGCTCAAGAATGGCTTGATCATCGTTCAGGTCGCACAAGCAAGACTTACGTCTGAAAACGATGGAGAGGTCAAGATTTGGGCCGAGTATTCACATGGGTTCATCTTTCAAATTCTATTCGGCTGATTCGCCATAATGACAGCTACGAGCGCCCTGCCGTAAGCTATCCACTGCACCTCGTACAACATCGAGAAATCTCTGAGCATTTTACACCGCCGTCGTCAAAAGTGCAGCGACCAATCCATGCCACAATCGCAGTCAGCATATGCGTTAAGCTTAAGCCTTGATCGCACCGCCGAGCGCACCGCCGCCGAACTGCTGACCGCCCGGTCGTCGTTGGCCTTGCCCGCGACCCAAACCTGGCAGATTTGCCCCGCCACGGCGACCACCACGGCCGCCTCTCTGTCCCTGGTCGCGTTGGAATGCGTTTGCCATGCCTGCCGTTCTGGTCTCCAATACCTTCTCGTTCGATTCGAGGATACCCATGGCCTTCTCCGATAGAGTAATAACCTGGCTTTGCAAGCGAGACAGCTCCACGCCCTTGCGGAAAACGATAGCATCGTTGACCTGGTCAAGCGCTGCCGCCAGTTCTTCGTGCGAGATCATCTTCGAGATAACAGCCGCGATCTTCTTAGCGTCGAGCTCGAACATGCCTGACAGAGTGGTGATGGAAAGAGTGTCATAGTACGGGGCGTATGTGAAGAGATAGGTTCGCAGGCCTTCTTCTTGGATCTGCTCTGCCAGCATTTCCTTGATCTTGTCCTTGTCACTGCCCAGAAGATCCCAGATGCCAATCTTGCTGATAAGCTCCTGACATCTCTTCCAGTCACCTTGCGCAAGAGCCTTGGCTGCTTGCATTACATGGTCCCGAGTGTTTTCTGGCGGACCTTGGAAAACCTGTCGTTCGGTGTATTCGAGCATTCGCCGGAAAGTCTTGGAGATGACTCGTTTCCGGATATCAGGTGAAGATCCCGTTTGAGCGAGGAGAGGAATTTCAAGAAGCATGCTGCAAGTGAGGTAAACGCACTCCAACAACTCGAGGTTGATGTGCATGTGGAAAGGAAGTTGTCGCTGTCGCTCGAGTCGTTCTTGCTCTGGGGTAACAGTGGAATATCTCTGCATGATAACACCTTGTGCGAGCAGTTCTTTCTGACGGCCGGACCCACAAATTTCCTGCAAGACTCCCTGAGCCTCGTAGCAGAGTCCAGCTCGGAACGCACAGAGACCGATCTGAACGAGCGTTCGGTTGAACAAAATTTGTGTGCTGACATCAAACGAGGAAATGTTCTCGGTCAGATGACTCATGAGAGCGAGATCTCTGGCACGATAGTAGTTGTCCTGTAAGGCGAGGAAATAAATCTCGCAGAGCATAGCCCGTGCGCGAATGATGCCTTCACTGTTCTCGAACAGATGGTTGCAGAGTGTCTGAACGAGTGGCGCAACCTCTGTAAACTCGCCGCGCGGTGTTAGAGCCGAGTTTAGGCTTGGTGGCAAAGCCGCCCAACTCTTCTCCTCCAGGATCTTGACCACTTGGATGGGCTTGAAGTAGATGTGTTCTAGCCGTCTGATGATAGTTCTGTTGATGTTTTCCTGTCGATTTTCGGATTTCTCCAACTTTTTATTGATTGTTTCGATGTAGATGAGGCTTCGCACGATGTCGGTGTAGAGGAGTTGTTCATCGCCTAGTCTTTCGATGTACTCGGCAGTATGAGGATCGGTTTGTTGTAGGGAACGTGTCAGTTCATCGTCCAGTCGCTCCATGAGGGACACAATGTTGCCGGGGATCTTGAAAATCTCACCAGCAGCAGGGCCCGGTTGTTTTTCGTCGTCTTCCCACTCTTCAGCCACCTCCGTCACCATGTATTGAGGCTCATCCTCGAGTGTCTGCAACAGAGAAGAGAATTCTCGCTCGGCCGCTCGCCATGATTCTTGTGACATGTACGCCTGGACCGAAGTAGTAGTGACATCGAATCTCGTAGCGATGATTGTCAACAGTACTCGGATCCGTTGGTAAGGTGTGTTGGCAACCTCCAATAATCTCTCCATGATGCGGATCTGTTCGGACCTGTCGGTGTTTTTCTTGCCGCGAGACTCGACAATGGTTCTGAGATGCTTCAGAATGCTTTCAGGCGTGTAGACAAGGGCCTTTCCACCTCTGCCGACGGTGGCGAAGCCTTCTTCATCAATGGCGGCTTCAAGAGCATCGAGTCTTTGGACCTTGCTCTTGCGGGTCTTCTGCTCGACTTCCAGAGGCTCCTCATCTTCAGACTCCATGAATTCGTCCTTGTTTGCCCGGTACTTCTCGAGCTCGGTAACATAGTCCTTATTGTTCTTCCGAATCTTCTGCTTCATCGCGTTGAAGCCTTTGGCATTTATGGGATTCATTTTCTTGGCGCCGGACTTCTGCTTGTCGTTGGTCTCGTTGATCAAGTCTTCGAGATCGGCTATCATTTTGATGTAGATCTTGGGAGAGGCGCCTTGCTGAATGACTTTGACGACCTGGCGATTCATCTTGTCGAATTCTAGCCCAAGTCAGCGAAAGTTTCGCGCATGGGATGGTATATAACAAACCTGTAGAGATCACAGCCCAATCGTTGATCTTTTCGGCATTCTCGATCGCTTTGATTGTGCTCTCCAGTTCTTCGAATCTCTTGTCTTTCGCGCTCTTGACCACTCGCTCGCGGTCTTCGTCCTCGCTTTCATCTGAATCATCGCCACCGGGTCCTGATGGTTTCAAGAACCGACTGGCGCCCATACCACGGCCTTCATCCTCGGACGATTCATCCTCAGACTCGTCCTCTTCTTCTTCACTTTCCTCCTCAGATTCCTCTTCGGACTCTTCCGCTCGTTCGCCGTAGAGTTCTTCCTCCTCGGACGAACTGCTCTCGCTGTCGGAGTCACCCCCGTGGAAAAATCGTGACGACATCCTGAATACTGTGCTAGTTGGATGTAACGGAATTGATGTCTGAGGCGAGAATTACTCGTCGTTGGGCAGTCTTCATAAAAAGTTCAAAGTGCCTACATTTCATGCAAGCGATTTCTTGGTGCGCGGCCATTCGCCAAGAAAGTATCACGTGACACATCTGCAATGACTCGAAGCCCCGTTAAAGGCTGTGATTCAGCGAGCGACTACGAGGCAGCAGGGGCCTCACCTTACGAAGGAGCGCACTCGATCAATGCATTTCCGGCTTGAGGAACTTGACCTCTTACACAACTAGATGGACGATTTCCCAATTGTGTCGGATCGTGTTGTGACAGAAGCATATGTTTATGGTACAAGGCCCAAAATTCCTCAAATGCTATGGCGACCTCCGCACTCTCACGATGTCTCCCAATCGTTTGAATCAGACCTCTGTACATAACTGTCAGACGTCTAGGCCATTCCCTCCTTGCCAATACCGCCACAGATAACGGTGTAGCTTCCTCAAAAAAAAATTCGAGAGTCCAATCTTATGGGCAGGCCACGTTTTCATTTCATCATCACTGTGCTCGTAGCTTTTCGTAGCTTAGATCTTGATCACAGAACCACCTAAATGGTCGTTGAAGTCTTGTCTTCCATTAAGATGCACCTCGGTCGGGCTTAGCGAGGGACACACCGTGTAGTCGGCCAGAAACTTGCGAGCCGGACCATAGTCTTGAAGAGTGACCAATTTTAGTCTTCGCAGTCGTGCGCCACATATACACTTTCAAAGCCCCTTCTGGTCAATATAGGACGGGCAAGGCCCCGCCGTTGGGATTGAGAACATGGCTCAGCGCCAACCTAATTCTTCCCATTTCAATGCCATTGATTCATGGCGCCGTCTTCCAGAGTGCGGATGAAATCACGATTTCTTTGGTTGCGACTGCCGCGTCTCCGAGCGGTCGATGGAGAATCAACATAACCATCAGCTGGCGGTGGGTAATAAGCCGGACTTGGCTGGAGTCTGATGGGCTGATTTGGGTCGAGATGGCTAGCCACTCGCTGAATGGTGGGTGGGATCCCTGCTTGTTGTTGATCCATAGTCGAAGCACGCTGTCGGCCTGCTCTTTGCGTAGCCTGTGCATACAAGCTCTGTTGGTGGTTGTAATGGCTAGGATTCATCTGTGGGTTTTGCTGCGGCATCATACCCATTTGAGGTGCGTAATTTGTCGTGTGCGTTGGATATGGGGGTGGAGCGCCTTGCTGATGAGCAGGGTACATAGCATTGTACATGGGTGGAGGCTGTGTTTGAGGATATGGGCTCATTTGCATGGCATACGCGGATTGGGCCACAGTTTGGGCCTGGACTTGTGCCTGTGCAGCTTGAGCGTGGGCCTGAGCTTGTGCTGCTTGAGCAGCTCTTTGTTTGCTTAGAGCTTCAGCCTGCTGTTGCTGCTGCACGCCTGGCGCAGGAGTTTTGCTCGATGGAGATTTCAAGTTCATGGGCGGGACAAATGGCTGAGTGAACTTCTGTTGAGTGATAAAAGGATGCAGCTTCGCTTGTTGGGGCGACCACCGTTCCAGTGGATTGATGTTCAGAAGACCTCGGACAAAGTCAATGAAAGCAACGCGGTTGTTCATTTCTATTGCACGTCAGTGCTAATCCTAGGGCTCGGTTCACACACTTACCTCTCTCAATTTCAGCTGGCTTCATATTCTTCCTAGGCATTGAATAGCTGCGAATGATCTCAGGTAGTGTCGTGGCCTGGAAGTACTTTTTGCTTGGTTGTTCCTTGACGTTGTGCTCACGGGAATACTGTTCCATGCTCTTTAGCCGATACGTACGACGGCCGAATTCATCCGTGGTCTTCTCGAAAAATTCCCCAGACTGCTTTCCCATCTCCAACATCCACGTTGGGGGCATGCCTAGCATTTCGACAATTCGTGACACTTGATTGTATTCAGATGACCCTGGGAAAAGCGGCAGTCCCAGAAACAGCTCAACAACAATACACCCAAGAGACCACATGTCAATGGCACAGGAGTAGGGCAATCCCAATAACACTTCTGGTGAACGATAGAATCGAGATTGGATGTATGTGTAGACTGTCTGTCTTTCATCACACGCCGATCCAAAGTCGATGATCTTGATGATCGGGCTTTCGAGATTCTTGAGGAGGATGTTTTCTGGTTTCAGATCACAATGTATGAGGCGCGCCTTGTTCAACAAAGTAAGCCCGTTCAGCAATTGTTGCGCGAAGACACGAACCAGTGTCGTGCTGAGACCTCGAAATTGGTTCTGCTTGATCAATTCGTACAAATTGACGCTGAGCAGCTCGAACACGAGGCACAAATGCTGTCGATGGATGAACGTGTCTTTTAGGCGTAAAAGGTGGTGATCGTCGTTCTTGTCAAGTTTCTGGTTTAGCAAATCCAGGACCGAAACTTCCATCATGCTCTGGTTGAAATAAGCTGTCCGGTTCTTGATGACTTTGACCGCCACCACTTCTTGCGTTCTCAGGTTCTGACATTTGACTACCTGGCCAAACGTTCCCTGCCCTAGCACATCCAGAATCAGGTAGCGATTCTTATGGCCCGCCTCTTCGCTTCCCAGGATATCGTTGACGTAGAGGATGTAGTCGCTATCGTCGTTATCGTAGCCATCATTCTTGGTGCCTTTGCTCGGTTTTGTTAAGACCCGCCTAGGATTTCTTGAGGACTCGTATTTAAAATTGGGATTGCAGATCCTGTACGTGGATGGCAGATATGTGGTGAGGGCCTGCAGCGGACTGATGAATCCTCCCTCTGGATTTGCCCTACGATAGGGTGGCTGCGCGTTGACTCTCGGTGTGATATCCTGCATTGTCTTGACTTTTCTGAACCTGGGAACTGGCCCAGGGCCCTGCGAAGGCTGTCTCGAGGGAGGGGCGGGGCGCGTGGCACTTGCATTGAGAGGATAGTAGGACTCGGGGCTCAGGTCAGAATTTGGCAGCCCAGACGAATAGTTGGATGAATATCTGGTAGGCGTAGGAGGCTCAGCATAAGGATCTGAGTTATAGCTTCCCTGGCGTGTCGGAGACTGTCGCGAAGGCTGCGGTTGATTGAGGTAGGAGAAATTGCTAGTGTTCTGCATTTTGGGGCTCGCCGGGTATGCAGCTCCCGTAGGTTGAGCATTCATGGGGGAGTACCGCTGAGCCGCCGAAGATATCTCGGGGAGGTATTGCGCAGATAGTCTGTGTTGATGAGCGGGACGAGGAGGGTATTTCGCTCGATTGTAAGGATCCGCGTCTTCCATGGGGACGTCGACTTCACCATTGTGCTCGTACTGCTGCGAGTGAGTCGCAGGTGTGTTGTTAAGTGACATCGCTGCTCAGCTAGATCTGCTACTCTTGGAAACCACAATCTTCAAGCTTGACTACGCTCTCTGTGAATAGGTGGCACCGCGTCAGGGCTGAAATTGAGGCGCAGAATGCTGCTGGAGCATAGGAAATCGCACCAGCGAGGTAAAGCAGCTGACCAGCAGTCGTGATTCGCAACCGGGAGGCAGAATGAGGTGTGTAGATCAGGATCGAAGTGACCGCTTTTGGTGTGGGAGAGAGGGGTGGTTGACGGGTTGCGTAAGCGCAGTCGAACGAGACTGAGAGATTCGTGGTGAGAGTCGACGCATGGTCAGTGAGGATCAAAGGCTCAACAGAAAGCCATGATGAACCAAATTGGCCTTTGTGCGAGCTCTCATAAGTTGAAAGGAGGCTGAGGGTTTAGGGCGCAGTTAAGTTGGGTTTCGTGGCAGAGGATGATTGTGGTTCAGTAGTGGACAGTGCAATCAGCGGTGGAGACGTAGGAAGAGCTGGCGGTTGATGCTTCAAACCAAAGACCATGTAAACAGAGACCTTGACAGAGAGAAATGAAGCACCAATCTTATACCTAGTCAGCGTACAAATGAGAAAATGCTGTTCTGGTGAAGAGAAGAATCGGCTGGCTTTGTCCGATCGGATGGCTGTCCTCGTTGTATGGTTGCTTGGTGCTTTGCTGTAATCGCACCCAAAATGCCCAGGGCGGCCAGCCGCAAACGCAGCGGCTAAAGTTAGTGGTGAATGAAAGGAATTGGGCTGCGGCAGGGTAGTGCTATGGGCACTCTGACTGGCCAATTTCAAGCCCCAAGCATCGTCATTTCCCTTCCATTAGGTGCCAATCACTTTTGCCGTAGCCACCGCAGCCCACCGATTTCTACGGCGAAGTACAAGCTCATTCATGTCATTGTGTTGCAGCCTAGACAAATGGTGACTGGCGCTCGCTCGATCGACGGGATTGATAAATGAAGAAAAGCCTCAATCGGTGGCTCTCTACATAAACTTTACCTGGCCCGAATGTGCCAGACGCAGAGTACTGAGCGATTACAGGACTACTGCGACCAGAATACCTTGATCAACTGGGAATAGAGTTGACTCGGTCTTCTCACTAATACTTTTGTTTCGCCTCACAAAAGTCATCAAGTCGCCACAGTTCATGATATCAGACACCTCTGTCATTTCTACAACTACAATTCTTCACTGGTCTGACTTTCAGAATCACCCATTTCATTCTTGACTGCCGATTGAACCACTCAGTGTTGTGAAGATCGGCCAGTAGTTACACAGAGCAGTGATGACGACATATCTCGACCCTCGGCCTCGACTTTAAGCAACCATGGATTCTACAGAAGAACAAAACAGAGACGGAGACTCCGCATTCATGGAGGCCGATCAACCTGGATCTAGTGCTACTGTCAACGGGCACACTGCCGGCAGCGAATCTGCCGAAACGCTTCGCCTTCGGAGTCTGGATGCTCAGGTTCGCGACCAGGATGACCTTGAGCGAAACATTGGTCGCGAGGCTGATAGGCTTTTGTTCGATCAAGCAAACCAGCGTGACCAACAGCGGCTCGACAAGTCCAGATCACAGAAGGAAAAGCTACAGAATCAAATCCGAAAGACTTGGGATGATATTAGCCAGCCCATTGGTACAACTCGCCGCACAAAACTCCGGCAGGATGTCGAACGCATGCAAGGTCAAATTCAAGACTTGGACAATGATATTGCCGATATTGAGGAGAGAATGCGCGAGCGCGAGACACAGGCTGGCGCGGACGAGCAGCATGATACCTCTGCCACAGGTCGTCTGCCAAATGAGACGCAACGGGACTTCTTGATCAGGACAGGAAAGATCACCCCGTTCTCCAAGTTTGGCCTCTCCACCCATGGCGAATCGTCAGCAACTCTTCAAGGAGCGCTTTTGGATGCCGAGGAAGAACCAGACCTTGACGAGATTACACCCGATGGGGCTAGTCGCAAGCTCATGTCCCATCGTCACCTGAGGCAGCCCGGCTTTGCGTCAAACTTTAAGGATTCCAGCGCTGAAGAAGAGGTTGAGTCTGAACAGCCCTGGAAGCGAAGACGCCTTACGAAGAAGTCCGGAGGGAAGGACGATGACGACTCCTACGATGAAAGCTCATTGCAAGACGAGGTCGCTTCTTCCGAATCTCTTGACGAAGATGCAGAGGATGAAGGCATGCCTACTACTACTGGCAAGAAGCGGCGAGCAAGCCGAAAGAGGACCGCTGGGGCAGATGATGAGGTAGAAGACTTTCGTGGCATAGATGACGGAAATCAAGCAGTTTACCAATCACGCGTGAAAAAGTGGGCAATCAGGCGGCGACGTGCCAGGAATCGCGTTCTACAGATCCAAGAACAAGAGGACCTGGAAGCAGCTGACGACACTATCGTCGAAGAGGAGGCACATCTTCCGCACCCTGAGATAGCCGACACCATCTACGATAACGGTTACAGGCTTCCTGGAGACATCTTTCCCAGCCTCTTCGACTACCAAAAGACAGGAGTGCAATGGCTACACGAGCTGTACACTCAACAGGTTGGAGGCATAATCGGTGATGAAATGGGCCTAGGCAAGACTATCCAGATGATCGCCTTTTTGGCAGGCCTTCAATACAGCAAGAAGCTGGATAAGCCCATCATTGTGGTTTGTCCAGCTACTGTCATGAAGCAATGGGTGAATGAGTTTCACAGATGGTGGCCTCCTTTTCGCGTCGCTATCTTACATTCTTCTGGTAGTGGTATGGTCAACCTACGGAACGAGTCTACCAAGGAAGATCGATTGCTCGACATGGAATGGGACCCGACTCGAAGCCGTGAGCCGTTGACGTCTGCTCAAAAGGCCGCACGCAAAGTGCTGAACCCTATTTTGGACGAAGGCGGCGTGCTTGTGACGACTTACTCTGGGCTACAGACTTATGCGCCACTTCTCATCCCGGTTGATTGGCAGTATGCCATCCTTGACGAAGGCCACAAAATCAGAAATCCCAACACTGCAATCACCATCTATTGTAAGGAACTACGGACACCAAATCGAATCATCCTCTCAGGCACGCCAATGCAAAATAACCTGGTCGAACTCTGGTCCTTGTTCGATTTTGTCTTCCCCATGCGTCTAGGGACGTTGGTCAATTTCAGAAACCAGTTCGAAATCCCGATTCGCCAAGGTGGATATGCGAATGCTTCGAATCTACAAGTGCAGACCGCTTTTAAATGCGCAGAGACCCTCAAGGATGCCATCAGCCCATACCTGCTGCAGCGTTTCAAAATTGACGTGGCTTCAGACCTGCCCAAGAAGAGCGAGCAGGTCCTGTTCTGCAAATTGACCCCCTTGCAGCGTGCCGAGTACAAACGTTTCATCAGCTCTGGTGACATGGACGCCATCATGAATGGCAGAAGACAAGTGCTTTATGGGGTTGATATCCTCCGAAAGATTTGCAATCACCCTGATCTGACAGACCACAAGCATCTGTCTATCAAACCTAGCTACGATTATGGCAACCCTGCCAAATCAGGCAAGATGCAAGTTGTTGGTTCGCTCCTCGAGTTATGGAAAGAAACTGGCCACAAGACACTTCTGTTCGCTCAGCATAGAATCATGCTTGATATATTGGAGAAATATGTCAAATCTCTTGCGGGCTTCAAGTATAGGCGCATGGACGGTAATACTCCAATTCAGTTTCGGCAAAGTATGGTCGATGAGTTCAACACCGATCCTGACTTGCACGTCTTCCTTTTGACCACCAAAGTCGGCGGGCTTGGCATCAACTTGACCGGCGCTGACCGGGTTATCATATATGACCCAGATTGGAATCCGTCAACAGATCTTCAAGCCCGCGAGAGAGCCTGGCGGCTGGGCCAGAAGCGGGAAGTGACAATCTATCGCCTGATGACTGCCGGCACAATAGAAGAGAAGATCTACCATCGACAGATCTTCAAGCAATTTCTGACCAACAAGATATTGAAGGACCCGAAGCAGCGGCAGACTTTCCATCTGAATGACCTTCACGATCTATTTACCTTAGGAAATGAAGGGGAGCCCACCGAGACAAGCGCACTTTTCAAGGATGCGCAAGTGAAATACAATTCCAAGACGGCCGACACTAAGGATGCGGCACCCGACGGCGAAAACCAACCAGACCCCACACCCAGCGACACCAAAATCGAGGCGTTACCGGGCATATCCTCCGTGGAGCAATATGCCGGTGAAGTCGCGGAAGAAGAGAAAGCCCTCAATGAGGGAGCGAACAACTCCGAAGCCAGGATGATGGAAGGTATTTTCGTACGTTCCGGTATCCACTCTGCCGTTGAGCATGATACAATCATCGATGGTTCGAAGCCTGGAAAGAAGATTGCAGCAGATCCGGTCCTGATAGAGCAAGAAGCTCGTAGAGTAGCTGCGGAAGCCGCCAAAGAGCTCAGACGTGCTGGTGAGCTTGCTCGGACCGTCCCGATCGGAACTCCAACGTGGACTGGACAATTTGGTGTCGCGGGTCGGCCACAAGAGACAACTGCTCTACGGGCTTTCAGCTCAAACTCGCGAGGTAGAGGCGCAGGCATGCAGTCATCAAGTCTTCTCGCTGGCTTGCAGCAGCGGCAGGCAGGTATGGCATCGAGCCGTGACGGCACGCCGAGAACGTCAAGTCCAGCAAGATCATCCGGGTCGGCAACCTCAGCATCCAGATCCGGTACACCAGCTCTGCCCCAAGGCAAGGACTTTGGCAAGCTCATTCGTGATTACCTGTCGAGCCACGGTGGGAGCGTGTACACTCAAATGCTGATCGATCACTTTAACCGGCTCTGTACGACACCGCAGGCTACCGCGGAGTTCAAGGAGACGCTCAAGTTGATCGCAAGACTCGAGAAGGGTAGTCGTGGCAGAGGCCGATGGGTTTTGAAGGATGAGTACAAGAAATAGAGATCAGGTCACTCAGATTAAGGTGCTTGCCCGCGAATGGGCCATCTCAACACGCAGATCCGTCCGTATACCCAGTCGCTTTTGATCTGTCCAGATGTTTTCCCTCTTCGCCGTGATTATTCGTTCTCGTCGATTAAGCCCTGAGGTGACCAGTATTCGGGCTCCCCACATTGATAGTCGACCCATACCAAAGAGTCGGCAAGCAGATCTTGAATCACCGTTTCCGCGCGTGCTGGCTCCCAACCCAGATTTAGGGTCAGCAACGACGCGGTAACATTACCAAGGAGCTGTAGAACTTCAAGGACGGTAGATTGATCGTTGTTGAACTCCTTAGGAACAGATCGGACGAATCGTTTGTTCGCAATGGTGAGAATCTGAAATCCTGATCCGAGAGGCTCGAGAGACTTTACTGCCTGCTCGATATCGTCCTCTGAAACTTGCAGGCCACCACCAATTGCCCTTCCCTTGGCGACGCTCTCACAACATTCTTTCAAACCAAGTAAGCCTCCGTTCTCAGCCCTTGTGGATCGACATAACTCAACCACTCGGACAGCTACCGAGAAATAGAAGTCATTGACGTCGTGACCCAGCACTTTTGCCCACAACGAGTCGGCTTTCTTCCCTTTGATATTGCTGCCGGCTAGTGGATCGACTCCTATAGCGTTACACATTCGTGCGAATTCGGCACGGAATGTCGGGTTGGATTTGATGGTCGCAGCATGTTCAAGAGCGAAGTTGTGCAGGAGAGACTGGAAGACTTCTAATTGCGTCTGTAATGAGGCAGCATTCGCCGACTTGAGGTTGGAGCCATGCGCAGCATATGACTGAGCAGTCGCATGTTTGTTAGTGAAGGCACCTAGGCCTACGCCTCTTCTACTTGACATGGAGATGATGTCGATGCAGGATGGTTGAGATATCGCGATGCCTTAAAGAATAGATGGTTTCTACCTGGAAGGGCGTCCGAGAAACTTGATTACGTCAGCAGCTCAACAAGATTGCCAAGACCGATATCATGCGCCTTACCCTTTTAGATTTAGCCCACATTGACGGAAAGTGCAAGTTTGACAATTCGAGAAGCGCAGTTCTTGAATTTCCTGTCCTCCGCCAGCCCTCATCTTTCGACAACACCCATCCGTCTCAGCGCCAACCGACAAAATGACGAAGCCAGTTGTCAAGTCGTAAGTACCCTCTCTTCTTCTCGCTGACTGTCGGAGTCTTCAGATATGGTCCGCTCCCTCCTCGCTGGTATGCCCACGTTGCGCCAGCTCGATCATCCTAATGGCTCCTATCGAAGAAGGTGAAAAATACACTTTTAGTAGATGGGCCTGGGGCTTTGAGACTAGAGAAGTCGTATTCTCTTTCTCCAAATTCATTGAGCTCGTTCGGCATGCTTCCCTCGTCCTCAGGATTCGAGAAGCTGCCGGAGAGTCGAAATTTCCTGACTTCGGTCGGGGTCTTGTCGGTTGAGAGTCCAAGGCGGTTTAGGTCAGCTTAATTGCTTGCACCTTTCCACCTTCTCACCGATCAAATTCATTTCGTCGAGTTATGCCTAGCACCAGTCTGAGAATGCCGCGCCATAGCTGCAGTTCCGACTCGGCGATTTTCACCTCGCGGACTATAACTGATGCGCCTCCTACCACAGAACTGTTCCAACACAAGACCAGGTCCTCGTTCCTGAGACTCTGTTGAAGAAGAGAAAGAGCCAGGAGAAGGCTCGAGAACAGCGCAGCGCTGAAATCGAGAAGAGGAAGAAGGTCGGTACACCCCATCCAGCACAAAATCTCTTTCGGTGATGATAAATACCATTCGGCGACTAGGCTACGGCCGATGCTGTCCCTTTGTTAACCATCTTTCGGGGCTGAGCATGTCCTTGTCCAACGACATCTATAACACATGTTAGGCAAGAAGCTGACTGTTCTGTACAGGCCAACAAGGAAAAGCGTGGCGTTATCTTCAAGCGTGCCGAGTCATACGTCAAGGAGTATCGCGATGCGGAGCGCGAGAAGGTCAGACTTGCTCGCCTGAGCAAGCAAAAGGGCAGCTTCTTCATTGATGAGCAGCCCAAGCTTGTCTTCGTTATGAGAATCAAGGGGTAAGCAATGCTTTGTCTTGCTGCTCATAATTGCACAAGCTAACGTAAGACAGTATCAACAAGATCGCCCCCAAGCCTCGCAAGATCCTCCAACTCCTCCGACTTCTCCAGATCAACAACGGTGTTTTCATCCGGTTGACCAAGGCCACCCAAGAGATGCTCACCATTGTCAACCCATACATTGCCTATGGCTACCCCAACCTCAAGACCGTCCGAGAGCTCATCTACAAGCGTGGATACGGAAAGATTGACAAGCAGCGAATTGCCCTTACCGACAATCAGCTCATCGAGGACAACCTGGGCAAGTATGGCATCGTCTGCATGGAAGACTTGATCCACGAGATCTTCACTGTCGGACCCAACTTCAAGCAGGCAAGCAACTTCTTGTGGCCCTTCAAGCTGTCCAACCCCAACGGTGGTTTCCGTGCCAGAAAATTCAAGCACTACATCGAGGGTGGTGACCTTGGTAACCGAGAGGAGAACATCAATGCTCTCATCAGACAGATGAACTAGAATCTGTGAATGGCTATGGATGGCTAGACAGATCTGATGAATGATGGGGCGTTGCCTTTTTACGTACAGTGGCATGCAAGACTGTCCATAGCATGGATAGTTTGCAAGGTGCAAACATGGGAATAGGCGCTAGTTGTGCTCAATCAATCGAATGAAAAGTGAATCTGCACCCAGTCATTAGATGAAATCATCTTTTCGAATACCAGCCCCTTCTCGGTGTTGTACTATGTATATAGCTGGGCCTAAGTGTCCTTCGATTTCCTTTCTATCATGTGCCCGCCAAGGTGCTACAATGTATGAAATGGTTCTCGGATATTGGATCTCGTCAGGAACAAAACCGGTTGTCCTACCCACCTAGAGATCCTGAAAGGCAGCTGGTTTAGTACACAACGACATCGTGCATGACATGTCTCGATATATCCGACCTGCCCACACCATTAATCTCCATTGTCCAAGAAAGGCGACTAAGATGACGATCTGGAGTTTCCTCTTCTGCTCATCGTGATGTTTTTGCCGACCGAATCGGAACATGACATTGCTTTTCAGCCGTCCATGGGTGAGATGTCAAGTTGAAGCCACCACGGATGGCTTCGATAATGGGTTGACACCACCACACCCTGCCCGTATCCTTGCCCTTCGACGGGTCGACATGTGCGAGCAAAAACGCCTTACGCTCTCACGTTTCAGCCATATCGATAAAAAAATCTTCCTCTGGCATGGGTTGCGAAACAACTCAAATGGTCCAGTAGCTCAAGGTTTCATAGTCGTCGTCACTGGAAGGACAAAGGTAAGTCAAACGTCGAGTCCAGCACAGCCTGAGTATTCTGGTGCCGACTTTTGATCTCAGCCGCTCGCAAGGAAGAAGGAATTTGGGAGGGTCTCCCTCGACCTGCTGAGACGGACATCTAGCTATGATTGGTACGCGTGCGGGCAACCATCTCTCCTTGCATGGACTCGAGGTGCCTTGTGATGTTCGCCAACCCAAGGCGTCAACATTTCTCCCTTCTGAATGGTTGCCTACCATGGAGGCTTTGTGTACACCGCTATGCGAACGTTGGGGCCAGCTCACAATGCCGCGTTTTCCCAAGGCATCACCCTTGCTCCTGACAACCCCTCCAGGAGTTGGCAGGTTGTACAAACGACATGGTGATGGGATTGGACAAAGGGGCGAATGAATGAATACTTACTCTCCTGCCACGCTCACTTGAATACGCATAGTCTGCATGCATTCGGAGAATATACGTCTCATGACATGTATCCGCCATCTGCCAGCTCTCGGTCTATAAGAGGCAGCCTTCGAAGAGGGCGGTACTCCAGCCTCCAAGCGCAGATGTGGTATAGAGCTCCAACATGAAAGTTCTTGAAGAAATACTATTCTATCTCCGGAGCAGTTGGGCACCGCTCATCTCTGTCCTCCTCCTAGCGAGGCTACTCTTTAACAAATACGGCAGGAGGCTCAACTCCATTCCTGGTCCCTTTCTCGCCGGCTTCACCGACTTGTGGCGCTTTTTCAACACCACGTTCTCAACTGCACACAATACCCATATACGGCTGCATCGAAAGACGAATTCGCAATTTGTCCGCATAGGACCACGAACTATTTCAATCTCGGATACAAGATTGATACCAACGATTTATGGAGCCCATACAGACTTCACCAAGAGCCAGTACTATACGCTATCTATGATGCCTTTGTATGGCAAGTACACTCCAAGTCTGTTTACTGCGCTTGACGAGAATTGTCATGCGTCAATCAAGAAGCCGATTGCGACCGCGTACAGCATGTCGACCATCGTTGAGTTTGAGCCGCTAGTAGACTCGACAACGTCACTGTTGATGTCCAAGTTGGATGACTTCGCAATCTCTGGAGACTCCTTCGACTTTGGTGTTTGGTTGCAGATGTATGCCTTCGATGTTATGTAAGTGCTCGAGTACCTCCAGCTGCAGGCAGCATTGACGGTATGTGCGACAGTGGCGAGATTTTGTTCAGCCAGAAACTGGGGTTCTTAGAGACAGGCACCGATGTGCAAGGAATTATGACAGACATCAGGACCAAGATATCATACGCTGCATGTGTACGCAACAATGCCCGAGCATCCCCTGACTCGATCGTTGAGCTGATCCCTACTGGCTGTTTAGGTAGGACAAATCCCATTCATCGACAAGGTTTTGACCAAGAATTCTCTCTTTCTCAAAATAGTTCCGACCCACCCGATCGTGACCTTTACGTTGGACAGGATGGAAGAACGAGCTGCGATGAAGGATCATGGGGCCGGTCGCAAGCGCGATTTCTTGACAAGATGCCTTGAGGCGCAGCGCAAATACCCTCACATTGTTACGGACCGGATGATCGTGATCTACAATGGAGACAATGTCGCTGCAGGCAGCGATACAACTGGGATTGCATTACGGGCGGTAAGGGATCCGAGTACCACCGATCGTCATACGGCCTGCTGCTGACGAACGCCAGATCTTCTACTACGTCCTGAAGACACCGGGATGCATAGAGAAGGTGGTCGAGGAGCTCGACCAAGCAGACAAAGATGGCCAGCTCAGCGACTTTGTCACTTGGCGGGAGTCCAACAAGTTGCCGTATCTTCAGGCATGCATCAAGGAAGCGCTTCGTAAGTTCTCGCATGGGAGCATGTTTCCACCGACTAAAGGGCGGCTCATCGCAGGCATGCATCCAGTGGTCGGCTTGATCATCGAAAGATGCGTACCGAAGGATGGGGTTGTGCTGGGAGGACACTACTTACCTGGAGGCACTATCGTTGGAATGAATCCTTGGGTCACAGCGTAAGTATCAGGCCCCAAGCTGACATACCAAGTTGACATGCTCACTGCTTCGGCTTGACCATAGGCGAGATAAAGGCGTATACGGAGCGGACGCGGACGCGTTCAGACCCGAGCGATGGCTCGAAGCGTCGGAGGAGCAACTTGTCGCTATGGAAAGGGCAAACCTCACGGTGAGATCACACATGTTCGTGAGTAGAGCATTGCAGCTGAATCAAGTCGCAGTTCGGTCATGGAAAACGATCTTGTGTCGGCAAAAATATTTCGATGCTCGAAATATGCAAGGTGGTCCCTCAACTGCTGAGACATTATAAAGTAAGTCTCCTCTTCAAGGTACCTCGTGGTCGCTACTGGCTGATTCCGAAACACAGTTGTCATTCGTGCGACCAAACCAGGAGTGGAAAGTTCGGGGTGGATGGTTTGTTTGGCAGGACGAGTTTGAAGTGTACATAACCAGACGAACAGACAAGGTGGTTTCGTGAATTTCGCCTGGAGCTAGTCATTGTGGGTATTGGGGGATTGAGATACACTTTATAGGAAGGACAGCAAACGACATTGGGCCCGCAATATGATGGCATGGTATTGTGCAATTCAGGAGGAAAGCATTCACGAGTCACTTTACACCGTAACCAGCCTCGTATGAATTCTGGCGGGGAATCCGACACTGGATCCACCCCGTCGCGTCGCGTCATGTCACGCGTTCGCGTATTCAACGACCCTCTCACCCAGCCATATTCTTTCCTCTTGTAAATCGTCAATCGCAATCACTTATTCCTTGTATTGGGCTATCTTAGAACTCGGAGTGAGCAACATGTCCCATCGGTCGGCACTTGCTCAGCTTCGAGCTCAACGAGCCTCTGGCAAGACTCGTCTCGAGTCGTACCAGATCGAAGACCAGGGCGTCATCTACGACGAGGTGGACGAAGATGGCTACAAGAAAGTTGTACGCAGCCGACTGGACAAGGACGATTTCGTTGTCGATGACAACGGCGAAGGATACGCCGATGACGGTCGTGAGGAATGGCAGAATGAACGCCAGTACTACAGCAGCGACGATGCAGAAGATGCCCCGCTCAAAGGCAAAGCTGCCAAAAGAAAACGCGAGGAAGTACGTGAGAAAGATGAACGTACGAACCACAAGATCTTGAACTACTTCAACAATGGTCCCGTCGCAGCCCCAAAGCCAAAGGTATGGTTTCCGTCCGACTGAATGATGCCCAACGCTTACTGTTGCAGGTGCAAACGACGGCTGAAGACGAAGCTTTCATGGCAGACCTTCTCGGCGAAGTCGATGCCAACATCCTTCCGGCTCGAGCGCCCACCAAGAAGTCCGTCAAGTCAGAGAATCGTCGAAAAGTCAGGATCTTGTCCCCTCCTCTCACACAAGAACGACAGCGTCCGAAGTACCAAGTTCCCGGGCCTGAGCTTGTTGATACTCCTCCTCCACAGAATACTCTCGATGAGGACGACCATCTGCCTACCTTCGACGACGACAACATCATGAGTGACCCTTTGCCATCCTCTCCTGTGGTCAAGGCTGTTGAGCGCAAAGCAAAAGTGCAAATCAAAGAGGAGGATGAAGATGATGACATGATGGATGTTGCTCAGGTTGTTGCACATGAGGGCTTCCAGTCAGCGAGCATCAACATGACTGGCAGCAGACCCCCGCCCAAGGTCAAGCCTGCTCAGCTACCGACTCCTCACAACTCCTCTCCTCCATTGCCTGCAGTTAGTGACGTGGACGTGTCTTCTTGGAACAAGATCACCAGCAAGCTCAACGTTCAGAGCAGCCCATCCTCCGAGACATATACCTTTGGCAAAATGAAGCCTCAAGACGCAGTTGAGCAAGATGGCAGCCTACGTTTCTTTTGGCTCGACTACACCGAGATCAACGGCAATCTGTGTCTGTTCGGGAAGGTCAAGCACAAGTCTACTGGGCAGTACCTGAGCGCTTTTGTGAAGGTTGACAATATCCTTCGCAAGCTGTATTTCCTCCCCAGAAAATACAGGCATTCCAATGGACGTGAAACCAGCGAGGAAGTCGAAATGGATGATGTCTATGGAGAAGTTGATACACTGATGTCCAAGATGAAGGTCACCACGAGAAAAGTCAAGCCTTGCACCAGGAAATATGCGTTCGAGCTTGAGGATGTCCCCAAGGAAGCGGAATACCTCAAGCTTCTGTACCCATACGATAAGAATCCTCTCCCAATGGATCTGCAAGGAGAAACATTCTCGCGCGTTCTCGGTACCAACACATCCTTGTTCGAGCAATTTGTGCTCTGGAAGAACATCATGGGCCCCTGCTGGCTGAACCTCCAGGATGCTGATTTCAGTGCTGTCAACAATGCCTCGTGGTGCAAGCTCGAATGTGCTGTGAGCACGCCGAGCAACATCACAGTCCTCAAGGATTCCGAGAGTATGGAAGCTCCCCGACTCACACTGATGTCCCTATCCTTCCGCACTCAATTAAATGTGAAAGAAAATAAGCAGGAAATCCTGATCGCAAGCGCTCGTGTCTACGAGAATGTTTCATTGACCGACACTACTCCGCCAGAAAAGATGCCTTCGAGGACCTTTACAGTCATGCGTCCTTCAGGATCGGCCTACCCACTGGGTTTCGATGCTGAGACGAAGAAGCAGAACGGCACGTACATGCTCGAGAAAAGCGAACAGTTCCTTCTCAGCAAGTTCCTCGCGTTGTTCGAGAAGGTTGATCCTGACGTGCTTATCGGTCATCAACTCCAAGAGGTCGACTATAGCATTCTGCTCAGCCGTCTCAAAGAGAAGAAGACACCTGGTTGGCATCGAATTGGCCGGCTGAAGCGAAGCGAGTGGCCTAAAACTTTTGGAAAAGGCGGCTCCTCATTCTTCGCCGAACGACAACTTCTGGCCGGACGACTCATGTGCGACTTGGCCAACGATATGGGCAAGTCTTTAATGACCAAATGTCAGCAATGGAGTTTGACGGAGATGTGTGAACTCTATCTTGGGCCTGAGAATCCTCGACGCGACCTAGACAACGAGGAGTGGCTGAACAAATATGTCAAGACGGCTGATGGATTGCTCAACTACGTCAACCACTGCCACGCTGACACGTTCTTCATCGCGGCACTTGCCTTGAAATTGCAAATGCTTCCTCTGACGAAAGTCCTGACCGAGCTTGCTGGTAATTCATGGGCGCGTACATTGAGTGGTACCCGAGCGGAACGAAACGAGTACATTCTTCTTCACGAATTCCACCGCAACAAGTATATCTGTCCCGACAAAGAGTACGGCAAGGGTCGGGCCAAGCGCACTGAAGAAAACGAGGATGACGATGAAGGGGCTGACACCAAGAAGAAAGACAAATACAAGGGTGGTCTCGTTTTCGAGCCTGACAAGGGTCTATATGACAAGTTCGTCCTTGTGATGGACTTCAACAGCTTGTACCCCAGTATCATCCAGGAGTACAACATCTGCTTCACGACTGTCGACCGAGCAACCACGTCACAAAACGAGCATGAGGAGAAAGTGCCTGAGGTGCCCGTAGACCAACAGCAAGGAATCCTTCCTAAGCTTATTTCCACTCTCGTCATGCGTCGTCGAGAAGTCAAGAAGCTGATGAAAGATAAGCGAGCAACTCCGGAACAGATGGCACTTTGGGACACTAAGCAAATGGCCTTGAAACTCACTGCCAACTCCATGTACGGTTGTCTCGGTTATACTCAGTCCCGCTTCTACGCACGACCACTCGCCATGCTCACTACTTTCAAGGGTAGAGAGATTCTGAGGAGCACAAAGGAACTCGCAGAGAGCAACCAACTTCAGGTCATTTATGGTGACACTGACTCGGTCATGATCAACACCAATGCGGACAACATTGCACAAGCTTTGAGTGTTGGTCACGAATTTAAGAAGTCTGTCAACGAGCGGTACAGGTTGCTGGAAATCGACATCGATAACGTATTCCGCCGCCTCTTGCTACACGCCAAGAAGAAGTATGCAGCTATCAACATGGCAGAAGTCGATGGAAAGTACATCGAGAAGCTCGAAGTCAAAGGTCTTGACATGAAGAGGCGAGAGTATTGTACTCTTTCGAAGGATGCGTCTCAAAAGCTTTTGAACGAGATCCTCTCAGGAGATGACTCTGAGGTGGTTCTGGAGAAGATCCATGAATACCTTCGGGAGCTGGCGAACAAGATGAGGGAAAATACTATCCCGGTGCAGAAATATGTCATTTATACGGTAAGTCTGCACCTCGGTTTTCTACTAAGCAGTTGCTGACATTGGTAGAAACTGGGCAAAAATCCAACCGAATATCCAAACGCAGATTCGATGCCCCAGGTCCAAGTGGCACTCCGTGAGATTGCTCGTGGCAAGAATGTTCGCGTCAACGATGTCATGTCCTACATTGTCACGATGGGTGATGAGTCGACTAAAGGCCTGCCTGCTCCGAAGCGATCATACACTCCGCAAGACGTGCTGAAGGCAGACTCTGGACTCGTACCCGATGTGGAGTATTATCTGTACAAACAGATCTTCCCACCTATCGAGCGTCTTTGTGCACCGATCCCCGGCACGGATTCTGTCAGGTTGGCAGAATGTCTTGGGCTGGACGTCCGGAAGTATCAAATCAACACCACGAACGGGAACAGCCAGCAAAACACTGAGATTTTCCCGCTTGAATCACAGATCCCGGACAGTGTCCGTTTCCGAGATGCGGCCAGGCTTGGGCTTCGATGCCGACAGTGTGAGCACACCACAATCTTCGAAGGACTTTGCGAGTCCACGGCTCTGTGCACGCCAGAAGGCATTTTATGCGGCAATGCCGACTGCCAGAAACCGTTTACCAGAATGGCCATCGTCACTCAGCTGGAGGCGCAGATTCGAGTGCAGACCTGCGCTTACTATGAAGGCTGGCTTGTCTGCGACGATCCATCCTGTGGCAATCGGACACGACAAATGTCCGTGTATGGCCACAGATGTCTGGGTCCACAAGGCCGGGCTGAAGGATGCTTGGGACGGATGTCGTACGAGTATTCGGAGAAGAAGTTGTACAATCAGCTTCTGTACTTCGCGGCCTTGTTTGATACCGAGAAGGCAAAGAATAAGGCGAAGTCGGAGAAGGAGTACGCCGAAAGAAGGGATCGAATAGTAGTCCTGGCGGAGACGAACAAGGGCAGGTTCGAGGGTGTCAAGGCCGTCGTTGATGGCTATTTGAGGAAATGTGGACGGCAATGGGTCGAGATGGATACGTTGTTTGGATTTGCCTTGAAATGATTGTGTCGCTCGTTGGGTATTGATTGATGGCGCTCAGCGGCATGAGGTAGATGGGACTGGTTCAATAGCTTGACGCACTCTGCATGAACCAGTACCGATCTTAGACCTAACGATGATGTACTTGCTGTTGTTGCTACTATATTCGGACGTCACCAGAGCTGCTTCAGTGGACAAGCTTCATTGCACGCCTCTGGGCGGGAATCAGGCAGGTTGGAAGAGAGAGAAAAGATCCATGGTCTCGACTCTTCTGCTATATGCAAATTGCCCTTCGAAACAGCCAGTCTGTCCAAGACCAAAGCCCAATCAGCCCCTGATTTCCGTCGACCTTTGTCGTGTACTTCTCCGTAAGTACCCTCTATATCCACACAACCTGGGCTATCTAGATCTCTACCGATGAGACCCCCGTTTAGGCCCTCCCGTCCCCGTAACATCCAGACCCCGTTGTATTCCAACCTGTTCAGTCATCCGGATGCGCGTCGAAATCCCAAAACCGCACCTCCATCTCCGTGGCCCGGACGAAAATGTTGATCAGTTCCTCGATCCTCGAGGGTGACTGTTTCGTGATATGTCTTTCGATCAAGTCCCGGCCCACCCTCACTGCCTCGGTGTAATCGTCGGCGACATAATTCTCGACCCAGCGCCAGTATTTGTTGCCCTGTTCGCCCGTCTTGCTCTCCGGGTCCGTGTAGAGGCGCCTGGCGGTCTCGCCGTAGCCCAGCAGACACGGGGCCAAGGCCATCTGGATGGCCAACCAGTCCTGGCTCTGGCCGACGTCCAGCACGTAGCGGCTGTACGCGACGCAGGCCAGACTCTCCTTGCGACTCGGGTGCTCGAGGTCGTCCTTTGTGATGCCGAACTCGGCGCAATAACTCAAATGCAGGTCCATCTCGCGGCGGATGTGCAGGATGATGTCGGCCGAGGCCGAGAGGCTGTCCATCGTGCGGCTCTTGTACGCGGCCAGCGCGTGCGTGCGCGCAAAATGCGTCAGGTACAGGTAGTCCTGGACCAGGTAGTTTTTGAACAAAGGTTCCGGGAGCGTCCCGCGCGCCATGCCCGTGGCGAAGGCGTGGTGCGTGTATTTGTGCCACATCGCCGTCACGGACGCGTGCGAGAGGAGGTATTCGATAAAGTGGCCCTGAGAGAACGGCAGGGTTTGCACGTTGTGGAAGTGGTTGATGGGGCCGGAGCCGGAGCCGAGATTCGCATGCGCGGTCTGGATGCCGGTTGAGACGTAGTGTACGGCAAGGCGCGTGGCGGAGGATAGGGACACGGAGCCAAGAGGGGTGGTAGTGGTAGTAGAAGGTGGTGGTGGGGACGTTGATTTCTGGATGGCGAGGTTCGCGGCGATCGCGCTGGCGAGGGAGCAGCCTGTGCCATGGGTGTTTCGGGAGCGGAGGTATTTCGATTCGATGATGGTGTAGTCTGAGCCGTCGTAGAGGACGTCAACGGTCAGGAGTTTCTCGTCGTCGCTGACGGCTTTGGTGTAGGTCTTGGTCAGGGGCATGTGGCCGCCCTTGACGAGGACGGCGCGAGGTCCGAGTTGATGAACCATTTTGGCTAGGGACTTGAGGTCTTCGAGACTAGATGGTGATTTGTATTGAATGTCGGCGTCGCGGAGGAGGAGAGTCGCTTCCGGGATGTTGGGTGTCAACAGCGTCGTCATGGGCAGGAGTTTGTCACGGAGGTTTCGTATGGCGTCTCCTGGAAGGAGTTGGTGGCCACTGGTCGAGACCATGACCTACCGCACAAAGGTAAGTAGAGTACCACAAGCGATATCATGCAGGCCCAACAGGGTCACGCGTGGGTGGGATAGGATAGGATAGGATCATACAGGGTCAAGGACTATCGTGGAGACTTTGTGTCTCTGGAGAGCATCGGCGACCACTCTGATGGTCTCCGCCGAGGCAAGCATTCCTTTACATTTTCGTTTTCAGCACACCGTCTCCTGGATATATCGAAAGCAGTTGAACTCACCAAGCTTGACAGCATCGCATGGAATATCTGTAAGACACGCGTCGATCTGTTTGCCGACAAAGGCCGGAGGCGTGACATGGACGTCCTGAACACCCAGAGTATTTTGGGCAGTCAATGCCGTCGTCGCTGTCATGGCATAGCAGCCGTGGGCCGCTAGGACTTTTTGATCGGCTTCAAGCCCGCTGGAATATTATCCATAGATCAGCATTTCAAGGCCTGAGGCAGATAGATATCAAACCCGGATTTTCAGGTCGTGCAGGCATTGGCAAAGACTTACGCTCCACCAGAGCTATCAGAGCCGGCGATCACCAAGACCTTTGGCGGGGACATCTTGGTATGTATGAGTCCTCGAGGCCTGAGGGATATTCTATAAGGGGATCATGGTAGAACTCAATGAGGTTGGAATAAATATGGTGATAGAGAAAAGGAAAAGGGTGTGATCGAGTACTGCAGTTGAAGGTCCCGTCGTCTTGACTCTTTGCCCAGCGAATGGAACGTCATTCTACATCTCCACTAACTTAACTTGTTATCCGCGGAGTCTTATTAATTTGGGCACATCTACAATAAAGTACCTCTATTCTGCGTCGTTGGATCGATGTTGGCATTCGAGTCATGATGGGCTTCATCTTCTCCTTCTTCTATACAAGTCAAATCATCCCGAGCACCCGGATTCTTTAGGCGCCTTCGAGATGCTATGGAGGCGCTCTTGGTGTACACGATCAGCCAACAACACCACCTCCGAACCCGACAGGTCTCCTCTTACCACCGTTCTCAGGCAGTATCGTCATGACTTTATATGCCTTGCCCATTCCTTTAGGGCCGCCCTCGACCAGCCGCTTCCAGCCCGTATTTAGCTCAGACTTTTTCTTTTCGATTTCTTCAGGATCAGCACCGCCTTTCTTTTCAAACTCTCTTAAGAGTCGTTCTGCCCGCTCCTTAATGCCCAATTGACTCAGCCAGGCACCCTGCTCGATCGGTCCGTGGACCTCGACACCAGGACTGGCTTCGAGGGCGGCGTCCGCCAGAGCCCCGAAGTCCACGTCCGCACTTATATCTGCTTCGCCGGCATACACGAACGGCGAGATGATTTTGTGCTTGCGAATAGCACGCAGCGAATTGACAGGGACGGTCTCAAGTGGGCCGTAGTCAATGATCAGAGCGGCGCCTGAGGGCTTTGTTTTTGAGGGAATTCCAGCATCAGGCTGAGCCCTGCCTTTTGGAGAAGCAGAGATGCCACCTCCAATCCTGCGCGCAAAGTCCTGCACATAGCGCGAGCTCTCGGGTGATACCTCGACTCGAGAAGAGGGTTGATTCTTCAAGGCGCGATATCGAGGTCGTTCCGGTATGACCAACGAGCTAGGCGTGCTTGCTTGCGCGAGCGTGAGCTGAAAATCCGGGTCCGGGTCTTCGTAGCTTTCCTTCGCAGCTTCTGTCGGCGACGGCAAGCTGAACTTCTGCTTCGTTGGGGCAACCAGGAGTTCGCGCCATTGAGGAAGTCTGCTTGCCATTGAAGGCTTCGGAACAGGCTGACCTGCTTCATTGAGGAGTTTTGCCCGCGCATCCTCTTTCTGAGCATCCTCGGGTTTTGGCGCAACAGACTCAAAAGCATGTATGGGTAAAGCGTCAAAGAATTCATGTGCAATGATGAAGGGCATTTCCTGCCCGGCTGCCTCGCCTTGATTCGGCAAAAGGACAATATCCTCAACCCATCGTACAGGAATACCCTGCACGCTTGTAGCTTCCCACCAGACATTCTTGCCTGTATGGTCTGTGACCTCCTTCATTTCTGTATTTGTTCCGCAAAGAAGGTCCTTCTGTTTTGTCCGGAGTCCTTCTCCTGCTTCGACCAGCCAGACCGCTGAGATCGATCTGGCGAATGTGGCGAATTGCCGGACCGTCCGCAAGATGTCGCTCATCAATGTTCCGCGTCCAGGGCCCATCTCAATAAATTGCACGCCCTGCGCAGGACGACCCTGCGCCATCCATTCTGTCATGAACCATATGCCCACCAATTCGCCAAAAATCTGGGATATTTCAGGAGAGGTTATGAAGTCACCAGTTGTGCCGAACTGGTCAGAGTCTTCGCGAGTTGTGGTATAGTATCCGCCGTCGGGGTTGGTGAGGCATTGGCGCATGTAGGAGGCTATCGAGACTGGGCCAGTGACCTGTGATGTAAGGAGATGATCAGCACCTCATTCTGGCGGTAGCAGAACATTTGTCGCTCATTGGAGGAGTGCCTACCTCGATCGCCTGGGCGATTGTCTTCGCAAGTGGTGTCGACCATTTCCGCGAGGGCAATGTAGGACTGGCTGCAGTCTTGGCTTCCGCTGGCTGCGTTGCGGGCACCGAGCTTCCATCTGCTGGATTTGGGCCATTACTCGACCATCGCTTTGGTGAATGACTCGGCTCGAGGTAGGTGGCTTGCGGCGCAGGGATGCGCAGGGGAGAAATGGTGCACCATTGGGAGATTGGCGGATTCAGCCGAAGCAGTCGTTGGAGACGAGATGGTCCATATCTCATCTCTAGACCGGGTAGTCTCTTTCTGCTAGGTAAGAGCTGGAAGGAAAAGTTGTGTTGGCTAGAGGTCTCTACGAGGCAGGGGAAGATTTGGTTCTGATCATCAACAGAGATGACGCTCCAGCGCGGCTCACCGACTCTTGCCGCTTTAAAAAGCACTCACTTCACGATTCACTCTCGACGCACCCTTTTTTCTAGTTCTCTATGTAATTGTAATGCCTATAGACAAGGGATTCTAGAAAGTATGGATACATCAGAGCAAGATGGCCGAGTCGATGCCATGTGAGACGTCGTTGTAGGTCAGTTCCGAGGCCTTTTGCTTGCGCGCGGCATCCAACAGCCAACACTCGCTGTCACTCTTGAAAAACCAGATGGCATTACACTTGTCATTAGTCGAGCATGAGTCGATACACGCACGGAACGAGGTGGTTTTGAACCATTGATGCCACCCGTTGACGTCGAGGAGATCGTATCGCCAGTCGCAATTGTAGTAAAACTTCTTGCCGTTGGCGGTGGTATATGGGTTGTCCGGATTGGTACCGTCGCAGATCTCCCATGACTATCATCAAAGACATCAGTTTCTGGGCCTAGAAAATCATGGCCTCCACCTGGAAGAGATGTCGCCGGGAGAAAAGGGGTTGGGAAGACCTACCGCAGCTCTTGGGACCAAGGTGGTCGGCTCCGGCAAGGACGATGAGCTTGACAGCGTGCCTCCTCCATAAGGATGCATTTCTCGGGGAGGAAAGAGTGCAAAGTCCTCGTCGTCATTGAATTGGTCGTTGTTGGTGGTTGGCTCCAAGGGTGGAAGTGTGGTCCGGGTTGGTGCCTGGGTGGTACTAATTTGCGACGTCGATTTCGTCAATTCCTTCTTGATATGGCCCCATATATCAAACTCGTCGTCATGTGGGCCGTCGTTCTGAGCCGATGGTGCGCAGTGAACCGCGAGGAATGCCGAGGCGGTGACCAAGGCAAAGAGTGAGGCTTTCATGGTTGAAGAGAGGCAAGCTGATGCTTGTCAACTTCGTGGTTAAAGGTCACTTTGCTGGTATCTAGCTGCGACACGAATTCAAGGATGTGCAAGACTTAACTTTGCAAGCAAAGAAACAAACCAACTCGCCTTTATATGCTCCTCAATCAGACACCCAATGCCTTATGTACCAAGATTGAGCATAGTATCTGGCAATGTTTATTTTTGGAAACTGCGTCTATAAGCGGGCGGGATGGAGAGTACCAAGTACCAATACGTTGCCACAAGTCACCTAGGTGTGTCTGCTCAAGTACCGTCAATAGTGAGAGTGATAGTCTGCATTGAGTCTTCGCGGTCTGTGCGGGTATGTGCTTTGATGGCGCATCGTGAGGAACGATAATTATAACCTCCAAGGACCGCATGGACCTACCTAGGTAGCTTTCAAGGCATGATACTCCTTCGCTGAGGAGTACACGGACCACGCCGAGCAGGGCACGTGGTCTTCAAGGTCTTCGATGCACCTCACGACCGCATGGAGAGCTCTCTGTTCATGAGTTCAACTTCAAGTTGGATGGGACAGTTGAGACAGTGGTCCAATCGACCACCGTACCGCGACACGTACTAAGACCCAACGATTCCGTGCAGTCCACCACGCACATTCAACCTGTCCAACGTATTGCCTGTCCGGCTTCATTGTCCTACGTCCGGAAAGATGGGCAGACCATCAGCCTGAATTCCCAACGTGTAATGTCGCGCGAGGTGAAGCTGGCTACACAGCCTTCTGAGATGCTGTCACAGAAGTACGCTGGTGTCCTTTCGATCTCTCGCCTTGTAGCTCTCAGTCAGCTCTCTGATAAGTCAGCAGCTGATGCTTGTCCCCTACAAGCTTTATTCCAGGCGCCTGCAGCTAGACTCTTTTCTGGCGAAGACCACGAGCAATTGGCGGCCAACCACGCAATAATGCTGAGAGTCGAACGGAGTACAGCCCCCGAACGATCAGCAGAACGGCGGGAACTCAGCGTGCTCAGCCTACCAGCCTACCCACCTCGCGCTGCTATCCATGGTTGGATTAGTCGTTGCTGCTGCTGATGCTGCTCTAGTGATAGTCGGCATCCCAACACAACGACCTGTGGAAGCAGGAATATACATAAAAGGTAAGGGTTCGCATTCCAGAAGATAAGCCAGACTCCTCCATCATCGAGTGCATTTTCCATTCTGCACTCTCAGAGCTTTTCGGCCTCTGACTTCCAGCGTGCCCATCATCGTTTGCTAGACCCCCTCAAGATTCAACAAATTACCCCACCATCATGCCCATTATCAGCAGGTTAGTCAAAGGCGTCGGCGCAGGCATTGGCCTAGCGTCTGAAGCGATCGCCGACCACAAAGGAAAGAAAACCGCCTCATCACAACCATCTCATGTCGAAGCCGGCGAGAGTTCTGGGTCTACGACTCTCGCACCTGGCTACCCAGAAGACAGCAAACAGCGACGTCGTTCCTTTGACAAACGTGCATCCGACAAAGGTACCGCGGACGACGACGACTCAGAAGGCTATGACAGTGAAGACCTCGATGCCGATCAAGAGGAGTGGGCCCTCGACGCGGCTGCCACCGAACTCGAAGCACCACCACCGTCCTACGAGGAGGCGTCGGCGTCGGCGTCGGCCACTCCAGCCTCAGCAGACGAAGTCGCGACATCCTTTCTTCAATCGCACAAACTCGCGCCCACACCGTCGCAAAAGTTCCAACCTCTGCCATATCCCGTCATCCTTCCGCAACGCCGGCCCAAGGACAAATCTCGAGGCTTCGTGCGCGGGTACGCTCCCATCCTGGGCGAATGTTCCGGCATTGACCAACAAACCTTCCTCGACTTCCTGAAAGACTTCGACAAGGCATCCCGAGCCAGCCCAGTCCTCGATGTCATCAACATAGCCGCCATGGCCGTGGGTTTCATACCCAACCCAATCGTCATGGGCGTCACAATCGGCGTGCAAGTCGCCGTCGGCACGGCCAAGGAAGTGCAATCCCGATACCGTCGCAACACATATCTCGACCAGGTCAACGAGGTCCTCTTCAAACCCCGCGGCCTCTACTGCATGATCATGACCTACAAGCCGGACAACCCGTACGACGCCATCATGCACGTCGACGTGAACACGAACACGCGATCACAAGATCAGGCCCTCGCGAAGGCCCTCTCCAACCCCGACAACGAGCTCCGGCAGAAACTGAAGAACCTACGCCTCACATCCGGCACGACCCAAGGCGAAATGTCTCTCCCCGAAGCCGCGCCTCTCATCTATCCAGCCCTCGACGCCGCCGCAGTCTCAACGGCCGAGACCGGTTCCGCCTTACCCGCGCAGAAACAAAACGCACTCAAGCAATCCGGCAAGTTCCTCGCAGACTACTTCGACCGACGCGCCCAGGCAACCTACATAGGGACCAACCCCTCAAGCCGTCTGGCACCGCCGCCTCCAGAAAAGAAGTTCGCGTCACGCTTTGCCGACCCCAACCATCCCGTCAACTCCGGCTCAATCACCGCGCTGCTCACGGGCGGCCACATCGATCTGATGAAGAGGAAGCGCACACGAAGGGCGCGGCGTCGTGCAGCCTGGCAGGGCGCCCAGCTAAGTGAGCAGGATATCAAGAATGCGGAAATGGGTCGTGGACCGCGCCGGAGGCAAGGCATCATCGGTCGGATCTTGCACCAGGACGTGCTTTACCTCACCATTGTCAATCTGCCGAGCGAGAGCGAAATGAAAGAAATCATGCAGCAGTTGGACATGGCCAAGGAGCAGTCGCGTCCTCAGGCGAATTATCGGTAGCTACTCCGTAGGTGTCCGTACTACCTACGTTTATGCCTTCGGGGGATTCCATTTGTCAGTGACCCCGGTCAGTACCCCGGGTCAGTAATGTGAAGCGGATTTTATTTGTGCCTAGTACCTAGGGTATGTCTGTACACTTTTGTAGTACGATGGGACTCTCATCAGTTCATAATACCCAATACCCCCTTGGCTGTAGTATGCTACTCAATTCCACCCTAAAGGTGACCACGCATTGCCTACTATGTACAACCGAAAAGACCAGGGTAAGTCATATATAATTCATGCAATATTCCCTTCTATGCGCCGCACCGTCGCTATGCACCGAAAAGGAAACCACCGTCAGCCAACTTATACAGTATCGTACAATCTGATCAAGACTTCTTCCACCTAAGGTACGGTAGGAGTTTGTGGGAATGGGGGAGAGTTCCGATTCCGAAGAAATCACCGTCCCAGATCCACAAACCCAGACCGATGCCCATGCCCATTCTGCCTCGCGAGATCTTGAAATCCACCTCCCCATCCGCTATAACCCTTTCTAGTTCTTCCAGTGGCCTCCTCAAGATAATCTTCGTCACGAGTTCGAGTATTGGTATGCGTATGGGTATCGATGTCGCCGAACTTCTTCTTGCGCGGCGCTCCTCGTCGCTCCTTAGGCCGCAGCACACTCGCCGGGAACTGCGCCCTAATCCGCTCCTCCTTGGTCAATTCGCGCTTCTGGATCCTCGACAGACCCCTCTCCTCGCTCTGCTTCTGTCTCCGTGTTCTCTCTGACTCGATTCTGCGCAAGGCCTTCGTCCGTTGGCCCGGAACATAGTCGAGCCCTCTACCACCACCACCGTCACTCTCGCCTCCTTCGGCATCGGCATCGTCAACAGCACTCCCATTGTCGACCTCATTCTCTAGGGCCAAAACACTGACCGTTCTTGCAATGCGTCCTGAGTCCGCCTCTGTCGTCGGCACGCTGTCACCCACGTTCTCGACCTTGCCCAAGAACGCCGACAACCCGCGCTTCTTCGCCCAACACTCTTTTATGAGCTCGTTATCTAGCGGACCCATCCCATCATCTTCCAGTCGCTCGTTGATCTTCAAGATCTTATCGTACGCACCTATCAGCGTCCTCAGGAAGCCAACCAATTGCGACATGCTCTCTCGAACACTGTAGGGTGTAATCTTGCGCTTGTTCAACAGAGTCTGAACGTTTCTGGTACGTGCTCTCGTAGCTTCAAGCTGCTCGAGCTCAGTGACATGCAATTTGATCAAACGCTTGACGTTGGCCACCTCAGGCTCAAGTTTGCCCAATGCCACAAATGTATTGTTCTTGGCGGGGTCGCGCTCAAAGTCTAGATCACCATTTCTCGTCTTCGTCAGATGTGGCCCGCCAAGTCCTTTCGTCGTTGCCAGTGCTAGTTGCAGGTATTTCTCAAGCACCACGGGCGAGAACCTGAGCCCAAGACTTGAAGGCGAATCATCAACCGTCTCAATGTCGGCGCTTTCTTTCATCAAGTCAAATATGCGGCTGGCAATGCTGAATACATTCGGGTTCCTTTTGTCACGAAAACACGTACTCATGGCAATGGTGAAAGTACCACGGGACATCACTTTCTTCTGGATTTCCTCCGGTCGTGGCTCGAGAAGGAGATCGAGCGTCGCTTGACTCGCGCGCGACACACGGAGGAGACGCATGTATGAGGCGATGTTTGCTGGGTCGGCGGCTAGCTTGTATGGCCCCGTCGGAGAAGTCAGGAGCTGCCAGTAATTCTTCCCAGCGCCGATCTGTCTTAGCGCAGTAGTAGCCTCCATGAGCATCGAAAGAGTGTTGTTACCTGGCCTGGCATAGATGGACGAGTCCGTGTGGGTGACCGGCATCGGTCGATATAGGCTTGCTGTAACATCCACCGAGGCAGGAGACACGTCTTCAGAATCTTCGGGAGCGCCAATCCATGCTGTTCGTGATTCATCTGTGTCCTGCCCAGGCTCCTGTTGAGGTTTGTAATTGGGAATATTCATAGTCTGCTGAACCAGGTTCAATACATCCTCACAAGACTTGGTTTCTGCCGACAGCAACAATATTCTGCCCATGGCACAGACAAGATCCTCATCGGGGTGTAGAAGACCCCTCCTCCAACGGGAGGTAATGTCGACCCACAGCTTTCGGGCGTCGTTGACGGCTTCTTCAAAGATTGGCTGGGGGTCATATTCGTGGCCTGGCGTATCGGATCCCAACTTTACTGCCCGACTCCTAACCTCAGCGTTTATGGCGTTCAGGATGGTGGTGTAAGTAATTTGATCAGGAGCGCCAGGTCCGCGCTCTGGCAGCTTTCCAGCGATGGCCCACATCGAATCGGTGTGTAGTGCTCTTGCGCATACATTCAGGACTGCGTTTGTATGGATTACGGTAGGCTCGACAGCCGAGTTGGGTGCGCCAATGGAGTTGTAGACGTTGATTGCCTGTTTGACTGCATTTGGGCTTCTGAAGTTGTCACGGTAGCCTCTCAGCATGATTGTGTAGGTGTGAGCGTCAGGCTTGTGACCTCGTTTCTTCATCTGGAACGCAAATTAATCAGCAGAGGCGCTTGACCGAAGGGCAATAGCCTAATGTACCTCATTGTATATCTTCCATGCATCATTCGGTTGCTTTTGTTGCATCAGCCAGTCTATTAGATGATTCCAACTGACGGTGTTGTCGATACTGGCCCGAGAGACTCCGACCCCCTTGTCACTTTCTCGCACAAGGTTCAAGGCAACATCGAACTGCCCCTTCCTCAATTTCTCGCCCACGGCTTGGGCCAGCTTGAGTGGATCGCTGAGGTATTGCAATTCAAGCCTTGCGCTGTTAGTAACCTCGGTCCTGCCGTAGTTGTTCATTAGGCGCATCCGGTTGCTGTTCCTCGCGCGAGCATCTTTCGTCGCTGCCCTTGCGACAGCCGGTGACAACTTCAACGGAGCCGGTTTCAACTTTTTCTTGGTGGAAAGGGATTCATTAAGGAGTCGGCGGTGATGACCCTGCTGTATAGATTGCAGGGTAGCATGGCTGCGGCGAAAAGTCTTCACAGATCGGAGTCGTAGTGCAGGATTGTAAGGCCGGGCCGCGTCAAGAGCAAGGGATCGGAAAGCCTGGAGCAGACAGGAAGGACAGGTGAACATTGGATGAACGAGACAAGCAACAGGCACTCTAAAGGATTGAATACTGGATAGTCACAGTTGAATGGCCTTCAGTCTCGCAGTCTCTCGCGAGCGAACCATTTTTTCTATAGGGAAACTTTGCCGAGTGATGCGGCACGTGACTGTTAGATTCGACGAGTCGGATATCGGTCCTGTACTGGATCTCAGCCAAAGGAGGGAAACTCTGTACCGCAAGACAGTCAGGTCGACAAGACAGAGAACTGAGATTCTTAACATCAATCACGGAATGGCACAGAAAAAGCCACATCCCACTGTCTGAGATTCCATTCACGGCGAGAGTAGGACAATGTCAGTCCACCGCCACTGTTTGATATCACCAATGTGAGACAACCAGCCAGGCTCAATGAAAGATAGGCCGATAGCCTCCCTACCTTTCGCCATCATGCAGTATGCAAGGCTGCGGTTGGATTTGGTTAGCACAAACATATTTTCAAACTTTCTGCCGCACCAGCTGATGGGCACAAGGCGATGGCGCTCTTGCAACGAGCACTAACCTCCAACCCTAGCCCATGCTGCTTTCGTTGAGCGTGGCAAGACCTCCTCGTATTTTCCCCGCTGCAGATGCAGATGCTTTTTCCGGCTAGATTTTCTGGGCTTGTAGTAGTAGAAGTGAGAAGCACCGTCCCAGTCGGTAGTAGGTAACATTTATATGCTCACCTGGTCGTGGTGGTAGTACGGAGTATTGGCTGGTCAACAAGCACGCATGGCTCACCTCTTGAATACTGTAAGTTGCCACATAGAGAGGCCACACACCCAACTCGAATCACCCGAGACATATCAACGAGGCTTTGTGGGCGGTTTCCCGACTCTGGGCCGAGTCTGCAGAAGTGTGGCGACGTTGATAGTCAAATCGTCTCGTTGCAAATTTTCATGTAGACACAGACTGTTTGCGCTCTCGCCTCGGGGCCTCTGTGGCAAAGATCGGCCTTACTCACCATCCTGGCTGGCCGTCAGGCGCGCGCCGCTGGAGTGAGCCTTTAAGCTCGTTGAGGTTAGCTGTTCTTGATCTGTGTCCTCAAGCCTGGTGGCCCAGGTTTGGCATAGTTGACAGACTTGCAGATGGTAGGGATGACAGGATGAGGGTTAGCAGACCATTCGGGACACTGACTGGATAGAGCGCAGGATGATGGAGACCAGTGACAGTCAGATCCAGAGTGTCGGTACAGTGTGTGGTTGACATTGTGTGTCCAGTGGCCCAACGAAGTCTTGGAGTTCTAGCTAGGGCTAGTGAGGCCCATGATGGCCTGGTGAGCCTTTCTTTTTGACGTGTGAGGGCCACTCCGGCTCGAATGCCCCTAACAGCTAGCTAGTAGGCGGCTTTCCCTCAGGTAGATTAGTGGTGCTGATTGAGCCCTTGAAGCCTAAATCCTTAGTCGCAAGGCCCAAGTCATGCCTGTAAGCTTAGCTACTAGCCTTGGTGCCAATCCACCACACCACACATGTCTTCATCCTCCAAGCTCCCGTCAAAATCCCACCACGCCGGCGAATTTCTTGCATCAGCCTCTTCTACCCCAGAGTCAGACTAAAGCCAAACTCACCATTCGGGCACCATCTTAGTTCCCATAGTCTTGTGTGACCGTGCTAAACCCAAGTTCGAGATCGGATAGGATGGTCTGTCACACGCCAAACGTCCACCATCTCATGCCCTGGTAGAACCTTAAGTGCACGACGTCGATCGTCCAAAAAGATACCAGATGACCCAGATTAGTTGAATCAGTTCGTGCCCAAAAACATCAGCCATGGCAAAGCAAATCTTTTTGCTCGACGGGCCGCAATGGCCTCCACGACTTTTCTCCCTCGGCCGGCGTTACGACTCGGTTCTGGATTCTAGATACGGACAACAATATATGAAGGAAAGGTATCATGAATTGATGATCGTGTCTTCGAGCGGCTTGCCTCTGCGACTAGAAGTCCTGCAAGACCGCACTCAGACGTCCTAACAATACGATCATCTCGAGCCCCTACAAAGTAAGAGTCGTATCCTGCTCAATTCTGAATACCACGAATGTACAACAGAGGAACTCAAACACCTCCCCAATGCCAACTGAGTTGTGCAGCAGTCATGGCCGATGGAGGTCTCCCCTTCTGCTCCTGCGGGTCGTAGGCTCATGATCGGGTGTGCGTGCAGATGACAAACCACACCCGGATACGTCTTCTGTCCCTTTCAAAATTGCATGCTGTCGGCCGTCATCACATTCATCCCCTTGCTTGAACCCTCTGTGTCGCTGAGCCGGTTCTGATGCACCCAGCCGCTGAAAGGAAGAAAGAAAAAAAAGAACTCATCAATATGCACACAACCAACCCAACCAGCCCACCTGGCAAAGAACTCCTGCTCGCATGGACCGGATTCTTTTGACGTTTCCCCTGTCGCTCTCCTATTATCTCCTCCTCTCCCACCTAGGGTATCTGTTGCAAAAAAGAAGTGGCACCACACCAATGCATAAAAGCATGGGATTCTAGTACAGCCTCTATTGCGGGACTGCAATTAGCAAGCCATCCAAAAGCCACTCGACCTTGCTGCTGGGTCCATTGGGACTAGTATTGTCGTTGTTGATAGACCTGGCCTTGTTGGGCGTAGGGGGAATTGGGGTAGTTGGCGTAGTTGCCCATCTGGCCGTTTCCTTGTGGGTAGACCATACCACCCTGAGGTTGTGCGTACTGTCCTTGCGCGTGTCCATCTGCCGATTGATAGCCGATAGGTGGCAGCGAGGGTCGAGCACCGTTCTGCTGATAACCCTGTCCGGGCACTTGGTGTGCGTCACCTGCCTGGCCGTCCACTTGGCTCGCTTGAGCTGCTGCCTGTCGCTGTCGTTCTTCCTCAGCCTTTCTGGCATTTTCTTCTTCCTTCTTGCGAGCTTTCCACTCCTTGCGGATCTCCTTGAATTCTGCTCCCGAGTCAGCCGTATTCAGCGAAACGCTCCAGCCAAACACTGGCTACTCTTGCGACCAGGAATCGCGCCCGCGACATATGCACGACACAGGGGAAATGGGAACGTCGTGGAAGCGGAAGTGGCGCCTACCTTCAGGTGTTCTCTTTGTACCATGCGACTGCATGGTCACGTGGGCGTTCAGGTGGTTCAAAGTCCCATATGCTTTCTCGCAGCCATTCCACCCACACTTGTACATTCTCTCAATCTCTTCATACCGTCTACGAGGTCGCTTGTGCTGCTGTGCACCAGGGATTGGGACAAACGAATAGACCTGGCAGGAGGTTAACCTTCATTATTGGTCATGGACAGATTCCAAAGCTCTTACCTGACCGGTGCGCGATGTTGCCGAAGTTTGAGGCGGTCCTTGGACCCCGGTGCCGGGATGCGGGTATGGTGCAGGCATACCATGCTGTGGTGGATAGCCTCCCCATTGCTCGTGAGGTGGTCGCTGCTGCATGTACGGGGGATGCTGAGGCTGGTAGGCGTGCTGCATGTTACCGTCTTGGGTATACGGTGAGTATGGAGGGTAGGTCGGGCTAGCTTGCGATATCGAGGGATCTATAGGCACGTCCGAGTTAGACCTCACATGGTGGGAATTTGCGGTTGGATTGCCATTGGGCGCGCCCTCCGGCAGGGTTATTGACGGACTTGTTGGTTGTGCCATTGTTCCTACTGCACCTGGATGTGGGGGCGCGTGAGTGAACTGGCTGTATCGCAGATGTTCTGGCGGAAACCCCGATGAGCGCGCAGACGACGGCGTCAAACCGTAATCCGACTGCGGTGTGTTGTTGCTCGAGATGTTCGAGGAACGCGGGTCTTGCGTGGTGTATGTCGCAACAGACGATTGATCTAGCGACACGACTTTCTCAGAGCTTGCTCGTGAATTTCTTCTGGTGGTGAAGTTGCTAACCTGACTGCGCGTATTCTGGTGCTCCCCTGTCCATCAATAGTGACTTTGAATGCCCACCACGTAAAGTGTAGGCGTGGTGAATGCACGAGGCAGCGGTTGGTAGGATCTCGAGTGGTACGTGACCCGAAGTGATGGTAGTGGATGACAGCAGTCGCGCAAAAAGGTAAACTGTTTAGGCCGCAAGCTCGGCCAGCAGGCGACGATAGGACTGAAGCACTCTTTAGATCGAGCACCGGCGTATTCTTTATTCTGATGGCTGCCCAGGCGAGGGGAGAGCATCCACCGGTCAACCTAAACGTCGGCAGAGTGGGGAGAGCTTGTAACGACTGAGGGAATGGGTCGGGAAACAACAAGCGTCTCTTTGCACGAGGGAAGACCACCAGATCGGTGAGCGGTCCAGTCGAACCAAAAGGGACGTGGTTGATCTTGACCAGGGGCAGCAACCGGCCTAACCGATGGGGCGGAGGAAGCGGTTCGAAAATGAGGGTTTTAGCACTGCTTCTCGCTGAACTAGTTGCAAGCTTGGACAGACCAAGAGCAACCCGTTACTTCTCTCGAGATGGCGCGAGGTCCCAGGCTAATAAAGAAAAGAGGGCAGATGGGAAGCGAGACAAGCTTCGAGCCCAGTGCAGGTGATCAGGGTTATGCCTTCGGCCCCCAGGACACCCGTTCTACGTAGCAATGAGCTGCAGTCTCTTTTCGCGATTGTTTGGCTGTGTGGTGCCAAGTTATGCACCTGGATATTCCAGGTTGATTTGACAGGACAGCTTTTGCTTGCCCCCCCTGAACGGGCAGCAGTACTCGACCGGGCTGTCGCCTCCACCTTGAGAGCACGATCGCAGATGCAAGAGCGACTGCTGAGCAGAAGAGTGGATCCGGGCAGTCGCTGACCAGGCTTCAATGCACACCACCTCCTGCCAATGGCAAGTATTCCTTCAATGGAGAATATTGTTCCCTGCACTGACTTTCCGACTTGCAGTTTTCGGTCGTGAGAGTAGCTCCACCCCTGTCGTGTGGATAGCCAGTCGCAGGGTGGCCTTTCGGCAGCTGTCTTGGAGTCGGAGAAGGGAACGAAAGTCTGAGAGTTTATGGTGGACCGAGGGTGAAAGCGTGATAGCGCGGGCTTTCGGCAGGGCCTAGAGGGGCGGCAACTAGCAGGGGAGTGTTGGAAGTGTTTTGATCAAGCAAGACCCACGTCCACAGCAGGTTCGGTAAGAGACTTTCGCGGGATGACTATCTCTTGTATCGAGTGTCTTTTTTCTTTTTCTTTGTTCGCGGTCGGAGGATGGGTGACTGTCACAGGTTTACACATGCAGGTGGCAATGAGATGTAACGCTATGATGAGGTCGAAGTGAGACGTTGTCCTGTAGGAAATACCATGTGCGGTCTTGACGTTTGATGGTCGAAGAGGGCAGCACGCTGCGGGATGGGTGGGCACGAATCAATCACGAGCAAGAAGTTCGTGAAGCGAGATGTGCAATCCTCCCAGGTGATCCTGTGCTCTGACAGGTAAGGTGTGCGTCGCAGTCGTGAATCACCCACCAAGGAGAGGGCGGAATTGGAAGGTTCTGAGCAAGAGATGTGATTTGCCGCTCGTCGAGAGCAAGGAGGATGGCTGGTCGCTGATGGACAGGGGGTGTGGTGTGGTGCCCGGTGGTGGCTCGTGGGAGGTCGGAGGCTGGAAGATTATGTGGTAATGGAGAGGAACAAAAGTTGGTGGACCCGTGCTTGAGGGTCTCGAGATGGGTCGATGATGCGGTTCGAGTGGAGAGAGATGAAGTAGCGAAGAGAGATTAATCGTCCAAGGCTCGCGAGAATTGGAGCAGCAGCAGCAGACGCAGGCACCTGGTCGCTTTCGTTGACGGTTTGGGGATCTGTCTCCGAGCGAGCGAGCGGGCGAGGGGCAGAAAGCGTCAGAAGGCGAAGACAGGTGAAAAAGTTGAGTTTCTTGAAAAGAGGCAGGCAGGAATGAACCGGGGCACAGCTGCGTTCAGGCCCTTGTGAGTGTCGTGTCTTGTCCGGGTCCCTGTCCACAACAATCAAGCTCTCATTAATTTCATCGAATGTACCACAGTAGTTTGTCGTGGATCGACCCTTTTTCCTTCGATTTCCACCCCGGTGGTTCTTCTCGGGGACTTTCGTATTTGGCAGAAAACTGGCCGCTAGTGAAATGAGGACAAGTGAAAACCAAGTGAGCAGTGAGCAGACGGCACACGGGCGTTAGGGGGCAAGACTGTGGGTGACTGGGCAGAGAAGCGTGCGACTCGCACTCCCTCGATGGTTCCGAGTCGGTGTCCGTGTCCCGCACCTGCAGCATCTCTACGCTAATCCCACCTTGGTTTGGTCTGTCCTTGGCATCAAATCATCCCCAAGACACTGCAACTCCGACCACTTCTGCTGCACTCTTTCCAGGATATGAACCAGGTAAAGGATACGACGTGCAGGGGTCCTTTGTCCTTTCCAGCGTGCGAGATGGTTTTCCGCCGGGCTGTGGCCTCTTCGTTGCCTGTCTCAAAGCCACGGGTTGTTGATCCGTTGTCCGCTTCCTTGCCTTGTTGGATCCACCTCGGTACCTTGTCTCATGGTCACTCACCCATCATATTGCCCTGCAATCACGCTCACACCACTCCGACGGGAACATGTCACAGACCGCCAGAACACTTCTTTTATGCATGAATGCCTGTGCATGACCAGGGTTCGGTCAGCACGGGAGTGACAACCCCAAGTCACCTTGCGAGAATTTGGCGCAGTCATGGGTCGTCGGTTATCCCCGTGCACAAGAATTGGACTTTGTGGGCTCCTCGCTTCCGCGGACACAAGTCATTTTCTACGAGTACGACAGTACTGTGCACTTTGCACAAATCACCCCGAGGAATGGCTCAAGAGCAATTTTAGTTTGGACTTTTTCAGGGGTCCCACGAGGCCGATAATGTGCTTTAGCCTTCTTCCCCGGGATGCCACCTCATTGCCCACCAATCACGACGTTTCACCCTACTACCCCGATTGTGCTTAGCCTGTTTCTACGAGGCCAAAGTGAGTACGTACCGGTATCTCCTCAAAATCTCGGCTGTCTTCAACACGGCGTGCTTCTTTCCGCGAGACCACACACATCAAGTGTGACACCTCTGTCCTTCACTGCGCGCAACCATTGATGATTCCGCGTGGCTTGACTGCATCGCAGATTCAGCGACAAAGACTACTTCCAGATAGGCCGGGCATGAAAGCCAGCCTCCACCATCCTCTTAAAGTCCGGGCAACTTGCATTACTAGGCGACTGAGATTCCGCAAGTTCAGAAGATTGACTTGAGACGCCTGCTTCGTGCATGGCCCGGGAGGCGGCCCGTCGGTCCCTCGAATACCTTCACTTGTTGAACCAGCCTTGCCATACGACACACAATAAGGTATCAGATCAGACGATCTTCCGGAGAAGGCTCGGAGTTCTTGTCCTAGCGCTGCTGCACTTGTTCGTGGTACGGGTGAACCTTGGTGTTTGCTCATCTATGATTTGCCCATCCTATTCCGTTTTCAATGTTTTCAGTGTTCACAGCAATAATGCGGAACCGTTATCGGACTTGGTCGCAGAAGCTCGAACGCACGCTACGTCTAGAATGCTGGAAGGTGCGTGGAGAAGGCTGGTGCAGAGTTGCCCGGTCGAGGCTAAGCATCCCATCATTACCGTATATTCGGGTTTTGGTCATACAATCTCTTGCCAGCGACAAGTATCCAATCTTGCCGCCTTGTCGCTCGCTCCTACCGGACGTGATGCATGCCGCCCAGGTGCCAGTCCCCCTTGATCGGTTACTGGCACTGTGGTGATTGGATGCACACCTGCAATTCGCTTGAAAACATCAACTGCAGGCGAGGATCTCCAATCAAGAAGATCCTTTCAATTTTGGGTGTACTGCGGCTTCTTTGCCTGGATTAAACCTCCAAAGGATCGCTGCAGATTGACTTCATGAGGTGAGCAACACCTTTGCCAGCCATCGGCCGAGCTGCACAAGAAATGCAATGAGGACCCGAAGTGGCTGTCCTAGTTTCTAGGGTTTGCAGTCAACCTCGGTTGGACTTGTGTTGGGCAATGAACTCGAACTGCGAGACGCATGAAGAGGTCTGGGCTCGAGCCCCGCTAGAAGACATGCATGTCTGCGAACCTCCGTCATACTGCATGCTGTTCATATGCGTGGGGATCCTTCGCGCTCGTTGATACCCGACTCAATGCCCGCGGAGCTCGGGTTGCAACTTACTGTCTTTTGCTGAATGTTGGTGTGTCCGGGCATGACATCTCTTCTACAAAGATTTGCTTCTTGTGGAGAGCCCGATGGGTTGCCTTTGGCGCGAGTGGGCAGGCTTGAGACCACTACTGTATACGTGCAACTATGGTACTGCTCGGTGCTCCTACGCAAGGCCATGGCGCACGGGTAGCCATGGGTTCACTCCAGGTCATCACTCCGGAACTTGCCATTGATCAACGGTACTCTCAGTCTAGTTAACAGGACACAGTACGATAACAGACGAAGGTAAGTGAACCCGAGCTCGAATGCAGCGACGGGGCCACTATGCATGCAGACTCTGCACCATGCATAGCCAAAGCAGATAGATGTGACCCTATCAAGCGCTCGAAGCGCCCCAGCCACCCTTTATTCTCGGCAGTCAAGGTGATGTCCTGACCACGGCGTCGAAATGAAATCAAAGCCAAGTTGTTCGCAGCCAGGCCCAGTCCTCCTTCACTGGCACGAGTCAAGTCCTACAAGACAATCCGTCGGTGTGGTGCTGTTGTGAAAGTCAAGCAGTCACCTCGATTCGAGACAAGGAGCAGACACAAGGGTTTCTGTTGGTTTGTTTGAACGGTGTGCAACTTCAAGGCACCAGCACGCACGTTGCGATATGTTAAACTATAGCGAATAGTTTCCAATGCTTTACGGTACCATATTGTTGGCTATCTCACACTGGTGCTCCCGCAACCTGGATCCAGCAGTGGGTTTTGATGTATCACAACAGCAGCGACACTTTCGAGTGGACAGATCGCCCTCACAAACATGAAAGCCTCCCGCAACGTTTCCACGAGACCCTGTCCATTCCACATGGAGCAACCGAAAAATACGGAGTATCCCGTCATGGTGTCAGTCGCTAGCACATCTCGCGTCCCTCCCCATTCTTGGTGAACGGCAAGTCCAGGAGCGGTGTTCTGCAGCCCGAGGTTTCATGCATCATTACTCCGTATTGGCAAAGGCAAGCCATCCCACGGCCTCCCGCTGGTAAAGCTGGAGAGAAGATGGCATGCATTGTCGGCTCAGGATAGCAACACACCTAGTACTTACTCGTACTCGTACAACAACGACGAAAATCATGGTGCCCAACCTGACATCTTCTGGATCATTTAATTCAATCACAAATCGCAGCAGATACCTGAATCCACTGATCGAACGTCAACAACGTCTCTTGGGACTGCCAGCAAATAGACTTTGGTACTGATGCAGCATATTGCGACCGTGCCGGCCTCACACCGAGACACTTTGGATCACTCAGCTGTGAGTATAGCTACTCCCACCTCAACCCCTACCTATCCTCACGTGCAAACAACACGCAATTTCCTGAATCCGCCTAACACTTCCAAGCCCAACTCTACTCGAGTGTCGAGCCCGATAGCCTGTGCCGATCCCCTGGAACACCTTAGGCACATCACGGGCACATCCCAAGCCAAGGTAACATGCAGTCTCCGTTTAGATGCGCCCATCGGGGCTCCACGCCGAAGCAGGACGCTACACCGATTGGACCATGATACGAAGGGGACAGGGGGCCGATGCTTGGCGTTTGGACGTGGACATGAAGACTCCATCGCACGACCACTGTCGGTCACGAAATAAGGTCGCCGGTCGCCCATCGCTAATGAACGCGCAACTGTGCTCCCACGGTGGACAGCTGATTGCATATGACAGCAGGCTCCTGCCCTCCTCGAGAGGCTAGCATGTACGTGTCGTCTCGAGTGGACAGTTATCTGATACGAGTCCGCTATCCTCATTGTGCCCGCGAATAGAGTTGGAGAGGCTTGGACTTACCACTCAAATCGGAACTGATCCGATTCAATGCAGACCGCGAACTTGTGTGATTATTGTGCTTGAGAACTCCAAACACTTGATGATCTCGGATGCAAAACGGCGCACGCCTACATACACTCATTACATCATCGGATTTTTCCCTTCTCATATCGACGTCTCCAAGCCTTCGATCGCTGTGACACCCTTAAACTTCCCAGCTTGTGGGGAATCCAAGCACCCAGGATCCAGCTTGAACTGCCCTGCCTCACCACATGGTAAATGAGTGCGGGCCAGCTCGCCGGACAGGGCCTGGCAGCCCGACACGATTTGCTTGATATGGAAGACACCCATCCCCCACCTACTTCAACGCCGATGACTACGGCAGCATAACCAAGAAATGCGTTTTGTATGCCCTTACGACTAATAAGAGAAGGCGGGAGTGTTTCCACGTTGAATTGTGTCGTACCGTCTACTATGGTATCTCGAAGAAGGAACGTCGGCATGGTTATTCAAGGTGACGAACCCACATTCATCTGCATGCCTCTGACACAATCTCTCCCTGTCCAAGTGCCCGCGGCGCCCACAACAGAATTGCTTCATGCCGCATGACAGCTGTCCACTTGCCGTGGCCAAATCATCTGCAGATGAAGAAGGAAAACAGTACTCCGTGCTGTGTTCCTCCTCCCATTGCCCAAAGAGAACCCAAGCTAAGAGTATTATTGGGCTCTAGGGTGCTGCAGCCACATTTTTATAGCACCATTAGCTGACGAGTTTACCCGATGGCTTGTTGTCCGAATGCCTGAAAGTGGACTAACCGCTGCGGGAGCCGCTTTTTGTGGTCCAGCCTCGCTCAAGGGAAAGTTTCCAGGGCATCGCGATCGAGACTTCTCTGATCCTGCGACACGAAGCGTCGACTGCGCTTCCCCCCCTCAATCGTGATTTCATGATTCATCTTCAAGGATACTCTGCATCCGGAAGCGGGACCTTGGTTTTTTTCGTTCGAGACTACGGAGTACGAAATATTTTTCGAGTATTATGATTGCTCGGCTGTCTCAAGGGCATGACTGAACAGGAGCGGCAGGTTTTGGGGCCTTGCCCAGGAGGTGGGTCACCTCCTAGACTCGTCAGGACATTCAGCGCCCCGTCTAGTGCCCCAAACTGGGGAAGAAAGGGTACTGTGTAGGCTGCGAAGCTGCAGGCCTCCTCGGCCACGACGTTTGTACCTTAGGATACGGGACGTATGCTCGCAATGGCGACTCCCTTGAGCATGCTCCTCAGAGCAGGTCCAGACCCTTGAGTATGAGCTTTCCACAACCGCATTTCAACGGCTTTCTTGACCTTGCAGCTCGTTTCAGCGGCCCTGAAACGACGCAAACTGCGCACGTCCGTTCGTTGACCTCAAGGAGGGTGAGCCCTCAAAGCACACAAATGGCATTCCTGCTCCCTCCACTCAAGACGTGATGCGAGGGATCGAGTCCACTTGGTGATCCCCTTTGCGTGAGAAAGCCGTAAGTCGAAACTGCTTCAGTGCTGAATTGGTTGCAAACGCAGAAAACCACGTCTCTACTCTCGCCCGCGAAACATCTATCTACTGCTCTTCTCCCACAGCCCAGATAGGGAGCAGACTCAACCGCCCCGAAGAACAAAGCATATGAATCCGCCGCCCTGTGACTCTCTGCCATGCTCGATCATTTAGCAAATCTCCCACCACCAATGCCTTCTAATCCGTCATCCATTCTATCCCTGCGCAAGCTTGCCCTGGACAAAGCTATTTTCCTGCTTCCTGCTGGGATATCTTTAAACGCTGGGCAGCAGGGCCACTAAACAGACTCAGCAGAGCTTCCGCACCACCACTATTTTATAGACACACATTCGCTCACAAGAAAAACAGAGAAAAGGGCTGGATAAGTCAAAAGGCGACAACAACCCATGATCTGCCGAAGTAGTAAGCTGGACACGACGCAATCGTCCTATACATGAACTACTATACGAGATCGGACCCCCGAGGCGATTCGTCTTATTACCCTGAAAAAATCGAAGCAACCCTGAAATCGAAGCAGCCCTGAAATCCCGATACCATCTCATCACGCACCATCGACCATCAAAACCCCGATGTGAACCTCGATGGCAAGAACTCATACCAAACACAAAATTTGCAACCAAAAAAACCACCGCTCAAGAAGAGGCCGGTCGAACGAGACCCAATCCTCCAATCCAGCTCGCCAATTCCAGGGACAGGAGCTATACAAAAAACACGTTCTGCAATGGTAGGGGGAATTTCTTAACACAACACACTATGCGTCTCACGGCGTACCTAGGTCCTTCACACCCCAAAGGAAACGGGGCGCAAGCAGGCTCGTCAAGACAAGCGACTCTTGACTCTTGACTCTTGAATACTCGCGATATGAGAACAGATCTACTCACGTCTCGAGGGGCATGCCCTATACTGCGTGAGGCGAACTGCCAAACTTCGTTGCCTACGTATTGACATAAGTTCAGGCTTTCGATGCCGTCTCAGTTCATTTTATCTGCCCTGTAATGATCACGTTCAGGATGAAAATTCCTCCACGAAAGGGAGAAGCGACATCGGTGTCTTTGTGTCTTTGTGTCTTTGTGTCTTTGTGTCTTTGTGTCTTTGTGTCTTTGTGTCTTTGTGCCTTTGTTTCTTACGAACCTTCCGAAAGACCTTGGCCTCAGCTATTACTCTACCGAGCAAACAAGCAAGCAAGCCAGCAGGATCCTTCTTGATGGCCATCAAACCCTTATAAGATACGACACTACTATGTAGATAAACTTAAGTTCATCTTTGTCCAAAATCTAGATGCCACATTTACTAGTACTTACTAGTATTTCTACCCGACATTCGGGGGACCTCACTCGATTGTGACATTGAAAATAGAGGAACACCTGTTGTCAATATTCCACCATAGACAACGCTCCCATAGCACCCCATAGATATATAGGCTCACTAAGCTGAAAGTCACCGACAAGCCAGCCTACCTCCCTACCTACCTACCTACCTTAACCTGACTGTCCCATTCTGGACATACGCAGCTATTGTACCTGATGAAAACACCACTGAGCGAAACGACCGACCGACCAACCTAACGATTGACTATGTGCAAAAAAAAAAGGGAAGCTGTCTGTCGGGCTGCTGAACATGATTCCATCCTTCTTGGGAACCGTCGAGAATTCGAGAATACTTAGTACTGTGTAAACCTCCATAAGCCCGGGAATCAACGAGATGGATCTGGTAAGGCACCACCTTGATCAACGCAGTGTTGCTCTATGCCACTCTGTCTCAAATTCGCTACCGAGCCTGGTGGGAATTGGGGGGCAGCTAGTACAAAGTCCTGCACCACGCATGAACAGACGCTGAATATCGGGTCGTACGTCCTCGCATTGAGCATGTACCTTTTTGGGGTGATGGACTGTCGAATGTCGAAGAAAAATTCTTTGCTCAATACCCTGGAAGAACAAATCTCACATGATAGTGTTCAATGTCAGGAAATGCAGATGCTTACTAGTATTCTTCAACTCCAAGAGACCAGGTAATGTATTTGCTGCCAGGTTTGTTTACGACCTTTCCATCAATATCATGACAGACGCAGAGTGCCATCGACCGTCTCCCATTAATCAGAACATAGCAACGAGACACAATGTTCATTCAAAAGTCAAGCTCATTGATCGGAAGTTTGATTGATGTACACAGTGATGCAGAGCAATTTCTATCTCTATTCTCTTGCACATAATGCTCATGCTTGTGTGCTGGTGCAGTGATATGCTATAACACCACAACCAGCATCTAGGCTTCATCATAAAACGCTGTCTATCGTTTTCCGATCACAACCTCAATATCAACCCAGCTGCGCAAAGTTGCCAGACCCATAACTCGTGCTCTTTCAGCGAAATGAAAGCAGTTACACCAGCACGGAGGCACGATCTGCCCATCTTCCAATAACCATGACGCCTAAACCCCAATACGGATATCAACAAGTCTATCGGATATCTCCATGTGACGAACGATTTGCGTGAAGAAACGTCGTAATGCAAGGCAAAAATCCGGTCACCCCTGGTGTGGTGTTCGCCATCACGAAGGCAGCGATCTTTACCACCGGCTGCGACCGAGGGGTGCAGCGTTGGAAGCGGTATAGCCACCACCACGACCTCCGCCACGATGACCTCCACGACCATAGCCGCGGCCACCACCGCCACCGCCGGAGTAACGTCCCATTTCTGCGAGACGAGGATCGATGTTCTGCTTGGCTTCCTGCAAGATACTTAGCAAGTCGCGAGCTTGCTTGGCATCTGATGAGATTGTTAGCAACCTGAAAAGGACACGAAAGATTGATAGACTTACTGTCGGTGGTGAAAAGGGTGATTGCGGTACCCAGTCGTCCTGCTCGACCTGTTCGTCCAATACGGTGGACATAATCTTCAGAGTTGTTGGGATAGTCATAGTTGATCACATGAGTAATGTCTCGCACATCTTCAAGTATAGGTTAGCAACTCAGCCAATGGTATTCTTACGAGGCGTTGGGGACCATGTGTGGTCGTGTGAGCCGGAGATGCACATCACTCTCGTCAAGCTCGGAGCATTATCCTCGTGGATGATCAATGTCCATGTCCTGGTATGTCGGCGATCGTCTACGGTCCTTAGGATAAGAAACCCTGGATTTGCAGCTTGACATGGTCACGAAGATGTTCCACAACCTACTCGTTCCAGACGGAGCAGATGTGGAAGTCAAAAAGCTGAGTCCTGGCAAACTGCAAGGAGATCCAAGATTTCTAGGAAAAGGACCTAAGAGAACACAAAAGCCTGGACAAGTTACGCCTGTTGCACAAGCGTAACGAGCAAGAGAGCGAGCACCATGTCACACGACGGCAATGGTAAGAAATGCAAGATAAGAAATGCAAAAGTGAAAAGAAGGGGGAGGGGGTTTCGTTTTTCATACCAATACCACGGGATGCGACATCCGTAGCAACCATGATTGGGCTCTTGCCAGTCTTGAATTCGTTAAGAACCCAGTCACGTTCGTTTTGTTGCTTGTCACCATGAATTGCTGCAGAGCATTAGTAACTGAACATATTAAGCGGAGGGATAAAGGCTTACAGAGCGCTGGCCAGCCATCTTGACGCAAGAAACGCGTAATGTCGTCAGCGACACGCTTGGTACCTGTGAAGATCAAGACTTTGTTGTTTCGGTCCTCCATGACTTGTTCCATGTGTTTGACTAGGCGGTCGCGTTTTTCGAATTCGGAAACAACTTCGACGATTTGAGTGATGCGACGATTGGCAGACAGATCCATGGAACCAATGTTGACTTGGATGAAGTCGTTCAAGTAATCAGAGGCCAGTTGGCGGACGTCTTTGGGCCAGGTAGCAGACCACATACAGGTTTGACGATCGGGACGAATTTGACCAATGATTTTCCGGATCTGAGGCTCGAAACCCATGTCAAGCATTCGATCAGCCTCGTCAAGAACCAAGTAGGTGACGCGACGAAGATTGGTCTTGCCAGATTCAAGCATATCGATGAGACGACCAGGAGTAGCAATGCACACTTCAACACCTCGGCTGAGGTCACGGATCTGGCCACCTTTGGGAACACCGCCGTAGACGCAGGTGTTTCGAATGCGGGAGGATTTGCCGAATTTGGTCATCTCTTGTTGGATCTGGACAGCAAGTTCTCGGGTAGGTGCAAGGACGAGGACAATGGGACCGTCGCCTGGAGCCAGAAGTGGTTGCGCATTGATGTGAACAATAGCTGGGAGACAGTATGTCAAGGTTTTTCCAGAACCGGTCTCGGCAATACCGACGACATCACGCCCGGACAGAGCCATAGGCCATCCTTGGGATTGGATCGCAGTTGGATGAGTGAAACCTTGCTGCTTGACCTCGGACATGACATAAGCCGGGAACCCAGCCTCATCAAAGGTCTCGACAGGGCGGGGGACGTTGCGGCCTTGAACTGTGATTTCTTTCACTCTGCGGAACTCATCGACATCGCGCTGTGATCTGTTGGTGACGGCAGGATCCTCCTTGTAGAATGATTTTTCGAATTTCGGCATGGTGGCAAGATCCCAATGTTGTTGTTTCAGTCCTGCGCCCAGGTTGGACATTTTGTCACCGCCGCCGCCGCCAGAGTATCCGTTCGAGCCGCCGTAGCCATTTGAGTAACCGTTGCTGCCTGAGTAACTATTGAGGCATTAGTAATGTTTCTCAAACTCGGAGATTCAGCCTGCGCAGAGTTCGGATCATGGTAGAATCATGTCTGCAATTCTTGACACCGAACTAGAGCAGCTGTCTGAAGGGGATTTGAGTGTTAAAAGACATACCCGTTGGAGTAGCCGCCGTCTCGCGACGAACCGTACCCGCCGTAAGACATGAGGGGCGCCAGATTGGGAGAGTTGATGGATGGGAGGAGATCGGAATTGGTGAAGATTGGGACTTTCAGGTTAAAAAGTCTGTGGGAGATACGGGGGAGTGGAATCTGAGAAGGTGAAGGGTTGATCGAAGAAGAGAGGAGAATGAAGGTTGAAGTCAGAGGAGAGATTGAAGTTTGTGAAGTTGAAGAAGGGGCGAGGATTGAAATTTTAGAACAAGGCAGTAACGATAAGGCGCAGCCTAAAAGAGGAAGCTCTGCCGAAGGGAAAATTTCTAGAACTTTTTGGCCAAGTCACGTGGCAAGTCTATTCTAGAATTCGCCTCTAAAACACGCAGCACGTGATAGAGGATGTGCTCGTCATCTCGTCACCCACGACAAGACATGGCTTTTCCATCATTTCCACGTGTTCTGACCTTTACTGCCTTGCACATAGCCGTGGCTGCCCATACTATCATCCAGTTGCAATGAGACGCCACCGCTTTCGTTCCCAAATTGGTCATTACGCAAACTGTTGATAATTCGGCAAGCCCCAGATATCGGTCATATCAAAGTCAAACAAAGTGTCTGAGAAAGCGTTGAATTGTGCCCCAATAGGCGCAAATTGCTCCAATTCAGGCATAGCCACATTGGGAAGTTGACCGCTCATACCAACCAAGGTGTTCGCAGTATTCATGGCGGCTTCTTCAACACCGTCACCTAAGCCATCCACGGGATTTACTTGCAATTCCATCATGTACCGATGCAAGCCGGCCACCCTGTCGGCTGTCTCTTGTGCAAGTGCTTCTGGCAGCCTTTCCGGTGATAATTTTGAGTGTAGAAGCCCTAGAGCGCTGCTGGTCAGCCAGTAGGAGTGAAATCCTTGGCCCAGCAACCGGATCCGATTCTCCATAATGTCCACTCCACGCTCGATGAGTGTCAGCGTTGCATTTCTGTCGTGCTTCAGGTCTTTTGACTCCAACGATATGATCATGACGGAACATAATGCGAGGAGGGCTCGGAAGAGATCGTCTCGGAGATTGGTCAGCATCACGGCAGTATTTGGTCGCAACTCTGTGTAGATCCTGACGGTGGAAAGAGCGGCGTCCTGTCGAGCGAGCCTCGAGAAGAAGAGTCGCGCTTGAAGATCGCCTTGAGCCACAATGGGCTGATGGATTTGCAAGAGAAACTCGTGGAGAAGTAATTGAGACATAGGTTGCGACGCAATCTTTGCCAGACTGTCCGTCCAGTGCGGAATATCGTCCAGATATTGTCTGAGTCGCTGATCAAGGTCAAGAGCGTTATCGCTGTCAATGCACGTTCTAACGCTGTTGATCCTGGAGAGGACCTCTAGCCTCAGAGGGAGATGCCTCTGCGCTAGACAAAGGAAAGATGTTCGAGTAAACTCGGTCATGGGCCGAGGAGGGGGCATCTTGTCTGTGGTCTGGTCAAAATCCTCGTCGTGAATATTCAAGGGCGCCAAACAATCCCAGTCGAGCGGGCCGAGGCTGGCACACATGCCCCGGTCCAGACTCGCTTGGATTTCGAGCTCGAGAATGGTGAACCACAAGCGGCGGCGCATTTCTTGGTCAAACGGTGAGATTCTCTTGTTGAGGAACGTGGGCTCCCGATGTAGGCCGATGGCCATGGCAAGCCTCAGTAAGTATCCGGCCACGGTCCACGCACGTTTGAGTTTGACGCAATTCATCTTTTTCGCGACGGTGATCAGCACTTGGACTTGAAACACTTCAAGAGTCATATGTTTCTGGCTCTGCAAGTCAAGCCATGTCTCGCAGACCTCGATCCATTTGGTTGCAGTGTCCCGCTGGACCGAGCTCGGACCAACAAAGGCCGCCGGTTTATTCGATAGGACTGCGTTGGCCGCTGCGCATACGAGGAGGAGTTGAACGAGAAAAGCTGTGGGTGACTCATGAGAGGCTACCCAGAATTCTTTGTAGCTGCGGAAGAATGTTGGCGCATGCAGGACTCGGAAGGTGGTCTCCAAGACTTCGAAGTATAGCTGTACGAGTTTGTCCGTGGTCGCTTGATCCGGTATCAGTGACAACAACGTTTCGTGATCAGGGAGGACTATGGATGGTTTGATCTCTCGTCTTTTTTGCTTCCAGTCGCTTCTAGCTCTCTGGAGTGTAGGTAGTCTGTGCAGAATGTCTTTCACAAAGCCAGATAGCTCCTCGAATTGCAAGAGAAGACTGGCACCGTGACTAGGACCCATGTACTGCGTTTTGAAACCTTGGCCTCGGAGTAGAGATCGTTCAAAATCTTGCAAAGCGGTTTTGTCGCTTGATAGACTTGGCAGATTCGGCCGACCTTTGAACCTCTCCGTAGAAAGTGAGTGTGAGGCTCGTGCTACCAGATGCGTTTCCAATTCGAGGATACGTTCGTGCAGGTCCTGTATTGACTTTGTCTGCGGCGGCCCTCGTTGGGTCGACGAGGCAGGATTGGGAGTAACGTCTTCCTGTGTGCGAACGTTGCTGTCCCGTTCTTTAGAGCGGTGATACCACACGTTAGCCTCTTCGGTCCATGAGGCAACTGAAGATTCTCGCTGTTGATGTGGGCTTTCATCGGAGGGTGTTGGCAAGCCGTCCTTTGCGGTGTATGATACATAGTCGCAACTAACACCACCTTTCTGGCAGCGGACACATGTCGGGTATGTGCGATCGCATTTAACTTTGCGTCGGCGGCACGCAACACAAGATAAGGCCAAGCGGCGACGTTTCTGTCCCATGGCTTCCGAGAACTATAAGGCCGAGTTTGTGACCGAGCGGCGGAGAAACTAGAATGGCGGATGGCACGAGGTAGCGTGTTCCCACCAGTACTGGGCTGAGACAGCCGTTCGATGACTAGCCTGATAGACAACAGTGATATCAAAAGAGGGTTTTGGTCGCTTGAAAAAGATTCCTCTTGCAATCTAGGGGGCACCTAAGAGGAAGAGTGGAAGATTGTTGGGAGATACTGGTAGTGGCTTGGAGGGAGGAAAACAACACTCGTATTTCACGTCAGTGATTGATAAATCGGCTGCAACCGATCAGAACTTAGGCAGAACCATTTCTTTGGGTGTTACTGTACGATGGAAGTTGATGAAGCTCTGCATGCTAGCGCGTTGTACTGTATGGGAGGCCCCATCACGCCCTTAGCCTCTCCGGGCTCGACACAAGACGCAACCCGAGGCGAGTACGGATAGGTGGCGAGGAGTCGGACACTTTAGATCTCGGCCGAAGTTGTTTGTTGTTACAGCCGAGCCGTAATTGACACCCAACCGATCTCATCTCATCATCATCAACCTTCCCTGTCTATCCAAAATCCTGCATCTCTGATATATCACAGAATTGCCCTACCACCTGGCTGATTGCGAAGCGGAGTCTCCATGGGTTCCTCGATCGTGTACAAGACGAGACGACTGGTAGCCTCGGGCTCAATATTTCCACGGCTCATGACATTGGGGTTCAATATTCATGGAACTCCTGCCACATCATGATCAACTAAAGTACGGTAAGCGCTTATGGGGAAGTATTGGAAACTCACCTTTTGGCCAGGACTCGGAATAGTCCCTATGACACAGGCGCTCCGAACGATCACCTTGCCCTCTGTGTCCGTGTTTTAATCTGTAGATGATCAAGGCAATCATCGCCAGGATAACAGCCACCGCGGCAGCGATTCCAATGAGTTGGACTGTGTCTTTCATCGCGAGACGACGTCGAATTGTTGTGGTGGAATGAGTTGAATTGTCGCTGTGTAGAGTGATGTTTGTTGGACTACTCTCTGGATCCTGAGAATGCCTTTCTGGTTCCCTGTGGCCAACATTCTGCCTCACTCCCGCGAGGCCTGACATATTTGATCACTGTTTGGCAGTGCAGACAGAGTGGCAAACAATAAGTGATCATGCACAAAGAGATCAAAGAGTCACCAGCGGTCTCCATTGTCCGAACTTCACTGCCTCACAAAGGCTGTGCGAACAATCGATGGCCTCCACAAAGACCTCATAAAGCAAGATCGAATTGTACCGACCCGCGATCAATCGCCGATTGACTCGAGCAGCCAACCTCGTGCTGGACCTGTCCTATGGGCTTCGACATTCGAAGCCTCGAAACAATTGTCCTTGTACACCGCTACCAATATGGAGCCCGACGGCATTGTGCTCGTCGGTACAGCAGCCCAGTCCGAATTGGTTATAAGGCTCTCGACGTACCCGGTCAATATTGCTCTCCTTCATCCTTCCATTCAACCAGCCGAGAGTCTCACGTCCTCGAAAGGGCACGCAATACGATCGCAAGTCAGCTTTCAGTCGGACACTATTAACACCCGAGAACACGGATCTCGGTATTAACCCGCCTGACGAAAAAGCAGATTCTGCAATCAGCCCTTTCGACAATGGCGTCCCAGGAAGGATCACACCAACTCTCACCTCGAGGAGGCCGGACCTCTTCCCATACCCCCAATAGTGAGACCTTCTCTAAGTCGAGCTCGGTGGAGCGAGAGTTCGAAGAACGTCGCTTACACTTACCAGTCAACATGCTTGACCCATTCCGTCCTACCCTTCCCTCGACTTACATCCCTACCGCTTCTGAAGTGTTCAACGGCCCGCTGCTCTTGCGAGTCCGAGATTTTGACCCTGATCTGCGTCTCGATTCAGACGAATTTGCTCGAGAACAAGCCGCTTTTGAAGCCTTTCAGTCGAGCTCCCAATGGGACGGTGGTCTGAACTATGACAACGCTCCCAGTCACAATCAGCAAGCTGCCGTCATGAAAGCCGCAGACGCAGACGCAGACGCAGACGCAGAATATGATTTGGAGTACCCTCCGGCGCTGACCGAGGCATCGTCCAACACCAGCTCACATTTGCACCGTTCGCCAGTCAACTTCAGTGAGGATTTTAACTTCAACAATTTGGACCAACCTCTCCCCATATCGGATGAGAGCATGTTCGAATTCGTCCACTTGGACGACTTCTCCCCCAACGGCGACGACCAACATTCTCGTCAAACCCGCCCCGAACAGTCCAAAGTGTCCGATCTCATCACCCCAGTCGACCAAGTGCAAGTGCGAGGACGAGGACGAGATTACTGGAGCCAACCCTTTCCCTCCCCTCCGTCGACCAACCCATGGATCATACCCGAAACTGAGCGTCACGTCCACTCTCCAGATGAGTACGACCTCCCACCACTCAATTTCAGCTACATCCCAGAGGTCGACGACTATCTCCTTGTCAACGCACCTCTTCCTCCTACCCAGCCGGCCATAGCCCTGAGTATCCGTACGGCGATCACTCCCAGCGGCGCTGCCACTGCCACTGCTCCCAACCAGCCTGACAGCGATTCTGACTATCCGTCGTGGGTTCTCACCGAGCAAGACCGTCGACGCTACCGCGATCGTTTGGCTCAACGTCGTTACCGCGCTCGCAAGCGAGCTGCTCGACAGCAACAAGAGGAAGAAGAGGAAGCCATCAAACTCGAACGCGAACGCGAACGCGAACGCGAACGCAACACCGCCATCCCCGTCGGCATGCGCCACTCACGACCGCTCCGTCCTCTCGCGCGCAAGCCCACCCCATACCCGACGACGGCAGCCCCGCTCGTCCCGTTTGAAGAGGACACCTACCACCCTCATGCCGGCATGAGCCACAATCCCAACGTGACCTCATTCGGCATCACCAACACTCCCCTCTATCGCACCTACCCAAACGACGGGAACATCGCGTTCGCGTACTGGCACGACCACCCTCTCCAACAGCACGCCGCAGCCCCTGGACCACCAGCGCCCCCATACTCGAACTCCCCTGCTTCACACTTCGAAGTCAGATACGCAAATGCACCTGCACCTGCACAAGATTCTGCTGTCAGCCTCGAACCCGAGGTTGAAGCAGCAGCGCGACGCGCCGTCCGCTTCAACTCTCCTCTCGTCACTGAAGTGTATCATATCCGCAGATGAAAACCCCCGGACTTGACTACTCCATTGCCTTTCCCGCTGTCGAGGCCCCCAGGTACTCGGAGTCTCCCCACAAGGTAATCTCACGGTAAGTCAACCAACATCCACCAACGCAATTCACTCTTTCATAAGTCACGGTAAGTCAACCAACATCCACCAACACAAGTCACTCTTTCACCTTTCCTATGTACGAGCCATTCGGATCCACGGCTTTTCTGTCCATATTGCTCGCTTATGCTGCTTCGCTGCGCTCAGCAGGATTACTGAGTATCAACGAATCCAATTGGCAATAACCACAAAGAGAGGAAAAAAGGTGGAAAATCAACTCAAATCCGCATGTCGAGTGAGTCTTCACAAGATCTCTGGTGGGTCATGTGTCGTCTCTGTCAGACTGCGCTACAAAACATGGGTCAGGCACCGTCAGGCAAAGTGTGATCGGTTTTGGATCTGCAGCATTGCAGGTGTAGGTGTATCAGAGCAAGGTAAGTACGTGTAAAGGTAAGTTCAGTTAGGGAAAAGGAAAATGTGAGAGCACCTCATCCTCATTCAACTATTGTAGGGTCTCCGCCGGTACATGCTGACAGGCTAACAATCCTGCCGCGATTTCGTAGTCCTCACAAATTCAATGGGAGTCCATGTGTGTCAATCAACCCAAATCCGTCGTTGCCTTTCTTTTGTCTAAAAAATCGTCCTCGTTCAATAACACTCATACATCCTCCAAACAACGAAAGTTCAGCCATAACTCAGAGCACGTCGACACTCGTGGTCGACATCTGCAAGCATCCCTCAACTCCGTCTCCTTGAATACAAAAACACATTACAACATATCCTGGATACTCGAGCCATCACTTTCCGCCAATCCAGGTGAACTTTCCACTGATCTTACTTGTAACATCACTCAGGCTCAGACCACCGCTTGACCCGCTCGACAAGCCGGTCTTGCCAGACTCACTGAATCCGCTGCCCAGACCAGCTTTTTGCCGTCCATGTTCGTCGCCGCCACCAAAGATTCGTTCGAACTTGGCTTGGATTCGTCCTTCGGCAATTGCAGAGACAATATTGATCACGCCGAAAGCAGATGATCCGATGGCGCGGAACAGCGCTAGGGCTGCCACTGACCAAAGGAGGAACGTGAGGTAGAAATTTGAACCAAGATGTGCACCGACAGGATACGCCTCAGAAACGGCCATGGCAAGCACTGCATTACAGACCATGTAGGTTGCCACCACATACGTCCGGACCGACTTGTAATAGTCTTCCTGCAGCTGGTTCTCGCTGATCGGTGGTTTGAGCACTTCGACTCGGTCGCGCAGATTCCGCAAGGCCACGTCGTAGGCTGAATCGATGTCAAGTTGTTCCGACGGCATTTCGACCTCGACCGTGCCAGACCCAAGTGCTTTGGCGGCACCTAGGTCCGTATGCATGACATTATCGCCCTTGGTCCCCCATGTAACATCGTGAGTGTTGCAGAATGCATACACCTGCAGAGTACAAATGTAAGATGGTAGAAGAGCAAAGTATTGTGCTGAGCTGGTGAACATATGCCATGGATCGAGGTACAGGAATGACATCAAGAAGTACAATCCAACAGTGCTGAGTGTGCTGACGATGAGGTTGGTGAAGATGTTGTTGCCAAGCTTGTAGGTATTGTCCGCGTCTGTGTCCTCCAATGCATGAGTCGTGAGTTGTTTGACGACAATATACAGCGAGGCAAAAGTGGTGTAGGCCATAATGATAGAATAAGTGACCATGGTACCCAAAAATAGTTTCTTCGCTCCTTGTGGTCTGTTGCCCAAGCTCAAAATGAACTGAAGGCAGATCAGAAGCACGCAGACATAGCGCAAGATGACAAAGATGTATTTGCCAATATGGTGGCCGAAAGGGTCCATTTTAGGATCCGCCAGCGAACCGGCAATGAAGTAGAAGGTAAGGTAGAAGTTGGCCAGGGAGAAAAAGGTAAAGAGGAGCGAGATGAACTGATAGACGAATTCGATGTGCAACAGAATCTTCCGAGCAAGGGAATGGTCGGTTTGCCAGATTTGCTTGAAGTGTACCAAGGAGTAGACGGCAGCAAAGAAAGCGCCATTCAGCCAACGTCGTCGTTGTGAGACAAATTCCGGTACGGCGTCTGCAAGGTGTTAGCAGCTATCAGTGAAGTGTTCTCGAAACAAAAGAGTCTTACCAGGCACATCAGTCTCCCCGTAGGCACTCTTGACGAACTTCAATACCCATTGCTCTCCGCGCTTAGCGACAAGCTCCCAGCACAAGATTCGATCTTCGGCGAGATACATGTTTGCGGTGAAGACATCCGCATCGGCCCCATGTAGCGTTTCTCCCTTAAAGTACTGGCTGAGCGGGCCGTGACCGCTAGGATCGTTCTGCAGAGCGTAATACCGATATGCTGAAAGTGCTCCTGGCAGGACAGTGATGTAGCCAAACACAGATTCGAGCGGTTTGTCCAGAATGTTACTCATCTTGTACTCGAAATTTTGTGAGGCGACAAGGGGATTCAGTAGACCCATCCACCCTTTGCCTTTGTCAGCCTTGATTTCTCCGGCCGCGCCAGCGACATTTGAATCTTGGTCGAATGCTTTCCAGAGGTAATACAGTGCTTTCGAGTCCGGTTTCGTGCCGACGTCAAGTAGAATGCAGACGTTCGGTGTCAAGGCGCGCCCAAATGCGTTGAAGAACCAACGATGAGAATTAAGTTTCTTCTTGTTCTTCTCCTTCAGGCAGAAGATCATTTGGCAAGGCACGATTCCCTTCTCTGCACCCTTGAATTTGAGGCCTTCATCGAGCGAGACTTGTGTGGTATACTCGTAAACGTGGGCGGTAACTTCCTTCTGGTTGACGACGTTCTTCGCTATGCCGTCTTGATAGACCCCGAGAGCAGCCAGAGCATTCAGGGTTCGTGGATGCACTTTCTGTCTTCCATCTGCAATGACACAGACGACGATCTTCTGCCAACCATCCTTTCCCCAAGTCCTGGATTTCGTTCTGGAGCAGAAGTGGCTGATGTTTCTCATAATACCGTGCATTGTTCTGGTAAACTCCACTTCGCCCTCGTTGTACATGGTCACACAGATCAACAGCTCAGTTTCTCTCATTGTTGGACCGAAGTTTTGACGCAGTTTATATCCTTGCACCACGAAATCGTCTGGATCGCAGGTGACAGCCGTGTATCGCATATGAGTAAACTCTCGTTCATCTCTCCGAGGCAAAAAGCTGTGCAGGATGGTCGGGATCTTGCATTCTAGAATCAGCTCTCCGTTGATCAGCCTCACTTCTTTTCTGGTCACTTGTGCTTCCCTCAGCCCTCTTCGGTCTTGTTTGCCCTCAGGAGCAGGTCCATAGTAATCGAACTTTTCGTTTGTGACTTCGTCCTCTTCGGTAAAAGTCGACTGGCTCGAGTAGGAGTGTGCAGATTTCAAGCTTGCTCTGGGATCATTGTCTGGCATCACCGAGCCACCGCCAACAAACACATCATTCTCTGACTCGAGTTCAGGCATTGGTATCGTGGTCTCCGCTGCACCACCTTTTGCTGAAAACAGAGGCGCAGGAGGTAGAGGTCTTCTTGGACTTCCGCCATATTGTGATGACGGTGTGCCTGGTCGAGGACTGCCGTTGAGGTCTGCGGGTTCGTAGGAGATACTGGAGGCTGTAGGTCTGGCCCAGTCCGTCGAGACGCGGGAGGGAGTGGAAGGTCGTATCGGAGATCGAGGATTGGCTACGGGAGGAGGTATTGAAGGTGCTCGTCCAAGGCTGGAGCCAGGACGAGAGCTGTAGGTGGAGGAGGCTGCAGGTCGGTGGTATCGATCGGGAGAAGCTCGACTAGAAAGAGGCGCTCTGTAAGAAGGACTTGGGTCAGTCTTTGGACTCTTTTTCAGCGTCACGGTAGCTTTGAGCGTGGGAGCTCGGCCAACAATGGTGTATGTTTCGCGACTGCGGTTGAGATTCTCCTGAGCCTCAGTGATGAGAGAAGACTCCGCTGTCGGTAGCCTCGCGCCCTGTTTGGCAGACTCTATGGGAGAGTCGTCCCATTGCACATGCGATACCTTTGAGGTTGCAACCGGCTTACGGCGGGGAGATGGTGAATCACTGTATTGGCTGGGTGATTGGGGAGTCACATACGATCTGTATTCATCCTGGGTTTGCGAAAGCATTCTGAGAGAGGGATTGTTGGATGGAATGCTCAGGTTCTCTTCCTCTAGGGACTCATTGAGGTAGGAAGGTGGTCCATCGGGATAGCTTGGAGGCGGCCGAGTTGGGGTTGGAGGTCCGTCCATCTTGTAAAAGAATAGAGGTTTGTTTACTGATGGTAAATGTGGGATCAGATCAACAACGAGTCCATGCGCGCAAAGACGAAGTTATACCAGTAGATGACAACACAATACACGTGCAACTGGAGTGCGTCAGGAACGGGGGGATCCTGATTGAATGGAAATAGTCCTTGGTCTTTGCGGCGTAGGATCGTCTTCCGAGCCGCACGGATTTGATGATGCTTTTTTGCGACGTTGCCGTTTTGGGACCTGACCGTCGTCCCAGCAACACAGTTCTAGCGTGCTTCATAATATCTGACTAAGCTATCCCACTATCTATACCTTTTAGGTGGTGTCCCTGTTTTTCCAGGCTCTCCATTGTTCCTTCAACAATGACACGACGCGGGCATACAATGTTGTTAGATGGATACAATGCGTCCTCATTGTCTGGACTTCGCCACACAACTGCCTTCCGACTTCCAGCTAAGGCAGTTGGACAAAGAAGCACTTGTCTCCTTGACTGCCCCTTTGTGCTTGCCACTGCAGAAAAGGCACTTAAGTCCATACCATGTCCCCTCGATCTCTTCCTCCGGAATCTATTCTGTCATCTCGAGATCGTCAAAACTGTCTCAAGCTTGCCAACCACTGTTTGCATCTGAAGCTCACTCATATTACCAACAAGCAGAAATCGCTACGAAGCACCGTCGACCAGGTCTAGGTGAAGCCTAATCCCATCAATTCTACCATCAAGACTCAAATCAAGGTAAGGCGCAACTCTTAACCAACATGTGTAGAGCTACTCTCCAAGTCTACCGGTGCGGCTGCCACGGCAATATGATGCGCCAGTCATGCGCTCTTCCATCCCGCTACTGCAATGAAGGTCTTCGCAACTACGAACGCGTGGAAATGCACATGGACTGCCCAAAGCATGCACGTTTGAAGGGCCGCAGCTCTTCTCGTCAATACGAGAACACTCATCCGGCCCTGCGGTACACATCTTCATCGCACCACGATTCGCCGAAATACCAGACCTCCGCCAGCATTCGCAATCCTGCGAGAGACTTGTACGACATGCCCGCCACCAGCTACAACCGCCGAGACTCCGATGGAAGCCCAAGATTCTACAGCTCCCTGCGGAACGTTCGTGACAATCCTCATATTCCCGTCCTCTCACCCTCCTGGAACTCAGGTATCCGCAAGAATGGCACACGCGACTCACAACGAACCGGTCGATCTCGTGATGCTCCCCGAAGTGGCCGAAACTACTCACAACCCACCTCGTCAAGCTATAATTACTCCGAATCCCAGCGAGAGACAGTCCTTCAGCGTCAAGCTAACGTCCGTCGTGCGAGAGAGGTAAGAGAGCGTTGTGAGGGTTGGCTACAGTCTGGCAGATATACCCGAGACGAAATCCAGCACCATCCGTTGTTCCAAGAGCTCTCCGAACGAGATCAATGGTCCCTCTTGTATGATTATGAGCAAAGCTCACGAGATCGAGAGCGGGGAAGCCATGTTAGAAGTGAGAAGCGTTCAAGGTGCATTGTCATGTGAGCGCCAGTGAAGATCACTGGGCTCAAAATGCAAATCCAGACAAGGACCGACGAATCAAAGTGGACGGGTAAATACAGGTGAGTTGTTCAGAAGTATGTTCCCGTGTGTACAAGCCAAAGCGTCAGATCCGGTTCTGGACACGACTGGAAAGCAAGGACGGTTGGAGAGTCTGAGCGCACAGCACACCCAGCAAGGAAAGCCTCCACGAGCGCGAACACACAATCAGGAAAATGGAGGTCGGCGATAGTGGCGTACAACTCTTCCACACACTGTTCGGATTCAACAGAACAGGCCGGTAAGTTCAGTGCACAGGTTTTAGGTAAGACTAGGCTGCTGGATCAGTCTCGACGTTGTTCGAGGGAGTTAAGTACGTGTTTCAATGCAACTCCAGCACAAAAGAATGTAATTTTCCCCCAATGAGATAGTTTTCATCACATTGCTATTGTCTCACTTTCTCTGCTCACCATTCGATAGATTCAGCACACGTTTCTTCTTTGCAATCTGTAGGGAGAGTGACAATAAAGACGTTAGATGTCGTACATCCAGCAGCAAAACACTGGTGCTCCTGTCAGGCAGGTCCTCCTCACGAGCGTAGTAAGGGATACCTCTTGTCTAGGTATGCGTATGACTTACTTAGTGAACGTCGGGGAAGAGTACGAACTTACAGGGTCCACAGAGTCTCTCGCCTTTGGAGCAGCAAACCACAACATCCAATAACCATCTCAACCCAGCACGATCCTCTCCCACCGCGGCTGCGGCTTGAAAGCATTCCCGAGACAGCGTTGCAGAACCTGCCCGAGCCCGCGTCTCTCCCAGACCCCATCAACCAGCCTGACCAGCATGACCCAAAACACCGGCTCATCGCTGACTTCTTCACAGTATGCGTCGAACTCCAGCGGGAACTCGACATTATAACACTCTCCCAGCACGACAAACTTCTCCACATTGTCCTCTCGCAGCAGTAATTTCTCGTCCGCGTAGAGAACACCACAGTCTTCGCCGTGGCGCCCGCCAATCTCATACGTGCGAGACTCGTATTCCGCGAACGTCGGCCGTTCAGCGTCGTCGGAATCATCGTCCTCGTCGCCGCCCCCCGGGATAGTTCGCAGTCGGTAGTGTGCTGTCAGAGTGTGAAAGGTGAGGAGAGGATAGTTTCGGATACGAATAATGTCTTCCCCATTGCGCGGATGGGTTTGGCTTGGTGTCTCGACGACACCATCAGCACTGTCGAGGTTGAGTTCCGATATCAGATCAGCAACATCCGGCAGGGCACGGAATAAATCGAGCCCCGTCTCCCGCGCGTTGACCATGCCATCGTCGCCAACTTGCCCCTGCTCCCGAGCCGGCGTCCAGATCCTCTCAGTTGCCAGCTCATGACCATCCGTGCTCTGCACGCCAGTAGTAGTGGTGTAGTAGGTGACCCAACTGCTTTCCAGTGCCTTTTCGAGTTCTTTATCCTCGTTGAAATCATTGTCCTCATCCGCCGCATTCATCAAGTCCAACCGATCGAACGGATACCACGAAACCTCTCCCTTCCAACCTGCCCACGACCAGCTCGGAAACTTCTTGCGTCTCCGCGGTGCGCGGGCGGCCGTACCTGTATGCAAGAACAGCAAAGCCAGTGGGAAAATGTCCGCCGGCAGACCCTGCACGATCCCGGTGTTCGCACTGCCCGCGACACGGCCTAGCATCCCCGCCATCGCGCTCAGCGCGTCGTTCTCGTCCGTCAGATCGCGGCCCTGGTATATCTCCAGCACCTGGAAGAGGAACGTGTACGTTGCGACGTTTCTCAGGCCGAGATCCATACTATCCCTCGCGAAGGTGAGGACGTCGAGGTCTTGGCCTCGAGGCAGCTCCGGTTCCAAGTCGGTCCAGAGTTCCTCGTACCATGTGCGCTGCCGGCAGCGGAAGTACGCTTGGTTGTTGACGAAGGTGATGGTCCGGCGGGAGAGGTAGTACTCCTGCAACGTCCAGCCGCGGGTGTTCCACTTGGACCGCCGCAGATGTCGGTCGACAGAGTGTACTCGCATGATCTCCATGCCCGGCTTGAGCAGTTGCCGATCTTGCTTGACGTCCCGTGGCAGCGCGCCGATGCCTGGGATACCCGTATTCGCCGACGCCGTGTCGGCCGCTATGAGCGTTACATACGATGACTCGTAGACGAGTTCCATGTTCATGATGCCCCTGAGCAGATCCTCGAGATCATCTTGGATAAGGCACAGCGAGTCGAACCACAAATACCGCAGGCCCATGTTCCTCGTGAACGTGCACAGATCTTGAATCGTGTGCGGCATCGAACCAAAAAGTTGCTCCAGCGCGCCGGGCGTACTGTACTTTCCCAGCTGGCTCTTCATCAACTTGGGCGGATTCGCACCGCCCCAGACATAACTCAGCGCGACGTACCGTTGCTGCCAGGTAATATCCACGAGCCGCATATCCTGTACATCCACGACTCTCAGACGTGGCAACGTCGCTGCTCTCCCCTCGGCCTTGACCACGTCAGACCCGGTACAAACACCACGGTGCACAGGACTCGTATCGCACAGATGCAGCCAATGCTTCATCCGCGCGTAATCTGGATCAGCGCCGACGACACGCCCAGTCCTCGACCCTCCTTCCTCCGTCCTCGTCACGAGCACCACCTGCTCTCCAGGCAGCATCAGCGAGCCTGTTGACTCTCCATCAGGATCGCCAGCCGGAAGGACTCGCAACCACAGGAATTCATCTTCCTGCTTGGCCGATACTTGCACGACAAATAGATCATCGCCCTTTCTGCCCGGGTGGTTGAGCAATTTCGGCGCGAATTTCGCGGCGCCCTGGACGAAGCGGCAGAACGGACAGCGATCCCTGGACAGGACTTCATCCTTGCTACCAATGATGATACCGCCCTTGCCGTATATGCTCTGCGCGCCGTTGGCGATGAGCAGGTCGGTGAATTGACGGCGTAAGTCGCGTTCGGGCGGGACTTGGAAGTTCTTGACTAATTGGCAGAACGTGCCGTTGCAGAACTCCTTGGTTTTTCCACTTGAGTCAGACTTTGAGGGGAATACAGTACCACTGGGTTTTGCCAGGAAGGTAGGCGGGTTGAAGCAACGGGAAACTTGAGCTTACATCTTCGGTTGATTCGTCAGGTCGAGGTGGGTGAGCGGACATTGAGCCGTGGCTGGTCCCAGATCAGCCGTGAAGTTTTGGGGATGATGGCAGGCTTTTTCTAACTATTTCTCTGGTTCTGGTTGTGGTTCTGGTACATCTACGTATCGAAATCATGGCGAAGCGCATGGAAGGAAGAGACGGTTAAGATCTAGCCCGGACGGAGAATAAGATTATGTATCAAGGAGTGTTTCAGGAACGTTTTCGCCCCCATCATGGACTGATCGGGGTGATTGGCAGGAGGATGTCTCGAGCACTCCATATGGTGCTCGGTCTACGTAGTGCTCACAGTGCGAGGAACAGAGGGCGGCACTCAAAGAGTCTTAGACACCTGGAAAGATTGTAGAGGGCGGCACTTTTCGGTATAATATGACTGCACGCAAGACCAAATAGGTCTGAGTGTGAGTGAAAGCGTCGAGCAAAGCAGCCAGGGCTAGATGTTCTCCTAGGTGAGACACTGCCCTCTCGACAAACGCGAGAATACAGCTCCTTTCTCATATCTCGATGCCAACACCTCTGAGAGCGTCGACCGCCCAATCCGGCACTCCCTTGTCCGCAAAGTACTTCGCGAAGAAACTCCTGACAAACTCTGGGTATCGATCTTCGAGGATAGCGTTTCTCGCACGGCGCATCAGTGAGAGCAGATGGTGCACATTATGCATAGTCAATCTGTCCAAAGCTGGCATTAGCAGACTTGCTTTTCCTTGTGTGGCTTACACTGATGCTGGAACAAAAGGCAAAGGACCTACAAATGCGCGCCAACAGTCTCCTTGGCAGCAAGATGGTAGATGTACGCTCTGGAAATGCCCAGACCGCCGTCCTCTTTCGGCCGGCAGCAAGTACATGTGCAGTCTTCTTCGACCGGACCAAAGTCTTTAGCGTAGCGAGAATGCTTCAGATTAAGTACGCCGCAAGAGGTGATAGCATTGCCGAAGCGCTGTAGACCTCAACCGTCAGTCCGCTAGTCACCGAAAAGCATTGCAGACTGTAGCTGTCAATTGAGACTCACAGCAGTGCGTGTAGGCCATACGCAGTCGAACATATCTGCGCCAAGGGCCACTGCAACGACGATATCTTCTGGGTAGCCCTGGAAGATGGTGAGCGTAGACTCGGCGAGGTTAGCGATCATACGCACAATGCCCATCACATATCTTGGCTTTTGTTCTGGAAGTAAATCCGTGCACGTATCAACACTGAGCAGGTCAGTCATCACCCAAATGCGCCAATGCTACAGTCATGCTTACACTTTACAGAATTCCGACTTCGCTTCTCCGCCTGATAGCCCGCCTATGGCTATACCCGGCGTGTCTCGCTCGACCATGGCTTCGCAGCACTGTCTCCGTAAATCCAGGTCCAAGCCACCTTGAATAATACAGAACAGGTTCTGTCTCTCGGGATACTTGTGTGCGGCGATGCACCGGTCAAGCCATCTGACTGACCGCTCCATAGCCTCTTTCATACGAGCATGGTCGGGTGAGGTGGTTTGAATGACGTCGTCTAGTTGCATCATGATGTCCGACCCGATCGAATTCTGGAGGGACATTGAATGTTCTGGTGTGAGTAACCTTGCACATGGTTATCATTTCCCGTATCTGCTCGCAAACCGACCAACACGTACATTGGACTGCCATCATGTGGACTGAGGAACCTCACTCCCTCCTCGGTGATTTTGGCCAACTTGAGTAGTGAGACCATCTGGAACCTTGACACAAGCAGTCATAAATCAGCCATGTCGCTCCGCGTTGTTTGAGATGTGACCACCAACCCACCACTGTCGGTCAGGATGTTGTAATCCCATCCTTGCAGTTTATGGGCGCCTCCGATTGCGTCTAGCACGGCCTGTCCCGGCTTCAAGCCCAAATGATATGTGTTGTTCAAACATAATCTGCAGCCGGTCTCTTCAAGTTGTTCGGGGGTCAGTCCCTTCAGCGATGCCTGCGTCGCCACAGGCATGAACATGGGTAGTTCGACGGGGCCATGAGGCAGATGTAAAATCGAGGCGCGAGCCTTGGATGTCTAGACCAAGGACGGATTTGTCAATTTTGTTTGGGGGAACTGGTCACTCTGCGGATGGCATACCGAACATCGCGCTTTCAGGTCAAAGGTCAGGGCCGAGGGCTTCGTAGAAGTGGATGTGGAGGTGGACATGTTGGCGACCGGTCCAAATGCATAGGGACGGAATGAAAACGATGGCCTAAGGCTTGCGGCGGTGAGGATGTCAAATCGCAGGCTGGTTACTCGAGAGGCCAATTGCATATGAGGTCTTCTGCCGGAAATGCAGCCCGCCGCGAGTGGCACTGGGATGTATTTCTACACGTCAAATTGGCTGACGAGGTACTCACCAAACGTGGAGAGAGATGTAGCATGAGTAGAACAGAGTGTGAAAGGCACGCCTGGGTTGAAGTCTTGCAAAGTCGGAGGATTGTGTGAGAGACAAGTTTTAATTGGCGGAATACACGGAGCCCCGTCATTCGCCGTCCACAATACCGGGCCATGGTGTGGTATCATGGCACCCATGGCAATGCACGGAGTAACAATATTTCTTCTATCCAGACTGTTGTTGCACAACAGCTCAGGGTGCACAGCATTGATCTCCTGATGCTACATTACAACCTCTGGAATCTTTCCCGCACGGGTCAGGCATCGGGCGGTCAACGGACTGAAGCAGGCCCGTTTCGAGCCCTTCATCCTGCTAGAAGTAGAATCATGATGCGTCCGAAAGCTGATCTTGTGATTTTTCTATAGACCTGATGAGCGGTCAACAATTTGAAAGAGGACCGACATCTTTCGTGGTTGTCGGCAGAAGTCAACCCTTGTCTGCATCGCCGTCATACTTCCAAGCTAGTGTCTAGCATCCCCTTCGTTGAAGAAAAACAAAAGGAAAAATAAATGCCAACCCCATAGAAAACATTGCACTTGCACCGGTGCGTCGCCGTAACGCCATCGCTATGCTGATCCTTATACAACTACTTGACTTTTCCCCTGCCGTAGGGACAGGTAGGAAGAGAATCATAACATAGCTCTCCGCCCTCTCAATCTTCTTGACCTCCACAGTCCATCTGCCGACATGAAACACTTTGTGACAAGTACAGAATGGGTTGTAGGAGCATCAACGACCCCAACCACCTCCGTTTCCGCCCTGAGCTCCCTGTGGACGGCTGGAGGCAATGGAAGGACTGCGGAGTCTGGTGCATGCGACTTCGGCAACGTCTTCTTTTGCGTTGTTCAGGTACTGGCCATCGTACCAGTATCGAGCTGCGAGATTTTGTCCCTGGATCGTGACTGTGGCAGACCAAGCTGTACGTCCGCCTGATCCGGTGTTAGTCTATTGTCTGGTGCCGGGACGATGGAGAAACAGGAGGACCTGTGGAGATGATGGCTTACCGCGGCGGTCAGAGACAATGTTGAAGGCGGGAGTTGGAATTCTGAGTTTGCGGCATTCAGCTGTGCTCTGTCAGGGAACAGGATTTCTTGAGTGGTCCGCGGTAGGGAGCATCTTACCTGCAAGTTCCTCTTGCCAGGTATTGTGACTTTTCGTGGCCATGTTGATAAGATGAAGATCCTATCGTGGTAGAAAGGTGTGTTAAGAAGATAATTGCGCTTGGTGTTATGGTTGAAGAATGGACGACAAAAGACTGTTTCCGCCAGAGAAGTTGTTGTGAGTGAATCGCTGGTGGAAGGAGCTTGCGTGGTAAGTAAAAGGTGATCCTGTTGACTTCTTATATGCGGCCAACCCAGGTGACAGCTCACAACTCAGTGACAGACAACAAGCAAGCAACGGACATCGACATAACCACGAACGATGATGGATAGTTGCAGACACTTCCGCATTCGTGGACTCGTTCGCTTTGAAGTCACCAAGGCCGCATCATTCGACTAGGGCCGCAACAATTGACAGGCGTAGAAATAAACGGATGTTGTGTCTCCGTACAACACAGATTGAGATCTGAGATCTCGTGATACTGTGTGGTTGAGCAACGAAGGCCGCCCTGACATTGTCTATAGAAACGCCTAGGTTACACAGATGCGAAGGACATGCAAGGAGGCGAGGCGTCACAGCGTGGGTAGCGCATGGGATGGCAAAGGAAGCAAAGTAAAAAAACTTGAGGCCAACAGCCTCATCCAGCCAGAGGCCGCCAACGCATCAAAGACCCAGTATCGTACTTCCAGTGGGTAGGTCCGGCCCCAGGCAATGATATGCACGATGGCGTAGAGTACCTAGCTGTGGAAGCAATAAGCACTGAAGCAAAGCTGCTAGGAAGCTAGAAGCCCTGCGAATTTCCGGCACTGAATGCTCGAAGTGGGGGAGAAAAGTATGAAGCCGAAAAGCCAGTCGTGGCGGGATGCGCGATAGCGGAGCTGCACTCGGCCTGAATGGAGTATATTCCTCGCCCGTGGTCACAAAGAACACTCCAGAATGATACAAGAACTTGTAAGCGACCTTGCTGAATGTCTGTTTATAGTGGTCTCTTGGTCTCTTACAGGCTTGAAAGCGAGGCAGAAAGTACAATTGGTTGCTCCGTTTTCTCTTGTGCGTGGAAAAGAATGGTGTTGGGCAGCAACGAGCGGAACCCGCAGGCTCGGTCACGACATGTTGGGGCCTTCCCTATCCGCCTTGAGCTTTCGCGGAGAGGAGAAAGGTGGAAACAAAGTCGAAGTGGGCACTGGCATAGATTGTACTTGGAGAGCGAGCAGAGAACTACTCTGTCGAAAGCACAAGGCTAGATTGATAAGAAAGCTCAATCTCAATCTCAATCTCAATAGCCCAATTGGTAGATGCATTAGCGATTGAAGACCTGTTCGCATGAAGAAGAACAGTAGATTTGCGAGGAATCATCAGCACGATCCCACGTTGGGCACAGCGCAAACAAACCTTTCCGCTTAAGCGTTGCAGCAAAGGGGAGATGGAGTGATTCGATGTCGTAAATGGGAGCTGGGGTATGCAAAGGATTGCATAGCGGTGGGTGAAGTGAGCGATGCGATGGGTCGAAAATGGATGGAGAGCCAACGGCAATCGAGATGTGTTGTTTTCATGGTGGTTTTCGACAGAAGTGACGACCTAGCCACATGCCAAGCAGCTAGTCTTGTTATGGTCTAGTACATAAACAGACAATTATTGCTTGGCCGCCTCGACGTTGGGAGCTGATGAACCGGTTCACTCGGACCATCGTTGTAACCAGTAGAAGGACATTTGGTATTTGGTATACCCCTCTCATCTCTGTCGCCACATGGATCTATCATCACTGTGAGATGCCCTCACCAGCGCAATATACAACATGTCACCCCGCCACAATGTTGCCTACGCATCGCTGTTCGCGGGAGGCGGTGAGTCCTCTGAACTTCAGTGATGGATAAGTCACGCAGAGTCATCGTGTCAGTCTCATCACAGAAGTTAACTTGTGCATTCCGATTTCTGAGATGTCGTCCGAATGTGGGCTGCCCCCATCTCATGCAAGCCCAAGTACAGGTAGCTACGCGCATTTCCCGGCTAGCCATTTCCACGAGCAAAGGTCATCCAATTCGAGATCATGCAATAGCCCGGATCACCATCCCCGAAATCCCTATCAAGAATGCATAATATACACAATGGAAGTTGCATGTCGACAAAGGGACACATAAGAGTCCGCTACCCTCGGATTGTTCGAAAACCGTCTTCGCTCTGCATCCCACACCGCCACGACTTTGGTGTAACATCCCTCCAATAGGAAAATTCATCCTGCTTCTGTTTCAAGTGAAGGACATCACCCATTTGATCTGATGTGTGGTTCCTTCCAACTACGGGCGGTGAGTCTCGTGCCAGTGTCTTCTGATGCAATCGTCGGTGAGGACAATCAACCCAGTCGCAACGAGTACATCTCCAAGATCGCTCGAAATTTGTTTCTCCAGGATCCGCATACTGCACGGCGGTATCCAACTTCCCTGCCCAGCTTCTTTCCGAACTTGCTTCGGTGATAATCTGTCGGGCGTGATGTGAGCAATGCAAGCTCCGGTGTTTAAGTTGACCATTTCGAAAGAAAACACAGACTCCGAGCCGTCTTGGTAGACATTTCGTCTCCAGGTATATTTCTCGCCCCAATACTCAAAGTCGTATAGCTTGCCGTCACCACGACTACTGCGACTCAGCTCCACTTGTGCATAATTGGAGAACTCTATCCTGATGGTATCGGTAGGAACAGTGGCTTCGACATCTGCTTGAGTGGCGAGAAAATCGAGGTCATCCTCAGAGTCTTCTTCTCGCACCTCAGGACCACTCTTGGGTCGAGGTTTGTGGGGGAGCCCTTTAAAGCTCATTTTGCGGAATGCCATACTCAGTGGACGCTTCTTAGGTGTGGATGGAGCCTCGGCCGCAGGTCTCAGATATTTCCGTTTCGAACTGCAAAGTTCACGCCCCGACTGCCTCTGATACCGACGGAGTGAAAATTGACGGTCCGCAAGGTCATACATGCGCAAGTGGAACAGCGTCAGCTTCACCTTTCGACCCTGGGATACGGTAACTTCAGTGTCTGCGCGAAGGTTCAGATTGCCGTCTGGACTGGTATCGTCATGCTGAATCAATATTCTCCTTGTCGAGGGGAACAATTCTCCGAATTCTTTGGGCGTGCAAGCCATAGCATCGGGCTGATAGCAGATATGCCTCGCAAGAGGTAACAGACATTGACCTTTGGAGGACTCAGATTCCTTCTCTGGCGCAATGGTAGAAGCATACGTTTCGGCGGATGATCGTGGATCAGCCCTGTCTTGTTTTGCAGCGAGTGTTGGAAAATCGTCGATTTCATGTTCTTCGCACTCCTCATGATGCTTGACAATGGGTTTCGTATAGCTGTATGAAGTGTTGCTGGTGTATTGGGTGTGACTTGATCGGCCAGATAGATCGGACTCTTGACTGCGGCTTGACGCGGTGCTGGATGACGAGCAAGAGTCTTTTGCAGACCTCGACCGAACCAGATATCGTCGCGGCATGATGTTGCTTGTATCTGCTGGAGGAGAAAAGTGGATTAAAAGATGCCAGAGGATGTTTATGGGTGCAATTGTGGTTGTATGAGCTGGTAGACTAATATGTTTGATGGAAAGATTAGTGAGGAGTAGGTTGCATGGAAGCTATGCAAAATAAGCATCTTCAAGGCCATAACAGAAGGTACGAAATGTTTGCAGTGATTGGTGTATGGTGCCAAAAGACAACGGCCGACTGTGTCGACAACATCACTCCACAAAGGGACCGGCAAAGAGTGTGGAGGAAGAGAAGACCTCCTCGGCTCGAGCAAGCTGTCCGCTTGCACAGGCACCGATGGAGGCGCAGCATGGCTTCGTAATGATTTGCTGAGCGAGCATGCAAACTCCGAAAGCAACGTGTGAGGACGACACGGGTGTGGCCGGACTCAACCCGTTCGGAGCATTCTTTTTCTGGAAGTGTCTACAATCATATTTGGTGAGACGGAGAGAGCCAATGGAACAAGTCTTGACTGGTAGCAGAGCGACCTTGTTCAAGTGGCATGTTTGCTTCCACGCCACGAGACTCTGGTATTCGCCCATATCATCGCATGGAGCCCACCTCGCCTACTCTGTAGCTAGTGGCAAGTAGGAGGACTGGAGGACAGACCTCGAGGCTAGATAATAATCAGCGCTCTTCGTAGGTAACGGAGGATTATTCGCAAGCATCGTGGCAGATGCTCCTTGGGGTAGCAGTTAGAGCGCAAGCCCACTGTCAGACAGAAGGAAATTCCCACGAGAACGACCTGATGATCACCGGCATGGCTTCCCGTCGTTGGCTCGCTGGGCAGGCCTGGTGGCCCAACACACCGTTGAGAAATCCGCCGAATGATTATCACCCGATCTCGACGGTTGCATGATGCCATGTCAGACGGAATTTACTTTTCGCGTGACAGCAAGACAGCTACCAGTTAGCTACGAGCATGGTACGAGGGAGAGTTCCGGGGGCCAACGGCTCACTAAAGGAATTGCCGCACGCTATTGCTCGGTGGAGATTAGTGCCCGTGATGCCCGAACGTATAAATCAACCTAAAGCAAGAGAAGTCAGAAAACAGAAAACACTGCTGGCGTGGCACCACCCCATTGGCATGCCACGGCGATATTCGCTATCAATCTCCCACACGCTGCAATGTCTTGATCTCCGTCGGTTCCTGTCCTGCATCATGTGTGAGTGGACATGCCAAAGATGAACATGTGTTCGCGGAAAAATTCTGCTGGACCTGCGCGCCCGGCCCCATCAGATGTTCATTGACCACCACCATCATGCACAGTATCCCTCATCTTGGGCATCTCTTCGCATCATTTTATGACATTGGAGGTTCTTCTTTCTGTTCGATGCATCTGTCTCCACCGCCAAGGTGCTCCTCTATCCTCCCTCTTCCGTACGTACTGTTCTACGATGTCTGATTTAGTGGTTTCATCATAATCTTGCTGGATGAGGCGTGATCCAGTTGATCACGTTCGAAGCAACGCTGCAGGATGAGATAGGCTGCATCACCATGATCACCATGATCTCCATGGCACGCTACGGTTCGCCCCGGCCAACGGTCTACCGATCGACGCTGAATTCTGAAGACCGTTCTCCCGTGTACCTGACTACATCCAGCTCATCACATTGCATGCGTTCTCTTACTGGACGAAAGTCACCTCTTTTTACCGACGCCAGCTCGAATTCATGCACGATTTACAGCTCAAGCTCAGAATACGGGGTGGTTGGAGATGGGGTGCAACAAGGACAAGGAGCAGCCCTCAATTGCTTCGGCTAAACAGTCCATGCCTCGATCCCGAAAGTCTCTGTACCACGCTTCGCTGCGTGGCTTGTCTGTTGTCCAATAAATCCCTTCTCGAGCGTCCTTGAATGGTCTTATGCGATAGTTGGCCGTCAGAATTTCTTTTTCCTGTCTTCGAAACAGCGTACTTATGTTTCAAGGCTCGCGGCATGCTCATTTGTGCACCAACCGGGCCCCGAAATGCAGCTTTCAGCGCGTCCGCCCGCAAGCCTCCCCGAAAAAAAGCCTGACATGGCTGTCTTCGATCTGTGGTCCATTGGATGGTCTTCTATTCCGTCCCGTCGATATCACGACTGGTCCAGGGTGACAGCTTTATCAATGAGTCAACAGAATTGGCGCTATTCGCCGCGATATGCTGTGTAGCTGTGTATGGCTGAGGAACCCCATGTTAACTCCACAAAAAGCACAAAGGGTCAATCTTGTGGTGGTGCATTGAAGCCTATTGGCGTCCTCTATGAAAGAAAGTCCGATTCAGCCTACATCATTGCAGGTTCTGGGCATGGCCATATAGGCTGAAGTCAATGAACTCCGCGCTGGATTTCCTCAAGCGTGGGCCACCGAAGCATATCCGCGAGTGTCTGAGAAGCCGACTTGCAGTTGCACAATATTGTTTGTGATTAGAAACCTAACACTTTCACCATTGTCGGTCGAATCAAAGCCCTAGCCCAGGACAAACGGCGATCAAGAACTGCATGCACTCCTTCCTGTCTTACACCATGCCCCATAGCGGCCGGGGTAATTCGATCTCTCGACCAAGCTCAACTCCTCGGCCCAAGAATCCTCTGGCTCTATGATCGACGCCGACATATGCCTCTCTCCGTTTTTCCTCTCCTCCGACGTCACGCGTTACACTCCAGGTTCTCAAGCCATAATAGTTTCCGACGCAGTGTACGAGCCAACGCGCGAAGGCAGCTCCCTTGTCATTGTCCAGGCCCTCGAATACCATTTTCTCGGAGCTGATCGTCTCGTCCGGCTCTTCATTTTTCTGTCTCGGCTTCTTACCCGGAGAGTCGAGCATGGCACCATTCCTGCCAATGAAGACAATCTCCTCATCCTCTTCACTATCGCTTAATAAAGGTACATCGTGAAGTCCGTCCTCCCTAAGCCTGGCCTCTCTTTCATTCCATTTCTGCACGAAAGCCCGCACAGTCTCTTCCAAGTCCTGAAGCAGGCCCTTGGCGGCTTTTGCACGCTTCAGTCTCGCTCTGACTTCCTTGGGGATGCTGATAGCCGCTTCTTCCATGGGACTCATGCCCGTGCTTCTCTTTCCTCGCGATCTTGTGCTATTTTTCCGGCCCTTGAGCTTGGCCTCGACGGCGCGCTGGAACTCGGCAGCATCCCACAATGGCGCAAGGTAGTATGGGACAGTGCGTCGCGGGTAAGTCGGACGGACCTCGAAATCAGAAGGCAGGGGTGGTTCAGCCCAGGGGTTCGATAGTAGGCGAGCTGTCGACCTAATTAGCTTGGACACAGTTATCTCCTCAGCGTGTGGGTTTTACCATTCTCCCATCGTCGACGCTGCCGCGAGCCTTCTTTGCCCTTGAGCAGAGCCTCGCGGCGCTCGATACTGTCACGACGTAGAATTTTACGCTCGGTGTAGACGGCAGACGTGGACACAGCAGAGCGAGTGGTGGCGTCGAGAGGAACGGATATGCGGACAGTCGTGCCAGTCACCGGTCGTGGGGCCGTTGTAGGCGTTATCGAGACATTTTCCATCTGCTGCGTGATCCAGTCGGCGGTCGATGCAACTTCTGGTGCTGGTGCTGTGGCCTCAGCGGACGACAGTATCGGGACTACTGCCATGGTGTATCTGATATGGCTGACTATGACGCGTTGTGGCGAGCTACGTTGACGGATTAATGAGGTACTCTTTGTACGAAGAACCCCTTTCTTTGCACTCGAGACTCGGGGACTAAGGAGTAATGAGAAAAGAAGCTTGAATGTGTGGCAGAAGATGAAGGTCTACGAGTCGCAAGAAATGGGGATGAGGGTGAGGATACACCCTATCGGCGAGTACCTCGTCGGAGTCTGACTTCCCGACGAATTACGATAAGCGAGCGTGCCACATGTATGAGTCAAACCAGACCCATGATCAAAGCCTCGAAAAATGAGAATTCTGAGATGGAATTTGTAGAGCGTATTGTTGCGTACATGACTCACTCTACGGACGTCTTTCTTGTCTTATGTTAACGAAGTTGAATGTGGTCCAAGTTACCCACGTTTGTGAGGTATCTCGCATGCGCCGGGCTCCGTTGAAACAGTTCAAGGGCCCGTTCTTATCCGTCTCGTCGTCACTGGCGTTGCCTGCGCTTTCTTGTAAACCCCATGTTCCTCAGCCATTCCCCTTGTAAAAGCATAACACATCCTCCTCCAGTTGTTCTATTACCCTCTTTATTGTCACTACTCTAGATATGAAGTGCCACAACTTCCTAGTGCTTGCGGCCTCGATCGCTGTGGTCTCGGCGCTGTCCGTCGACACTAACTACCAAAAGGTGGTTATTGAGGACAAGCAACGTATAACACAAGGACAATGCTTGATTGAGCTGAGTCCTGGAGAGACAAGATGGGTCACGGAAGACGATAAATGGGATTTGAAGCGGGTACGATACCACCAAGCCCTGGAGTGCATACAGTGACTTAACGTGGTTGCATCTAGCATGGGGTTCAATTCATGGACATCACTGAAAATGGACACACCTATCCATATGTCATTTCTCAGGAAGGCGAGACGAGTCGAATTACCTATCCCTCTAAAGCGCAGTACAACAAGACGGTGAAGTCACTGGTAAAAGGATTGGATAAAGATAATATGCGCAAGCACCTGGAGGGACTCACCTCGTTCCACACTCGATACTACAAGAGCCAGTACGGCATTGATGCAGCTACCTGGCTATACGAGCAGATCAATGAGACCATCTCAGGCTCGGGTGCGTTTGACTACGGCGCTACCTTGAACAAGTTCAATCATCCGTGGGGCCAGTTCAGTATCATTGCTCGGCTACCGGGAAAGACCAATCATACAGTTGTGATTGGAGCACACTTGGACAGTATCAATCTGTTCTTGCCGTCCATTCTCGCAGCGCCAGGGGCCGACGACGACGGCAGTGGCACGGTGACGATATTGGAGGCTCTTACGGCCCTCCTTCAGTCCCACGATATCATCAAGGGCAAGGCTGAAAATACCATCGAGTTCCACTGGTACTCGGCTGAAGAGGGCGGTCTTCTGGGCAGTCAGGCGATCTTCAAGTCATACCATGAGAGCGGGAAATCCATCAAAGCTATGATTCAGCAGGACATGACCGGCTACGTGGCCCAGACGTTGGCACATGGCAAGCCCGAGTCGGTTGGAGTCATCACGGACTATGTCAATGCGGACCTGACCGAGTTCATCAAAGAAATCATCACGACATACTGCGATATCCCATACACGCTGACCAAGTGCGGCTATGCATGCTCGGACCATGCTTCTGCCAGCAAGTATGGATATCCATCGGCGTTTGTGATCGAGTCGGATTTTGAGTACTCTGACAAGAAGATACATACCACCGAGGATCTGATCAAGTACCTGAGCTTTGATCACATGTTGCAGCATGCGAAGATGACTTTGGGTTTTGCATACGAGGCTGCTTTTGCAAAGTTTTGAGGGCCCCAGATGTTGTTGACAATGGACTAGATGTCCCAGACGGCGTTGGGGTTGGCCATAGGATTTCATGGGTCTTGCAGACAGTATTACTACCTTGATACCCAGGCATATATACGCACCGTGATTCTGATCTCCTCTGATGGTCTTGATTGGCCCTGGAACTTAGCTGCAGTGACTGGGTTTTGCTTGCATGTTGACCATCAACCCATCGAGGCCATGTTACCTTGTGTGCCTTGTCCTGCTTGTGTCTGCTATGTGACGTAATTGTTCCCCGCAAATTCGAGGTCCAAGTTGAATGTCGATTTGCTGCGGCTTGCAACTCCAAGTCACTGATCACCCACCATCACCCTCTTTGAAGCCGTTGTTGTCTCGCTAAACAAACTTGAACAATCACGAGAACACTCTGACCCAGCTTGCTTTTTAGGCAGCAACTAGGCAGTATATCCACCAAGTCCTCCCCTCTGCCGCGAAGCCGGTTTTCTTCATTCCTCCCAGCGAGAGATACTGTGTGGTAGCCACTACTGTGATACTTCAAACATCTATTTGACTGAAATCCATCGACCACATATCAAATCGAGTCATTCTTTGCATCCAAGATGGCGAATTGTTCGCGCCCGCTCTCTTGTCTCAATGCAGCTCTAGCTAACCAGCTTCCCAGGGAATCCGTTCGCCAAACGCGAGGAATTCACCAAGAACCACCTCATTGCCTACAAAATCCTCACCATCGTTTCCTGGCTTCTCCTGGTCATCGTTGGAGCCTATTATACCTTCTCTCGCCCGGCGGATTGCGGGCACAAACATCTCTGCCACACAATATGGGGACAAAACAGCCATAGACGGACACCTTTCAGCTTGAATTCGGTAGTAACCAGCATCTACTGGGTGGTCATTTTGATCCTGCAGGCACACTATGTCCGCTATCTGTGGAGCGCAGACAAGGCGTTCGTCACGAGTGCTGCCAATGTTGGAAGCCACTTCATCTTCGTATGTTCATGGACTCTCTTCTGAGCCGATGCGCTGACAAGACGCGTACAGCACAATCTCCTCACCTTTGGCTTCATAATGCTGTGGGTCCGAGGCCATTTCTGGCAGGGCGAGCTGCTCCTGATTGTCAACTTGTTCAACCTTACCCTCTTGTATTTCGGCCACCCCACGACTCCTCTGTTCATTCACCTGCCTGTCGTCTCTGCGCCTCTGGCCTGGAATTACGTTGCAATCCTCTGGGATGGGGCAGCCATGGTCAACGCTCATACTTTGCCCGCCAGAATCGTGGCCAATATCTTCATCTGGGGTATTCTAGTGCTTGGAGGCTTCTTCCTTTTGACTTTCAAGGACTATACCATGGGTCTTGAGTTAGCAGTGCTTTCACTAGGTGAGCATGACTCTTTCCTAGATTTCAATAATCCAAGACTGACCATATATTATAGCGCTTGCCATCGGACAGGTTGGGACACATGTCATTGCTCTACAGTGGATTTTCGCCTTCGTCATTGCTGGATGTTTGCTGGTCATGTCGCTACTCATTGGAGCTCCAAAATTGTTTGGCCAAGACAGAAGTATTCGACAGGAAGGTGCCATTGTCAGCGAGGACCGAGAACGGGCACCACTTCTGAGCGATCAATGAACGGATCATGGTTTCTCCGCTTTGCGCTTTGCGTTGAACTTGGAGCAAAGGGACATCATCAAAGCCTCAAGATAAGGCTAACAAAGCGAATTTCCGTTTTTGCATGGCCTGGACATGTACTGCATTCGTATTGCGGGTCGTTCTGGGAGGGATCTGGAGAGTATTATCAAATGGACTGTCGTCAATGATTTGTTTGATTGTCGTTTGAGGTTATCTTCCTGCTTGATGTTGGCAAGCTAACACGTAACAAGGCAGGGGAGGGAGTCTGGTGCATTATGACCTAGGAAAGTGCTAGTGCCCTGGACAATAGAATATGACACGTTTGCTGCGATGTGGATGTCGATGTCTTCTTTCACGGAACTAGAGGCGGATGAGCTTATAATCCAGCATCGACCACTGACATGCGTGGGTTGTTCTGTTTCTTTGTCGGTAGAGGACCGAACCCGTGGTTGCCTTGCGCCTTGTTCCACAAGCCAAAGATTAATGTCAAACGCACCAGTCATGGTTCCCCTACTCAACTTAAGAACCGAATGTACGCCCAATTCAGATATGAGAGGCCCTCAGGCCGGTTGCGCATAAAAGGATTCTGCCGCCGCTTCTCTCACGACGCTGTTTTTGTACCTGACCACCAACAACGGGCAATTCACTCTTTCTACAGTAACGACTCACTTTCTTTTCACCATGCCGAACGATTTCCCTCCCCTTCATCTCTTCGGTTCCTTGCCTGAATTCGATTCGATCGACCCGGAGAATCTTCAGGCCTTACATGATTCGTGGAAGAATTTTGTTAGCATGAATTTGGCTGGCATGTCATTTCCAGCCTCACAACCACCTTTGACCAGCACAGCAGCGTCAACGGCATCAACTTCACCACCATCGCTGGTATCGTTGTCTGAGGACATGCTAGCTGCCCATGCTCAATATCTTGGTCAGGATCCGACAAGCCCGGCCTTCACCTCAGACCGGGACGACGACAAACCTGTCACTTACAGCACGGCTCTACAAACTCAAGAACCTGAAGCGGACGCAATCCACCCAGACATTGACCGCACCGATGTTGTCAACCTGTCACGCCTCATTGCCCTCTTCCAATCCGGCTGGACGCTCTCACGCGGTCATGGCCCTCGCAACAACGACTTCTGCCTTTGGTGCCGTGGTCCGATGACTGAGCATACGGAGATTCTCATCCACGACTGCGGTCCCAATACCAGCGCTAAGTGCAACAACGCTTGGCCAGCGAGCTGTTTCCTGCAATCAGTCGTCAACTTCGAGATAGACAAGGCCGGCACCCGAGTCCTACGCTGCCCCATGTGTCGCGCCGAGATCTTCAACGCTCACCGCTTGAAACGCGACCCGCGTATGCAAGATTTCCAACACCCTACGTATGAGGTCGTCCCTGCGCATATCCGTGTTCTCCTATTCGGTGCCCGTCTCGCGCTTCAATACGCCAAAGAGCATGGCAGTCGACCACTGTTCTTCATGGAACGTGCCGAAGTTGCAAAGTTGGCCATGCTAGGCAGGAACTCGGTCGTTTTTAGGCAGGTGGATGCCCTGAAGCACCCCGAGCGCGGTGAAGACCACTTTGTCACCTTGTGGCTGGTGATCGACTGGGGTAACAACGAGTATCGAATGACGCCATACCTTTCTACACCGAATATCGTGCCTGAGATGCTGCGTGAACGTATATCGCCCCTCCAAGGCATTAGGTTTATGACAGCTCAAGAGGTGGAACATGAAGCGGCGGTGAAAGGCGGTTTGGCCGAGGCGGTCGCCGCATTCATGCCAGACTTGCACGATGAGAGTATCAAGGAGATGGTGCATGGCGGTAAGCAGGAGCTTTTGATGATCATAGAGCAATGGGTGTCCTCTGCCAGGGACGAGGAGGCAAGAGAGCGCTGCAAGGCAATGTTTGTACAGTTGACGAAAGCGTTTGGGATTTGTATGCCCCAGGACGAGACTAAGAGTGCACAGATAAGGGAGAACCAGGTTGCCGACCAGGATGGGGATGTGGAGATGACGCAAGAGGAGTACGAGGATAGCATTCAGCATACGCACATGGAGACGGATGACGACGAAGACGAAGACGACGACTCTTGGGCCGAATGAAGCGTGTCAATATTGGAATTTTTGGGCTGGTGACAACAGGGCCAGGCGGGTTCTACAAGCGCTGTTGGGAGTAAATGGGGTTTGCAAGGAAACCTGTGCTTCGATATCAGGGTGATATCAGCATGGGGAATACCAGTCCCTAGGTAATATTGCATGGAGTATGGATGCGCTACAAGCTCGAAGCAGAGATTGCTCGCTTGTTCCGGAGTAAGGGGGCCTGATGCTAGTAGATAACGGCCACGTGAACGGCTAAAGCGAATGATATTGCATTGGATGATCAGGGAGACGAGTACGGACTACTAATACTAGTATTGAGATTTCTATGTCGCCATATATACTGTAAAGGCCACATCCTGGTATAGCCTGGCAAGCTGATCGATCATCAATCAGTGATTCAGTGGTCACTTCCGCCTTCTCCTTCCACCCTCGCAATTTCATCCCAGGCTAGCAGAAGAAGCCGGGAAAGCCTTTAAAGTAGTTCATGATATGGCGCATAGGACCGCGGCTCGAACCCTGCCTCCTAAGTAAGGCCCTCCTCATGCCAACGAACTTGAAGTCTTCGCGAGCCTTTGGAAGAAGAGATCCACAAAAATGAGGAAATTCAACATCCAAGCCAGGCGGGGGAGACAACCCCGCGTCGTCGGCCAGGCCGGCCTCAGTCATGCCAGGAATGTACGTAGTATACCCCCCCGGTGATGCTGCGAGGTCTCATGCAGGTTATTGCTTCTGGGGAGGAGTGGGCGCCGGAGAGAAAGGGAACCCCACCGTCCCAGATATGTACACACCGCAAGAAGAGTGAGTGTCCCGGGTTGTGTTCCTGGGGGCTACCTGGGCAGGTTTACCGTCCGTTGTGTACGATTGTTGGCAGAAAATCGAGGGGTTTGAGATATCGAGGTTGGGTCTAGACGGGGCAGCGCGGCGGGTGAGGTACAGAATACCCTGATCTGAGTTGAGGGGCAGCGGGGCGAGGTAGAATGTCTGAGTTGGACGGGCGTGGCCAGAGCGAGTCCCGTCAAGGAGAGAAGAGAAGAGATGGCGGGCATCGGTGAGCTCGCACACTTTGAAGACAGAAAGACGGCACTGTTTCCGTGGTGAGCTGGTTTGAGCATGTCTAGCGGAGACGATCTCCCCTCGCGCCGGATACTGAATGGCCGTCTCTCGCCTTCGTGAAACTCGTGTCGAGAGCCTTTGCTAAAGCATAAATTGCCTTGAGGAGCGGTGTTTTGACGCCCTTCTCCTCGGCTATCCGGAGGGTATTCCCAACGATGGCGTCGACTTCCATGTTTCGACCTGCCAGTGCGTCCGCAAGCATACTCGGCTGTACGCCGGGCAGAGAGCGTGCTTTTGCGCGGCCGAGCTGGTGGTCAACTTTCGATTCGGAAATGACGGGGTATCCAGCGGCTTGGGCGACTGAGGCGATCTCGAGCATGATCTGCCTGACGACGTCAGTCGCTTCGGAGGAGGAGTGCATGAATTGTACGTCGCGGCTGCGCGAGAGAGCACATATTGGGTTCCAGGAGGCATTGACGAGGAGTTTGCTCCATCGCTCGGACTGGACGTCCTCGTGGACGTGGGCTGTGCCGCCGCCAGAACCGAGCAAAGAGGCGAATGACTCGGCACGGGACGTGTGGGCTTCTGGTGCTTTTGCTGGATATGTGCCGATGTGAAGGCGTTCTACCTCGCCATGCGAGATGGTACCAGGGGAGGTCTGGGTCGCGGGGAGGTAGACGACACAGCTGAGGAGCGGGTTGTTGGGGAATTTTGATACGTAAATATCTTCTACGGCAATGCCGTTCTGGATGACGGCGATGGTGGTGTTTGACGAAACGGCTGGGGCGATTTGATCGGGGATGGATGGTGTGCTGGGGATGGCTTTGGCAGTTACGACGACATAGTCGAACGGCTTGCCTCCTGATCGAGAGACTGCCTCGTCGACTGTGCGGACGATTTGAGGTCGGACGTTGAGATTTTGTCCAAAGAGGCTCGAATTGATGGTGAAGCCCTGGGATGATGCGACTTCGTAGTTCGAGCGGCAGACGGTAAAGACGTTCTCGGGAGATACAGCTCGACAGAAGATGTAGGCATATACGGCGCCTATACTACCCGTTCCGAAAATGAGGATTCGAGGTGACATGTCTGCGCTGAGAAGTGTTAGTAGAGGACTACTGTGGTATGTGCGAAGGCCGATGGATGTATGAAGATGTCATATCAATTGTGGCAACTCTTAGATGGAGTGCGCAAGACGGAGATCCGGGGAAACAGCCGACCGGCAATCGACCGCTTGATAAGGAATCGCGGTGAGGATGGAAATGGAGGCATAGCTCAACACAAAGGAGAAGAAGATGGACGTCGGGAGCCCTGCAGAGGAACAAAATGGCTACCTTGTTGTGGATGGACGTAAGGGTTCAGATCTTGCGATGGCAGCCGTGGAGAAAGCCCGACCTTTCATTGACTTTTGAGACTTTCGAAGAGGAACAGATAGAGCTGGGCGAGAAGGTGATGTTCGAAAACGTTGCTGGCATTTGATCTGTTGTGACAGAATTCTGCTTCGTTGGACCTTTGGCCGACACACTTGGCCTGTAAGCAGCTGCCGACGCGGCCGATAAAGAGAGAAGTTCATCTCTTAGGTGGGATACTGTAAGCAAACATCCTCGCTGATACTCCGTATCGACGTAGCTCTTTAAACGGTTACGCAGAAGTGGTTGGGAGACAGCGAACACTCTAGCAATTTGTACGGCTGAAAGAGTCGGAATTCGTGATATTTTCTTCTGAGTATCCGTAAGGGCAGATAGGAATGAAGCTCTTCGTGCACCGGATAGAGTACGAGGACATACCTGACATACAGTAGTACTTTTGGCGACTCTCTTGCTGCTTGTATGGAAGAGGAATAGTCTCCTGACCAGGGTTCGCGTAAAGCGCAAATGACGTTGATGTTTGGTGTCGCAGCCTCAAAGCCACTTCTCCCACTTTACAATAGCCACCTACGGAGTAATAACCTCTGTGTACTCAGTCAACTCCAGGCCACTATAACGGCGCCGACCCAAACAGCCATCGCATGGCACAAGGGACAAAGAGACATTGACCATCATGGATCCAGATATACCTGCACCCTCTATAGAGCGCGATGTCCTCCCCGACCTCAACACGAATTCTGCCACACCATCTCTCGCGTCGCCGTCTATTCAAGTGAAGCAGTACAACCGTTCTGACCTGAATGCTGCCGCCTCAGTCCCGCTACCGCCCTCCTCGCCTATGCGAAGTCCATATCGAAAGCCTTCTGCGAACAACTTGAAAACCAAATCAGTCTCCCCAAATTCTCCCTCACGGTCGCCCTCCGTCGCAAGTTCATACCGTGGTGAAAGACAGCAATCCACTCCCATCTTGATCAGCAAAAGATCAGCTTCAAGCCTGAGCACTGCACGAGGTGGAACACCACAGTTTCGGCGGGCGTCCTCTAATCTCAACCCTGCTTTTCCTACGACGAATGGAAAGATGCCCATATCAGAAGAACGCCCACAAATAACGGCCAGTTCGGTCGCAAAGGAATATTTCGGGAAGGAGTTGGAAGCGCATGCCTCTCTACAATCGCCCCTGGTCGTTATAGTTCAGGATTCATGCTATGGTCATCGCTTCTCCCGCCCGCGCGCAACCAAGAATGCCCTGGCCACAATTGTCGAGCGACCCGAGAGAATTCATGCCACAATACTGGGTGCGTCGACTGCCTATGTACGTCTAGGAGGGCGTCACGCTGAAGGCCAACATGCTCCTCGACCCAAGCACAATCCTCAACACGTACAAGACATCCCGTTTCAGATTCGCAAAACCTCTCGCAACATCCCACTTAGCAACCCTTCGGTGGCTTTTGTCCATGGCTCCAAGTGGATGGAAGAACTGCACATCATGTGTGACACAGCCGAAGGAAAACTTGCGCTGAATGGAAAAGAATTGGTCCGCCCAATTGGATATGGGAAGGATGAAAGTGGAAATGCTCTACCAAAACTGCATGAAGGTGACTTGTACTTGTGCAAAGAATCACTGGCCGCTCTGCAAGGTTGTCTCGGTGGCGTGTGCGACGCCGTCGACACCGTCTTCTCTTCAGATACGACGAAGCGTGCCTTCGTTTGCATCCGTCCACCAGGACATCATTGCTCCTCCAACTTCCCATCAGGCTTCTGCTGGCTCAACAACGTCCACGTCGGGATCTCTTATGCGGCCATGAACCACGGCTTGACACACGCCGCCATCATCGACTTCGATCTGCATCATGGTGATGGTTCTCAGAACATTGCCTGGGACCAAAATCGCAAGGCCCATGGCGCTGCCAAGAACACCGCTGCTCACAAGAAGACTCCGATCGGCTATTACAGTCTCCACGACATCAATTCATATCCTTGTGAGTGGGGCGACGAGGAGAAAGTTCAGAAGGCAAGTCTGTGTATTGAGAATGCTCATGGCCAATCCATCTGGAATGTTCATCTTGAGCCGTGGAAATCACACGAGGAGTTCTGGCAGCTCTATGAGACCAAGTACTTAGTTCTCCTGGACAAGGCACGAAACTTCCTGCGACATCACACAGCAAAACTCCGCTCTTCGGGAAATCCTCAACCAAAGGCAGCAATCTTCATCTCTGCTGGCTTTGATGCAAGCGAATGGGAGGGGGCGGGCATGCAGAGACACAATGTTAACGTGCCGACAGAGTTCTATGCTCGTTTTACATCCGATATCGTGAAACTAGCTCATGAAGAAGACCTGGGCGTTGACGGCCGTGTGATCAGTGTGCTTGAGGGCGGATACAGTGATCGTGCATTGACCTCCGGAGTGTTGAGCCACATCTGTGGATTTGCAGGAGGAGGGCCCGTCCACAACACCGAGAGTGCCGCTAGCGTCGGTGAAAACAAGTTGCAGACGATCAACCGTTGGATATCAGGTTCGATCAATGCTTCCGACAGCTCATACGCACCACATTGGTGGGCGCTCCAGAACCTCGAAGAATTGGAAGCAGTCGTGGCTGGTCGCCAGCCTCCCGCAGCGAAATCCTCGAAGGACACCACTGGAAATTACTCTTCGCCAACTCAGGCGTCTACTCTCAAGATGACCGAACAGGCCCGGGAGAGGCGTTCACTGTCTGCCCTTCAAGCTAGGCTGTCGCTGGAGTCTGAATATGTACCACCGCCTCCTGATGTTGACTGGGCTATTGCATCTTATGAGCTATCTCGTGTTATCATCCCCAGTGATCGACAGACTCTGAGCTGTACGCATGAGGAGCTTAATGCGGAGGCCACCAAAGCTAGGCGTGAACGGCAATCCACTTTTGGTGGACCTGCAGCCGCGGCTCCAGATGAGAGGATGCAGCTTCGAGATCGCAAAGCAAAGCTCCCGCCACCGCCACCGCCTCCTATTCCTTCAACAAGGGTCGCCTCGCGCCATGACAACCGTCGCACCACTATTGCGGCGATCAGCGACCTTCCAGATCCTACGATGCAGCAGTATGATGGAGTTATGGGTCGACCACGTAGGAGGTCAAGCGATGCGTCAAGTATTCTGTCCAATTTCCAAAACATGAAGTTGTCAGAGGACAACCCCCCCTCGCTGCCAACAAATTATACTACGAACGGCACTTCGAGAGCCTCATCTGTGGTACCGGGAAAGTCGACAAAGGCCGTCGTGGTGAAGAAGACGAGGGCACCACCGGCCACAAAGGCACCTGCAAAACCAAAATCTAGTCCTCGAAAGACGAAGGTTTCGCCTCCAGTCGGTAGTATCAACGGTGCTGTAACAACTACCAGCATTGAAAAAGGCAGATCCAACGGCAGTGGCGAAAAGAGAGAGAATTCGGACCCTTCTCCGAACGGCAGTACAGATGAGATTGATAATCTCACAAACGAGGTCAAAAAGATCAGCATCAAGTTGAAAATGTCTACGGCTGAAAAGAACGCAGCGAAAGAACAGCAGCGAGCAGGTGATGACAAGCAGAAGAAGCCTCGCACTTTTAAGAAGCAAGTGGTGCCGAAGACTTCCAAGATTGCTAAACCAGGTCCGGCAGTCAGTCTGGAGAGGTCCGCTCCTGTCCAGTCCGCGCCAATCAAAGTTGAGGAACAGACCGTGTCTGAGCCACTGGCGCTCCCAACGACCAGCGCTGTGCAAGCGAGGCGAGAGCCCGGTATGCCAACATCGGCACATATGAAGACAGTTGCGGATGCTGGAGGTTTCGATCCGATTGTCATGCAAGCGCCGGTCGACAGAACGACAGACATGACGAGCATGACTTTCCCGGAGGAATCACAAGGCCCCGCACCAGTCACTATGCCTCATCAGCAGGGTGTCAGTGCTTCCGAACCCTTTGTCCCTGCTCCGATCGAGCCTGTGCGACAAAGCATAACCGAACCCACGCTTGCTGCATACCCGTTCCCTCCCACTTCTGAGGAACCGCAACCTCCTGCCTACCAAATTCCGCAAGCCATTACTGAGGCTACTGCTCAGAGACCAAGTTCAGCTGGAGTGAGCACGCCTCGGTGGACGAAACAGGACCTTCCCGTTTTCACGGCTTCATCGCCAATCCCCTTCGCCGCACCTTTGAATGCGAGGACCGAATCTATTCCTAAGCAGGAACAAAACGGCAACTAGGAGATGTCATTCTGGGAGATTCCTGAGACACCACTGCAGAGGTCTTGAGGGGGCTAAGCCCGGGTGCCACCAAATGGGACAGAGATGCAGCTGGATCGACAACACCCTTTGTCTTTCATATTTTCCTTGGTCATGGTTCATGAGAGGGCGGCGGCGCTGCTGGAGGTAGGAATCAGAGGCTTTTCATTTCATGGTAGATTGGAGGCCGAGAACTTTCCTTTCTGCCATAGCGACGAGGCCGAGGTTGTTCGGTATCGACGATGGGAGACATTTAATTCCTTGGTGTAATTTTGCGAGATACCCCATACAGCATGGAGGAGTTTTGGACAGGGCATCTGGATTGTGTGTGGCATTTTGGAGGAAGCCTAGCTGCTCAAGGAGTGCAACCATTGGATAGGGAATGCAAGGACACCAATGCTATGAGAGATGTTATTTCCTTGGGAAGCCGATCAATTGATATCTCTGAGTGGATTATCGTTCTTTAGTCTTCGCGTTCTCGATTATACCTAGGTATGTTGCGTTACCTGGTTAGAGTGTATCTGTCTACAGTAATGTCGAATGCAGTAGGAAGAGATACCTCTACTAGTATATGTAGGTATGTGATTCGTACACCGATATACCGCACCTAGACACAAACACAAACACAATTAGGCATATATGTATATACAATAAAATATAAATACCGTCACTAGTAATACGTACAATCAGCACCCCAATCCTTTGTGGGTTGCGGCATGCGAACGCCCATTTTGGCCTCGATCCAATCCTCGATCGTCACCCAGCCCTGCCTCTTCTGCATCACGGCATTCCAGATGGCGAACTGCCATTCTCGCCACCACTCTTGCGCGATCAAGCCGGCGCGGCTGCTGCTGCTGCTGCTGCTGATGCTGACGCCGCCCAGGTCACCGCTCGGGTCGGTGTCGGTGTTGGTGTCGGTTTCGGTGTTCGTGTAGATCTCGGTGCTTGTGTCGGTCCCAAGTTGATGTTGTTGTTGTTGGTGTCGTCCTCCGACAGGGCTCGGGCTCGTCGCCGCGACATGCCAGACCGTGTCGACGACTTCGTACCTTTTCGTCGGATACAGCCGGAGCATGTTGGTGAACCAGTTGCCCGACTGCCGCTGGACGGTGACGGAGGAGAACTGCGCGGGGAACTCGACGCTGACTTTGCCCCGGTACTTTGTGGCGGCGAGGAGCGTGCGGACCATGCCTTCTAGGAGTTGGGTGGGGAGGTTGGCGATGTGTCGGTGGAGGGTGAAACTGTGCGGTCACCAAGTGAGTGTTTAGTGCATTGATTTCGTTTTCTCGCATACGCAAGGTGGCAGGACAGGGGGAGGGGGGACTTCAAAGGTGGGAAGTACTAGTGCAAGGGATGGGATGATGGCTAACGAGCATGGGAGCTGGGAAGCAGTAAAGGCTGGTAAGTAGTAGGGCTGCTGAGGCTTACCTCCTGTTCTCGGCCTTTTCTTCGACGAACTTCTTCACCCACTGCTCCAGCGGAGTCATGCGGGAATGGGAATGGGAATGGGAATGTTTGGACGAGGATGAGGACGAGGATGATGACGACTGCTCAACGGGCTTGACTCGCATCCGAGGGGATTGGGCCGACGCTCTCGTCCCGTCGAAGTCGGGCTGCCGATTGTTGTGCGTGTTGTGCGTGTTGTGCGTGTCGTGCGTGTTTTCGATGGCCAGGAGACTCGTCAGGTTCAGGGTGAGTTCGAAATCAACGTGCGTCGAGCCGGTGTCGCCGGTCAGGTGCGTGCCGCGGATGACCATGAGCGGTTTCGGCGGGAGAGAAGCCTGTTCGTTGATGAACTTGATCAGCGCGTATTGTGTCGTGGTGAGTTCCGGCTTCGTGGTGGTGAGCGACGTGTGGCCATCGGAGAGCTTGGCTTGCGCGACGCCGCAGTACTTGGGCAGGTCGATGGCACTCAGCCGCGAGATGGCGTCGAGCGGGTTCTGGCTGGGAATGGGGATGCTTGGAGTCACGGTCGGTATGGGGAGGCTGGGGATGGGAGGATTGATGTTGTCGTAGGAAGGTGGGAGGTCCTGTGGTTCCGGTTGCGGTTGAGGCTGAGATGCTGGTGTCGATGTCGGTGTAGTTGGAGGAGGTTGAGGCTGAGATGATTGTTGTGCTTGGAGTCTGGCCTTTTCGCCCGACGGCGCCTTGGGCATCTTGATTTGATTCCTTTGGAGAGTTTCGGATCAAGAGAGACTGTGATGATAAGTGAAAGGATCAATGGAGGATGCGGGATATCGATGCCGGTGAAAGCGGACGAGCTCCTTCTGCTCGGCTATCTTTATGAGAGCAGGGCGCAAAAATCACTGAAGCATGATAGAGACTGAAGCAAAGGGAGTCGGGAGTATTGACGTCCAAAAGAACAAATAGAAAATAGGCATTACCATTTCCTGTCTCTCTCGGTCTTTACCTTTTCTCGCGTATTCCACTGGATATGGAAAGGTGTGAGATGTGGGAAAAAGGATGACGGAAGTGCCGATAAAGGCTCACTAAGTTAGGCACAGCCACAGTTACAAGTTACAGGCACTCAGGCACCCATCAAACCCTCCAACCAGCATCTTCCAGGCATCATCAGGCTGGTGGCTATCGCTTCAACCAATCGCCGCTCCTATGATACACGAGAATCTTTGGGAGTTGAATGGAGGCTGTGTATCGTATCGCCAGGACACAGTAGAAGTGACTGCATACATTCTCAATGACCACCTTTCCGGCAGACTTTGACTAACGATAGAAGGCTGAATGATGGTCTATTTGCCCTACGACTCCTCCGCTCCAATGTCCAGCATCGCATCGCACCACGCTGCTAACGCGGTGAAGCTTCCTCTTTGTCGCTCACAGAATTCCTTCATTGCCAGGGACCTACCTCTTTTCCAGCCAGATATCTTGCCTTCACAGTCTTCAAATTCGTCTCTGGCACGCCTTCTCCCTTCTTGATTCGGAAGACTGTCCATCGTCGTGCTACTTTGCTCTTTCCGAGCGGAGTTGCCTTGCAGGATAGCCCATGCAATCTTCCTGTCACACACCGGACACAGATATGGCGGCTGCCGCATATCTTCCGCCACCGAGCCGCTACCCTGCATGACGCATGCCTTGTACATGCAATGATCAAGTCCAAAGCAGTGGCCCAGCTCGTGAGACGTCGTACGACAAAGTCGAAAAAGAAGGGTCGAAGCTGCGTTGGCATCGGGTGTTATGCCTGTTGAAAAAGCGTGCAGGTGCGCGTTCAACGCTTTTTGCAAAGGCGTGGATGCGAGACTGAGGGTCGGTTCATTTGCTGCCTTAGATCCTTTCATCGCCTTCCGGCCGCTTTTGCCAGAGATTCCCGCTTGACCCTGAGCACTAATCTCATCGACGAACGCCTTGCAATGACTCGCGGGCCATACATGTTCGCCATCAACGTCATGCAAATCGTCCATGATTGTGTGATATCTTGCACTCGAAACAATAGCAACTCGGCTGGCGCCCCATGCTCGTCCACAGCAGAAATCATCATCGTCGGATTCATAGATGTCATGTGCGGTCATCAGGAGCAGCGCATATGCATCGGACGGCAGGATATCCATGGCTACATCGGTAAGATCGTTCAGATTCAGCTGGTATGGGTAGGCGAAGAGTTGCGGTGGGGAGACAGTATCTGCAGGAGGTGTTGATCGCACACGAATGCGAACGATTTCACCACCAGTTGAGAGACCCACCTGTTGGCACTTTTGATTTTGGGTGCTGCATCCGCGTCTGGCAGACGACTCGTCTTCCCAGGAAGTAAAATACAGCCTCTGAGGAAGGACCTTGACCTCTAAGCCATGGTAGAAAGTGCGAAGGTAGGCAGCAATCACGTTGACATCCACGCCGTCCGCTCCCATTGGATTGGCATTCTGTACACATAAGTAACAGAAGAGTGGGCCTGACGCTGGACGCACCCTTCTCGTGTTTCTCCCAAGTCTCGGATGCTGCCAGTCTCGCATGAAAGCCACATCCACGTCGATATCTGGTGCTGCAGCCAAATAGATTACATTTCTGCGTGATGTCACGTGGTTGCGCACCCCGAGGTTCAGCCATGATCGAAAGCTTTGTGGTGGATATTTCGGATCGCAGTCGATGTCATCACCAGGCAGAATCAAAGGTGCCGGAAAAGCTTCGAGCGCATTGTTGGTTAGATAGCTGCCAGGAAGCTTGCGCTTGCCAGTGGCGGCTGTGACCAGCTGACTGTCGGTGTAGGCATGGTGGCTTGAAGCCGTGGCATATGGTGAAATGGAACAAATCAAAGTCCAGTGCTCACACATTTCAACTTCCGGGTAGAGAAGGCGAGTTTGCAAGGGGGAGACAGGGAAGAAAGTAGAAAGGAACCAAGCTATCATCTTGTGGAGCACCTCTTATATGAACGCGCGCTCGCTGGCAGCCTGCCTCGCAATGCAGCATCATGTTGAGACGACCACGCCGTCAGAGTGTGACTCATAGTCGTCTGCCTAGCAGCTCGGCCTGCCTGCAAGACCGCAGGACTGATAACGTTTAGCTTAGATCAGGATCCGGATCCAATCTGGAGCGAATGAGGCTGCCGTCTCAGACAGAGGTTGATGGTGGCCCTGAGGACTCTGATTCACTGCACCGTTCCTTTTCTTGATAGGCAGCGGGTCTGCTGAACGAGGAATATAATGGTGCTGTGCGGCAAGATTATTCAATGTTGAAGCCATCGAAGAGTGAAACTCCTCGTTGAAGTTGGATCGTTTGAAGGTGACTGGAGAGGAGGCAGTTTCGCAACCAATCATATCTAGCCGACGGTGTGGAATTTACAGGGATAAATATTGCCTAAAACGGTAGCTGAAATTCCTTGATAAGGCAATTTTTGAAGTTTTCATCAACCAACAGATGAAAGTGTGATTCGATTTTTGCCCATGTTTTGCCCAAAAGTGTCGGCGAGATCTGATTGGTTGCAAACGGGGAGACCAGCATCAGGCAGTCACTTCAAGGGCGTCCGGCACCGAGCCCGGCGATCCATCCTCCCCTATCCTCCTCCTTCCGGGCCTGTACGACAACACCGGGGTTAAAGTGACAATACCTCCGATCACGAGGCAGTCGTGGGCAGTTAACCCAACAAGGCTGACCGAAGCCTCAGACCCGTTCCTCGATCTTGTACGAGTCTCATAGATTGCGGAACTGTGTCTGCGACTATGCCCGTGAGCCTGTACTCGTTCCTTGGTACGTAGTGAAGACTGGAAAGATATAAGAATGTGCTAGGGTCGAATGTCTGTCCCCTCGTCGACAACACATTGACCTTCTGTCCTCCTCCTTTCCCATTGATCTCGATATGTCCAACAAAAGCCCACTTGTCATTTTATGTACTGGAGCAAACAGGGGTATTGGTTTAGCCATCATCCAGGCATTGGCGAACCACCCACAAACGACCAGTTCCATTTTGCTTCTTGGTTGTCGCAATGCCGACAAGGGAACTGAAGCCGTCCAGGAACTGCGCAAGAAAGGAATCACTTCCTCCGTCCAGCCTCTCGTCATCGACGTTACTTCCGATGTCTCCATACAAGACGCCGTAGCAGTGGTCAGGCGTCAATATGGCCGACTTGATGTCCTGGTCAACAATGCTGGATACGCCGCCATACCCTCAGCTTCGGATCATTCCGACTGGCGAGAAATCTACACCAGGGTGTACGACACCAACGTTACATCGGTGGCTTTGGTGATGCAGCATTTCTTGCCCCTCCTCCGCGAATCTGCAGGCAAGATCATCAACATCTCTTCTGCCCGTGGCTCGACGTCTTTGGCTTCGGGCAGAGTCCTGCCGCCTACGGTGTCCATTCAATACAGCGTGTCCAAGGCGGCCCTGAATCTGCTGACCGTCGAGATGAGCCGACAATCCGCCAATGAAAATGTCGAATTCCAGCTAGTCAGTCCTGGACATTGCAAGACTGCATTCAATGGGTACAGGGGGACCCGAGATCCGCTCGAAGGTGCAAATGTCGTGGTTGGTCTGGTCACGGCCGAGAAAGGCACATTCAAGAATTCCGGGTTTTGGGAGACCAAAGGTGGCAGCATGGACCTCGTTGAGATCCCTTGGTAAATTCAGAGTATCAGCTCCACGGGACACTGGAAGTGTTGGAGAAGTTCCAGTTGTAGCAGTCCACACATTCGTCGTCAGACTCACAGGTTGGCGTGTTATTATATGCTTCAAGGACATCAGGTATGACGACGTTCAACCGGTGATTGTTGATGCTCATATGCCATCCTTTTTCACCAACCGTGTCGTAAACGCAACGTTGCCCAGTGTGACATTGGCTCTCGAAAGCATAACCCGCCACTGAGCAGAAGGAGAAGTACCCGTTACAGGCGCCCATGAAGACAGGGTCCGCAGTGTTGCCGATATGGTAGTCCATTGTGCGCGGCGGGATCGTCAGTCCAAGTCTTTGAGCCGCTAGCCTCTGCGGAGGTGCTTCGAATGCAACCGACGGCATATTGAACGTCAGACCAACGAGGCTGGCAATCGCGCCACCCAAAGAATGGCCAACAACCCAGAACGTAGCATTCGGATACCAGGACGTGACGTTTTGCATGATGGCAATAGCCGTTGGGTAATATCTGTCCTTCTGGAGCAATTCTCGCGTGAGACAAGTTGCATTACATCCAAACGTCTCGGTGTTGCAATTGCACACAGGGCCGTACCAGAAAGGATCGGGGCGCTGACTTGCACAACAGCAGCTGAAAAGAAGGTTGTCATTCAGGCGATCGTTATTTCTCCACTTCTCGCGCGGATCGATTGTTGTTCCCTTGAATGCGACAATGACTGTCTCATTCTTCTTATCGGTGAAGACATGACCACGTAGACCGTCGCCTTTCCATCCAAAGCTGTCGGAGCGATTGAAGCCAAGCGAGCGGTTCAGCCAATCCGGCTCCGAGGGAGCCAGCACATAAGCATCACTGCACATCCTTGCCAGGTTGATCTCTGTCGGCTTATTGGACACGTCTGGGATGGTAGTCGGTACCTGCCCCCATGCGACTTCTTCCCCTTTTGTGTCGTAATCTGTGACGGGCTCATTGAAGTTCGGTTGTAGAGGTCTCGGCGATTGCTGAACACGATGACTCAGAAGCATAGGCCGGGATCTGATTACCGCAGGTCGAATGGACTCGTACTTGTTTTCGGACGTCAACTGTAATATATCATATACGGAAGCCGATATGCTGTGGAATGCTCCCCCGACAGTAGAAGTTCCAAGCTCGTGGAAGAAGGCATGACTGAGAGTAAACTCCTCCTGAAAGAATGGCCGAGTTCCGTAAAGTGCATTGGCGTTCATGGCCCAGAGCACGGCCAGGAAGCCATGTATCATCATCGCTGCCAACAGAGGTCCGTGTCCTGGCGGAATACTAAGTACTACTCGTAGATTTGTTGAGCACGTTTAGCTTCAAGGTACCTGACCGTTCAGCTGATGCCGGTAGAGATGGATGCCTGTATGAAGTTCCAACTTCTCAGATTCGTACCTTTACTCCTCCGTACGTTCTGCGTGACTGGCCTAGTGGGCCACTCAAGCGCTGACTAATCAAGAAGTCTCATACCAACAGGAATCTCCATCCTTTCTCAATCATAATGTCCATCCAGAAGACCTCGGACTTTTCTTGATCGCCCATGTTCCATGTTGTGAGCACAATTTCTTCCACAATTTCGAGCGACCTGTATGGCAGGATCTCACGTATTGATTGGAGGCGCCTGAGGATTGTCGTGCGCGCCTCGGCAACATGGTCCAACCCCAGAGCATCGCGGAGTGAGCCGTCAAAACCCAAGTCGATGAGCCCCTGTTGCGAAAAGCCACGAAGAGCAGCAAATTGATCCACGGAATCCATCATGACCGCAAGAGCTGGAGGTGTTTCTTCCAACAGTGAGTTGAAGTTAGTCGTATCGTCCTGATGGTACAGCTGGAGGACCGCGGACTCGGAGGATGGCGGCTTTCTTAGTTCCCCAGCAATAATAACCAAGAGGATGGATTCGATACTGCGCGTTCCCGAGCACGGTGCATTGAGGCAGACGATCTGAAGGGCGTGAGTTGCCAGGGCAGTCAGCCATAGCAGTCTTCTCTGTTCCGCTTGCTGGCTATCCGAGGAGGCGTCCTCAGCAAGCCTCAGTCTCACATTCAGCAGGTCTGGGAACGTTCTGTAGAGTAAGATTAGAGCTGAAAGGCGATAAACCTCTGCAGTGCGAACAAGATCCTCCAAGGGCGTGTCAGGGTCACCCAAATCCAAGAAGTTATGAGTGCGTGGAGAGTCCATCGATAAGGCTTCTTCTTCCAGCCTTCGGGCTTCCTGCAACGGCCGGTGTCCCTCTTGCAGCCTGCTCAAGCTTGTGAAGGACTTCTCGCAGCCTTTGTTCATGAACCAGGGAGCCCACGTCCCCGAGGAGCTTTTGCGCCTCCGGGGACACGCCAGTGAGAGGATGCGGGATTCTTCTGTCGCTCTGCGTGGACTCGCTGCTAGTACCAGCGGCACTAAGATCACCAAACGGAGGCTCGAGGAGACAGTCCTGCCTCGTGTCGGTGACGAAACAAAGCCCCATCCACCAGTATATGAGTGACTGGACGAAAAAGTCCTGATGATCACTGCGGCAGGCGTTGGACTTGGAGTCCTGGTAAACGTGCCGGTATATGCGGACGGCCGCATTGTAATGGAATATACTAGGAGTGTTTGAGCAATCCCAATTCGTACTGAGGCCGAACATAATAACGGCCATCAAGACTTCTTCGACTTTCGCTTGCTTTGAAGTATCTAATTGTGCCACTTCGTGCTGTAAGCGATGCAATAGGTCGGTCTGTGTGTCTTGGACCACCAAAATGCTGCTGGTGCCGAAGACGCTAGAATTGAGGAACACCGCGGTAAGGTATCGACACAGGGAGAAAACCAGCAGGGATTCTTTCGTCCGTGACACAGCCATCGTCCGGAACTCGTTGCGGTCTGTATCGAAAGCGGTCAAGGATTTGCAGATGTTTTGCAAGAAAAAAATCGACCTGGACTTGGGAATTGTCGATTATGGTGGCTGGCGGCTGCCACAAGGCCCGGCCGACGACTCGAGACGACTGTCGCGACGGTGTCAGCGATGTCTGACTGGGCCGAGTTTGTGAGGATGCTGTAGATCCGTTGAATGGCAAAGATTGCTCTTCCTCTGTGTAAGTCCTCTTGGTAGAACTAGCTTTATGTATTACAGTCTCAATCTGCACCAAGGTAGGGTGGCTTGACTGTCAGAGCTAGAGCAGGCTCATGCACATTATAAAGCACGCTGAGCGCTCTTGTTCGACACGCAGATGAGGCATTAGAACTCTCTGTGCCCGCGGCGTCGGTCGGACTGGCAGGGGCGGCCCTCGCCTCATTGGAAGCACCTTTTCCCTTAGTCGGCAGGCTTGGGTGCTTTTCGTGTTTGACTGACCATCTCCATCGTGGCGCGTACCCTGGACACTCGAGGTTCTTCGCTGTGCACTGCTTGCAGGAAGGCCTAGATTCGTCGCATTTTACCTGTCGAACAGATCAGTGTATCGCAAATAGCCTGTTCTACTGGAACATATCCTTCGCTCTTTGCATGTGATACACCCGGTTCGAGATTTGGCCGCTTTTGTCCGCAAGGACATTGTCGAGATGCACCCGAAGTCAAAAAAAACCCAACCCAGCAAAGCATGCGTGGGCAGGAAAAGGCATAGAGAGTGTGGTTCTTCGATTTAGTGATGTTTCCATTCAACCAAGTCGTTGCATGGAAACCAGTGGTTGTTGGCAGCAGGATAAAAGATATCTGGGTCGATGCCTCCGTTAGTGAGCCCTAAGCGTGCCTAAGTTAGTTATACGGTGGCCGAGTTTATCCACCATCATCCACTATAATTACATTATTCGTGGGCGGGTCTGTCTACGGATCCTGGAAGGGTGTAGAGAAGGTAGTCGCGGCCGATCAGGTCTTCCCTTTTGTCCTTGCAAGGTCCTTCGGCACCTAACTTCTGTAGTGGGGCCTATGCTACTACAGTAGTAGCAATGAAGATTAGGTATGCTTCATAGGCCGAATAGATGCATGCACTACCAGTATCTCACCAGGATGCGTCGCTCACGACACTTCTACAGACATCTCTACAAAACAATTCTTCCTCTTCAGTAACACTGCTTTTGGGTGACCTTTTCGCCGGGGCGATTTCTCGACCCAACGATTTCTCCTTCTCCCTATGTTCGACCAAGCAAGTCTTGATCAGCGACTGGAAGTGTAGCACACCCTTCTCATTGTGAGGGTGCAATGGTCCCGATACATAACCTCCGGCGTTGATATTCCTTTGGGCATGGGTACACAAATACTTGTCTTCGCGCTCGACCTGCTTGAAGAACCGGCCCATCTCCTCAAAATCTTGGTCGCAACTGTGATCGTAGCGATAACGCTTCATGTCAAAGGCACCTAATCTCTCTTGAAGGTCCACATGCTGGAACGATTCTTCCCAGCTGACTTCAGGCACTTTGGCCGAGTCGAGGTTCACCCAGACAAACTTTCTTTCGTCGACCTTGAGATGAACGCGGAACAGGCCATGCTGAGATTCGTCAAATCCCTCGACCCCGGCGAACTTGGGTGCCTTGGCAAGGTTGCCGTTCAAACCGTAGGACCAACCTTGCACAATGTGTCAAAGCGAATTGGGTGGGTGGAGGAATCGATCCGTGCTCACCATGATATTTGCAGGCGAGAATACTTGCATTGCCGCTGTCTTGGAGCACTACCGGGAACGCTCGATGGCGACAAACGTTCAAGAACGCATTCAGGTTGCCCTTGCAGTCACGGATGATGAAAAATGGATAGCCCGCGATTGTGAATTTCGCATAAGCACCTGGTGCTTGGAAGCGAAGCTCGTGGGAGACAAGGAGCCATCGCCGGGCAAAGATTGCTCGACGTTCGCACTCGTATATTCCTCGTGTGGAATACCAGGATGCAGGTAATGTAGCCCCAACACCTGGTGTGCTCTCGTTCGACTTGACTGCGTTCATCGGATCAGTTCGATCTGCTTGCTATGACAATCATTTGAGGCAGCTATTGGAGCGGTTCGTTTACATCTAACCAAGTCACCTACCTTACCTTGTCTTATAGCGTCTCGTCACAGGGGTAAACGAGCATGAGTGGTGGTCGGAAGGAGAGTACGCCATGGAAAGGCTTCCGCGGATGCCAAAAGACGAGCTTGACCAAACCGGGAGAACAAATGCGATTGGTTGAAGCAGGACTTCACAGTACTAATAGTCTCATATTCGACCGTGTTTGCTCGGAGCTCCAAAGATCGTTTCTTTGGCTATCTCAACGAGCATTCCGCTCAGACCAGGACAGGCCGAAGCACCTAAAGAGATATTGCTGCCCTTTATAAGGACAATATCCACCAACCCTGCATCCGACCGCGAGTATGTATCCGCCCACAATCTAGCCATCAATCTGCTCCCGCACTTGAAAGCAATTCCGTAATCGCTCGTCGAGAAAGCAATAGTACTACCTCTGTGGATCACAAACACATCTTCAGCTGTGACTGTGTTCTTTGTGCCATCGTCTTCATCCTGCAGAGTAATGATACCTAGTGCATGCGTCAGGTACCATTTGCAATACTAAGACGAGCTTCATGTACCTTCAATGACGATCCCGACCTCGTCATACTCGTATTTTGGGGGCGCCGTCGGCGGTCCTTGCTCGATGCGGAACCACGAGCCAACTATAGGATTCTGAACTTGTTCATCACGGCTCCCCAGGCAGTCGGCTGTACCAGAGCGATTGTTAGCAACAAGACTTTCGCTCAATTGAGATTGCGGCTCAAATCCGCTCTTGGGTCGATTCCTAGGGGCACTACTAGTACTCACTGAAATATACATGCTCTGGTACGCCTGGCAGATTCTGAACCTTGAATTTCTCCGTTTTGGGCTTGACGTCGAATACCATTATGACCAGCTATGCGTGCCTGCCTGATTCCGTGAACACAATCACCGTGGCGTGTAGCAGATCTTGTTGACATTCTCAAGCAGGTCGCTCCGCAGTACTTATCATTGAGTGTCCGGCACGAGGGATGGAGCTGGATTGGGAAATTTGTACCTTCGGAAATGACCCGCTTCCGTATCTGAGGGTACCAAGAGCGGAGTGGGTGCACGATATGTCATCGAACACGAGGGTACTGTACTATTTTCCGCACCAAAGTCTTTGCTTTCGTCCACTCTTACTACCTTCAATAACAACACATACTGTTGAGGACATTCCGGATCGTTTCTTCGGGCGTCACGATGGCCAGATCACGCGAGGGATACCTCTGGACGAAGGCTAGCGGTTGCTCACAGGGCCTCACAACCAACGCAGTCGTCTCCAGCTCCCGAAAAATACAGTCGAACTATGATGTGATCATCATCGGAGCTGGGTTCGCAGGACTGATAGCTGCCCGGAACCTTTTTCGCGTTACCATCACCTGAAGGTGTTGCTCGTCGAGGGACGAGACCGCATCGGCGGCCGGACATGGACAGCAGAGGCATTGGGCAAGAACTTCGAGATGGGTGGAACATGGGTATGTACAGATAAAGCTTTCGAGGATAAAGATAATGGACCAATCTCCCTAACGTTAACGAAAACTATCAGGTGCATTGGAATCAACCACATTTGTACCACGAGCTGCACAGGTACAACCTCCACAAGCATCTCAAGACATCTGCAGGCACCCTTGAAGCGGTGCAGATGTTTTATCGACAAGCCCAGGGTCCGGTGCAAGAGATCGACGGCAGCGAGTTCGGCCGAATCGTACAGAGTGTCGCCGAAAAGTTCTTCGATATCGACGGCATGGACAGCAGGAAGCTTATGCCCTACCCGCATGATCCATTCCGTGCAACGGCGCCCTGGAAGAAATACGATCATCTTACTGTTCGACGACGCCTCGACCAGCTCGATCTCCCCGCCCTCGATAAAGAATCCTTCGAAAGCACGGTCAATTCGTTTGGAAGTGCTCCCGGCAGTGAGATCGGCTTCGTCGAAGCTCTGCGCTGGTACGCTCTGGGTGGGCACAATATGGCTCAAGTCTTCGAGCTGGCAGGTATCTACAAGCTGGGCAAAGGTGGCATGACCGCCTTCGCTCGGTCCATCCTGCGAGACGCGCGATGCGACATCCTTCTGGACACCATAGTCTCCGAGATCATCTCGGACGACGGCAGTTCCCAAGGAATCGGCGTTGTCAAGTCCCGGGACGGGCAGTGGATCTTGAAGGCTAAGGCGATCGTGTCCACGGTGCCTTTGAACTGCCTGAGCGACGTCAAATTCACTCCAGAGCTCAGCCCCGCGAAACGCGAAGCCATTGCCCAAGGCCACATCAACAAGGGCGCAAAGATCCATTTCAAGCTTGCACGCACCGAGCCAGGCTGGTTCGCCGCGTGCGATGGCTACGGCGATTCACCCTTTTGCTTCTCCTTCTCCGACCATAACGGCACCAAGGCGTCCGGTCCAGACGGGACATACTGCATCGGCTTCGGATATAACGGCTTTCTTCGAGATCCGCAAGACTGCACCACCATAATCGACCAGTTCAAGCGCAACATACGTCCAGACGCCGACGTTGAAGCCTACCTTACGCACGACTGGACGAGCGACCCACTGTCCAAGGGCACCTGGAGCTGTTGGGGTAGCGGGTGCATGACCAAGTACCAGCAAGAGCTTCAAAAGACCCACGGCAATATTTTCTTTGCCAGCGCCGAATGGGCGGAGGGCTGGAGAGGGTTCGTGGATGGCGCGCTGGAGAGTGGGCAGAAAGCGGCGAACGATGTGGCGGCTTTGCTCAACGCCTGTCCTCGGCCCAACTTGTAATCAACGTAGCTAGACGTATCTCAACATCCCTGATTATACGTCTTTGAAATGCCATGCGAGGCTTTGGCGCAGTATCGGGGACGGCAACCTACATGAGACAATACTTGATAAGACAAAGAATATCGTTTTGCAGTTCTTTCGGCGCAAATTCTTGCTTGAGAAATGACCTGCCTGATTATACGTGTCGGTTCTCAGGCTCGGCACAGGCTAGAACCTAGCTGGGACTTGTATGGGCTGAAGATCGGATACATTAAAAGCACTGACAAGCATCTCTCTGCTTGCATGATAATCATCAATGCATAAGTGCCATCTGAATCTTCCAAATCCCTCGCAAGAAGAAGCTGAACAGTGCACATACTGGACTCCGATAACGCACCGCACCGTCTGGCTGTCTGTCTATCCCGGAGCCATTTCCAACCTTTCAACCAGCATGGATATGCGACACCGAGCGTCCCAAAGTCTCGATCACCAGGCCTGTATATACCTTCCTTCCTCGCAAGAACCAGTAGACCACACTCAACATGAAAACTCCACCGAGGACAACAGAGGCATAGTTGAAGTTGTGAGCGGTGACTGGCCGATAGGGAGGGAAAAGGAGAAACACGCAGCAGAAGAGCGTCTACAAGGCGGAGACAATGTTGAGAAAGGTGCCAAACCTGCCGAGCTTGAAGGGCCCATACACCAATGTCTGCGGCCTGCTGATCCGACGCCACAGGATGGCGAGGACAGGCAGCAGATATGAAAGGTAGAGCCCCACGACGAAGAGCGACAAGATGGCATTGAAGGCAGTAGTGGCTGCAATGTTGAGAAGTCCGAGCAGCGCAAGAAAGAGCGTGGTCGTGATGATTGCCAACGTTGGAATTCCTCGCTTCTCGTCGACGCGTGAAAGGAAGCGAGCGAACGGGAACGCGTTGTCTCGCGCGAGTGCCCATAGTGTCCGAGCCGCAGAGACGACCAGGGGAATAGTGGCAAGCGTGGCCATGAGGACCACGGCCGTCGACATTGCGGTCGCAGCGCTCAAGCTGCCCGTGATAGTGTAGAACATCTGAATAATCGGAAACCCCGTAGCGGTCTCGTAAGCGGAAGCAATGTCGCCCATGCAGAAGAGTACAGCCAACAGAAATGCGAAGCCCATTGTTCCGTTGATGACAAGAGAGCCGATCATAGCCCGAGGGACGCCGATTGCTGGATCGGTCATCTCTTCGCTCAAATGAGTCGCCCCGTCGTAGCCGACCATAACGTAGGCAGAACTCAGCATGCCAATGCACCATGCCACGCCATTGCTCTGCCAGCCCGTTTCGTTTTCGAAGTCGCTAAAGACAAATGAGGCAGAGTTCTTCGTCGGCGAGACCACGCATATGGCGACGAGCAGGACGATGAAGAGACCAACGTGAAGAATCATGGTTGCATTCTCGACCTGTGGGAGGATGTGCATGCCCCAGATATTGACCACCAGTGCGAGTGCAAGGATAGCCCAGTAAAGAAGAGTTCCGTGCCATCGCTCATAAACGTAGGTAGGATCATTCAGCACAAGAAGTCCTTGGATCATGGTCCCCGCCAGGAAAGGGGCGCTTGCAGCAACGGATTGCCATCCGAACATTGTAAGCCAGCCTGTACCCCAACTTAGGGGTCGCGAGATCGACCGAGGAGAGAGTTCGGCCACGAAATGATATTGTCCACCTGCGGACGGAATCCTGCAAGAAATCAGCACCCATAAATCTCAAGAGTCACAAACGCATTTTTGCAAATCTCGGTTCTTACATCGACGCCGCTTCGGAGAGTGAAAGAGCAGTGGCAATGGTCCCGAAAAATGCCACTGTCAGTCTGTCAGAGAGGGCCCAAATCCGAGCATCTTTGTGTGCAAGGGGTATTACATATAAAGCCATGTACCAGTGAAACTGGTCCACCACTTATAAGTCCGGCTGCCATGGTGCTGCAAAACGCTTCCCACGTCGCCATCAGCGAAACGCAGGCAGCAAGCATAGACACCCAAGTGAGATTCTTCGCCAGCTAACACAGGCCAGTCAGATACGGACCGAAGTTTGCCACAGTTGCCTCGACTCACTCCTGGCGTAGGCCTTGCTACACCCGCCTCGGAAGAGGGGTGGCCTGCTTCACTGTTGGCAAAGAGTGTAGCCGGGTTGCTGCTAGCCTCTGCTGCTTTGGAGATTGCGTGGTCCCTTGTGCCCATGACGTTCCACTACCGCCGTATACTCGAAGTCTGGAAGGAAGGAAGCTTTTGAGACCGCACCTATCCCAGAGGTTGGACGGCGGTTGAGGTACCGTAATTTCTGATTCGGAGCAATGGGAATATGGAAGCGTAAGGGGGAGAAGAGGTTGAGAAGGTGAGCGGATTGGGAGTTTGCTGAGAAGGCAGCCTGCCGTTATGCTTCATTGTCGCTACTAGTAATCGAATAATTCGAGCTAGTTATCTCTCGCTTCCTCCCAGATAGATGGGGTACCTTGGTTGTGTTGATCCCCAGCTTTTGTGGTCCTGTGGCCTAGTCAGGACAAAATGTGCGTAGGAGGGAATGCTTCCGATGGGCCTCTTGAGCCGCACAAGCCCAAGCGGAGCCCCTTTCCCGCGAAAATGGCTGCTGGATAGAAGCATCCATACGTTGTCGATGGTCAGGTATGTCACCCCGGTCTCATCAATCATTGATGGCAGATGTATGGCCAAGGTGCACATCAGTGCTAACGATTGTTTTACTGATGGTCACCTTCAGATATCCAACATTCAAATGAGCATCCATGACTTGTTTCAGGTTTAGGTGGGCACTGTTATACCACTGCACGACTTCTGCTTTGATACTAGACAGACACCATCCCCAACGTCGAGGACACCCCTTCTTGAACACGAGGTGCCCTTGATCAGTAACGCGGTCACGAGGCTGCTATGTCGATCCGTTCACCACCACAGTCCCCAGGGGTTAACCGCCTTGCAAGAGAAGGTAGGGCGAGGAGGTACGGTAGAATCGTCCTATTTATATACCTACCCACTGCAGTTCTTTGACGTTTCTTTGACTTTCCTCTCACCGAAGCAGCAACAATGAAGTCGTTCCCGCTCCTCCTCGCTGTGGCCGCCTTGGTGGCAGTCTGTGCAAGTGGTTTTGCTGCGTCTCTCGCCGACGTTGGGGCTCGTAACTTGTGCATCGACTGTCACGTCGGTGACAGCTGGATCAACTGGACCAGCGAATGCTCTGAGCTGGCAGGGGAGAATATGGCAGGATTGAGCTGCGCGAAATTCGACGTCCCCCTCGACTACACCGAGCCGGAATGCCTGACCACACTGGCCTTGACCCTCGTCAAGATTGACGCCGTCAAGGAGCCCGTCAAAGGAAGCATCCTCTTCAATCCTGGAGGACCAGGTGAAAGCGGTGTCCACGCTGTGATCTCGCAAGCACAGTCCTTGATGACGTGAGTCTTTGTTGTGTTCTCAGGAGGCTGTCTTGTTTGATAACTGACCTCAGACAGTCTCACTGGTGGCTACCACAACATCATCGGCTTTGATCCTCGGTTCGTGACGTCCTTGCTTTCGCCTGGAATAGAACATGCGGCTGACAAGCAGTAGAGGCGTGAACAAGACGCTGCCTTTCTCCTGCTACAGCTCCGACAGCCTGCGAAAAGCACTGTCCCCTTTTTCGCCTCTAGCAAATTCCTCGGATGCTGCAACTGGCCAAAGATTTGCTGCTTCGGAAATCACGGCGATGCATTGTCTCAACAACACTCAAGGTATCGGAGGTCTTCTGGGAACAGCGTTCGTTGCGCGCGACATGGTTCGGATCATAGATGCTCTTGGCGAAGACGGCTTGCTTCGATATTATGGTAAGCCCACATGTCAACTTGATAACCACCCTGGCCGCTGACATGAACAGGTGTCTCGTGGGGCACTTTGTTGGGAGCCACTTTTGCTGCCATGTTTCCAGAGAGAGTGGACAAAGTCGTTCTGGACGGCAATATCAACGTGCATGAATACTATTCTGGATGGTACGTCAACACACGTCTTGCTCAGAAAGTAGAAATGTTTGACATGGTCCAGGGAAACCGAAAGTTTCATCAACATGGACGACGCTTACGCAGGAGTATTCTCCGGTTGCGTTGCCGCCGGTAACGGTTGCGTGCTCGCATCCAACTTTGCAGATGCGGAGGAGATGCAGATGGCTGTCGACCAGTTCCTTGCCATGCTCAAATACAACCCTGTCCCATACTCCTCGGAGCAAGGTTTCCAGATGGCCACTTACGATAAGGTCAAAACAGCCATCCTTCTGGCACTGTACAACCCATCGCATTGGCCGTGGCTAGCGCAAGGGTTTGCAGAGATGTTTTCCGGAAACCTCGCTGGGTTCTTCGACGCGGTTTCGCACTGGTACGATCCAGATGATAACGACGATCATGTCGGTGCTGCAATCACTTGCGGCGACCAAGCATTCCGCGCTAGGGCACTCTTTGAGCTTGAGCCCCTCTTGACGGCCTTGAGCGAGTCAAGCAAGTTTGGAGGCCTCGACTTTGGCACCGATAATGCCTTTGCGTGCTCAACGTGGAAAGAAAAGGCAAAGGAGATTTACTCTGGCAGCTTCCAGATCAAGACCAAGAATCAGATCCTCCTTGTCGGCAATACCTATGACCCTGTCACACCTCTTGCGTCGGCAAGGAACACAAGTGCCGGCTTCGATGGCAGTGTCGTGTTGCAGCACAATGGCTACGGGGTAAGTACTTCGACTCTCCGGGAGACTAGATAACCTGGCTAACGCCCTAACAGCATACCTCAGGTGCACAGCCTTCTCTTTGCACTGCAAATACGATTCGGGCATACTTCAATGAGGGTATCCTGCCCGCTCCTGGCACTATTTGCGAGCCAGATCTCCCATTATACGGATATAAGATCTCGTCAGACGCCAGCGGGGGCAATGGCACGGGGAGGTCGATCTTCAGCCGACAAGAGGAGGATGTGGCCCTTCTTGCTGCAGTGGCAAATCTTGCAGATGCGATACTCCCTTAGGCTTCCGGACATGGAAGGTTGGACACTAGAGGCGTAACTTCTCATTGTGATGCCATCACAATACGGGCTGCGGCATATCCTGCTTCAAAATTGCTTTGAGCAATGCTGGGAAGCCATGTAGAGCCTCGGGTTCGAATTTAGTGGATCTCCATGCCACAACGCCATCAGGTCGCACAAGAACTGCTCCATCCTTCCCAACCCCACATAGACCTGCCCAGCTGGCGTCACGGTCTGTCCAATTGTTCTTCCCATCAATGACCTCGACCTCAACATTATGACTTCTAACTTCGTCCCAGAGGCCGTCAGTTTGCGTCAGGAGCACGAAGCGGTCAAGCTTCACAAGATCTCGCGTGGAGATAACCTCGTCTTTGCGTTGAAGATAGGCATGAGGTAAGTGGTGGCCGGGAATCGTGGACGGATGATAAGCCGTAATATTAAAAGAGCCGTCTTTAAGAAGTTGGCCACCATGTCGGCTTTTGGCGCCCTCGTTGTTGATGTCAGCTGAAGGGTAGAACCAGCCTATTTCGATTCCTGGCGCATGAAACTCCAAGTCGAGAATTTCGCCTGCTTTTCTCACCGCTTCTCTCTTCGCATGGTGTTCTGGACGCCTTGAATCGAAGAAAGCGTCCAGAGCATCAAAATTCTCCTCCGTAGACGTGTCAGCAGTGATTCCCACGGCACTGTCCATAATGTTGCTATGATTCCGCATGTTGTGCAGACTATTCGTTGCAACTCGCTGCGCAATTGGTCGGCGTTCTTCCTGGTACGTGTCGAGCAGTGCATTGTAAGTACTCGGTGAACCCGACTTGGTTGCGAGTGCCAATTTCCAAATCAGATTGTGAGCATCTTGAATACCAGTGTTCATTCCAAGAGCACCCCAAGGTGGCACGCGATGGCAGGCGTCCCCAATCAGGAAGACACGACCACCTTGGCTGCGATAGCGATTTGTAATCCTGGCATTGACCATCCAATGACTGAGACTCAGCAGGTCGATATCAAGATCAGGCAGCTCGAGACTGGTCTTGATCCGCTGAGTCATGGATTGGGCATCGAACTTCTCCGGATCATCAGGATGTTTTGGTGCAGCATAGACCCACTCAGCGTGTGGTTCCCACGCTGGATAATAAGGACCTAGATGGTATAGGTAGCCACCGCCCAGGCTACCTTTGAGCTTGGGATTCATGATCCACGAGATGAACACCCTCTTGTCAGGATGGGTAGAAGTGATATCAGCCTTGAAGTGAGCAGTGACCATATCGACAATATCGTGCTCTCCTTGCCACTCAATCCCCAGACTTTCTGCCAGCCCTCTGCCGCCGTCAGCGCCAAGGACATAGCTTGCCTCGATCTGCTCGCTCGCTCCATCCTTCCGTTGCACGGTCACCACGACTCGATCCTGCTTTTCTTCGACTTCGATGACTTTTGTGTTATATCGGATCCCGCCAGGGTTCAGCTGCAGTGCCCGTCTCTGGAGTATCGGTTCGAGGCGTATCTGGGCCAAAATACTGTACTGAACAGGGCTCGCACGCTCGTGTTCATCGCGATACCGTCCTCCACCCCATGCCTCTCGGCTATAGATCTCGCATCCATTGGGACCGAGATTGGTGTACCATGCCGTCTTACTAACGGAGTCCAGCGGTGCTCTGTGCTTTTTGACCTCTTCTTCGACTCCGAGCTGTCGAAAGATCTCTATGGTCCGTTGATTCAGTCCACATGCTTTGGGATGGATTGACGTTCCTGGGAATTGTTCGAAGACGCAATGAGGTATGTCTTGCAGCGACAGCAAGATAGACGATACAAGCCCGATAGGGCCGCCCCCGATGATGACGACTGGGAGCATTGGGGCCGGCAGTTGCGACTTCAACCATAGATCATCTGCTGCTCGTTCCAAAGGGACAGTTTTCTGAATAATAAGCAGGAGCATTTCTCTTCAGGAATCCGAGCCATACCTCCATCTCAGGGTTTTCGACGTGGGGCTTCTCAGACTTTTCATGACTGGTTCATTTGGCATCCGGATAGCTCCATCCTGCTCTGAACCCGCAATTCGCGCTTAAACCGCCCATCCCTGTATGCCCTGCAGCTGCAATTAAGACGTCGAAAATGAGACGCTGCCATAGGTGCAAGGAAGTCGGCAGCTTGTGTTGGAAGAAGGGCCACCATGCTCCAGAACGAACAGGCTGTCGGTGCGTTAGCCCTCGTTGCACCTAGGTGCCTTGTGTTTCGAGATGTGGTAGAAGGGCAAACTGTTTCAGAGGCTCGACCGCCTCATTAGCCGCCAGTATCCGCCAAGCCTGTCACACTTGCTCAGGTGCCCCAGGTGCCCGCTGGAAGCCCCTGGAGCCGAGGGAGCTTGCCGATGGGCTCGGTGGGCAGGAGTGGGCAGGGTGGGCACTGGTGGGCCAGCTTTGAAGCTCACACCTCCCGGCCTCGATGACAACATCCTTCTACGACTTGTACTGAGAGAAGGTCTTAGGGTGTTTTGGAAAACAAAGCTTTCGCGAGAGAACAACATCTGCTGCACCATGTGGGATAGATAGGCTGGACGGAATGCCTTTACATATCACGCCACTTGCTTGACCATCCAACAGCACCGAGCTCTACTGAACATCCATTGACCATTGATACTCAATCACGACGCGTCGCATCCCTAATTCACATTACATCGCTAAACATGATAACTGAAGCCCTGGTGGTGTCCAGCCCTGGAGCACCTTTCAAATACCAAAAGGTCGAGCTCAACGATGATCTCCGACCGGATGAAGTCGCCGTGCGCATCAAAGCCACTGGTGTCTGTCACACCGACCTAAATTTCTCCAAGGAGAAGACCATGCCAGAACTATTTCCTGCTGTACTAGGACATGAGGGCGCCGGGATTGTGGAGCGCGTTGGGTCAGAGGTCACCAAGGTCGCTCCCGGCGACCATGTTATTGTCTGCTATACGAGTTGCGGCAAGTGTCAGTACTGCCAGCGCAAGGAGACCTCTTATTGCGATTTGTGGTTCCAATACAACTTCGGCATAGGCCGCCTAGACGGGTCGAAGACCTTTTCATCCACGGCGGACGGGAAACGAATCACTTCTCACTTTTTTGGACAAAGCAGTTTCGCGAAAAATATTCTCGTGTCAGAGAACGGCTTGGTCAAGGTCGACAAGCATATCCCCTTCGAGAAATTGGCACCTCTGGGGTGTGGAGTGATGACGGGTGCTGGAGGTACTGATTGCCGTTTCTCCTCTTCGTGTGCTTGCATGCTGACTGCACCTCTCAGCGATGCTAAACGTCATAAACCCAACATCTGAGATGACAGTCGTTGTTGTGGGAGTCGGGACGGTTGGACTAGCGGCTATCATGGCTTTGAAGCTGCTCGAACGACCTCCGAAAAAGGTGATTGCTGTGGACATAGTCGGCAGTCGTCTTGAGATGGCCCGGGCATATGGGGCAACTCACGGAGTCAATTCGAAAATTCGGCCAGACCTCATGAAGGTCTTGATGGACATCACTAACGGGCACGGGGTTGATGGTTCAATCGACACCACAGGTCGGCCCGCGGTGCTCAAAGAACTCATCCACAGCGCTGCAAGAAAGGGGAAAGTCGTGTCGGTGGGCGTAGGAGACGTAAGTTGTGGTCTAATGCGATCCAAAGTACAAGGAACTGACTGTGACTAGCTTTCGGCGGAAGCGTCGTACAACATTTTCGAGATGGTTAATTCAGGGTGCAGCTACCACGGATGCTGTGAGGGAGACTGCTATCCTCAAGAGTTTCTACCCGAGTTGTTGACGGCACACCAGCTCGACAAGTTTCCTTATGATCAAATGATCAAGACTTACCCAGCGAAGGACATTGCACAGGCCGCGGATGACATCCATAGCGGCAAGACTGTCAAGGCAGTCTTATTGTGGGATTGACACCGCTGTGGACATCGCGAAACGCCCTTGACGCTACCTAAGTACTTGCTCAGTCGTGCTCAGTATAGCAATCCTAGTCAGACGGCCGAGATTTTCTGTGTATAGGCGACATATTATAGCAGTTTCTTGTCAAAGATTCGTCAGACAATACCAGTTCTCGCCTCGTCGCTTAAGCCTGCATATTGCCACGCTTACCAACCTTGGAAGACGAGGCTCAGTCACAGCCTCGGCGCGGGGAATTTGTAGGCATGATCCGGAAGATTCCAGCCTTGTTATGCAACCAAAACTCGCCTCTGCCTACACAGTACTCCGTGGTGACGACTGCTTTTGCCAGCCTGAGCTTGCCCACAGTGGCAATCTGCTTAGTATTCCACTACTGAGACTCATATATCGTCTGGTCACCATGTCGACCCCTTCACCCGCTCCCGAGCCCTCCTCATACACCGCCATGGACAGCGACGTCGAAGCCATAGGCAGGCACTGCGAGTTTGCTTACTGCCATCAACTGGATTTCCTCCCCTTCCGCTGCGACTCCTGCCACCATACCTTCTGCCTCGACCACCGAACCGAGACCGCACATAAATGCCCTCGCGCAGGCGAATGGGCAAGCAACAGACGGCGCAACAGCGTCGGCCGAACCTCAGGCACTTCAACACCCAAACCAGACCATTCGAACGCCGTACAATGTAGCAATCCAACATGCAAGACATTCATCAACACTTTACAAAACACGGGCGTGCATTGCCAGCACTGTAATCGGGGTTACTGCCTGAAACACCGCATGCGGGAAGATCACGACTGTAAGAACCTCATACCGTTGGGAGCGAGACCAATCGACATCGCTATGCAAAGCAACAAAGAAAAGATCAGGCTCGGCTTCGGACGATTAAAACAATGGGGCAAGAATCAGCAGGAGACGCTACGGCCTAAACCCAAACCTTCGAGTCGCGCAGCGCAACTGGCCGAGTTGAACACCCTGAAAAAGAACGCCAAAGGCGATGACAAGCTACCCTCCGAGAAACGGGTATATCTGCATGTCGAGGCTGAGGCTGCGAGTACGACGAGCAAACTACCTAGGGCGGATCTGTTCTTCTCACAAGATTGGCCCGTGGGTAGGTTGCTTGATGAGGCTGCGAAGAGGCTGCAGGTCGCAAACGTGAACAACAGGGTAGAGACGGAGGAGCAGAAGTTAAGAGTGTATCACGTCGAAGCGGGAAGACTACTGGAGTTCTCTGAGAAGGTCGGGAAGGCTCTCATCAATGGGAACACTGTAGTACTGTTGAGGGGGGTCGGACCGAGGGAGGCTCAGGCATGATAGACGACCTCTGTTGTTGCTGTTGGCGACCCGACGAATGCATATGCCAGCGACTTGATCTGCAATGCTTAGCGACGGCGTTATTAGGATATATCCCACATTTACTCATTTAGTCGAACTTTTTGCCATGAGAAATCGAGATAGAGACGGGCCTCGTACTGCCGGATTAGGCAACCACTCTACGACCACTTCATTCCATACCAGGTAGTTCTGCGGTTTGCGGTGCTCGGGGGTGGCCGATAGTGGGAGCACGTACTTCGTACAGTGGATGAGACGCGATGTTGCTCATCACGTTGCTTTGATGAGGTAAATCAATGGACAAAGTTCTCACCGAGTCACTGAGTCACTGCAAGGATTCACATGCTGCGCCAAGAATTCTCGACGTCCCCGTGTTTTATATTGCCATCGATTCTCTCAAGAACCAAAATGACCGGCCTTCTTTGTGATCCGACACTTCAATACTTACTCGTGGAATGTGAGGATTGTTATCCGGACTATCGAGTGCATTGATTAGTCCATTTCTTTGTCAACCCCCACAAACAATCTCCCTCTTAGCATTCCATCCTCACTGCATCCAATTGGCTGAAATTGCTCAGAAACGGGCTGTCTGCACCCGGGCAGCCCACCTTAACACCATCTAGCCATGGATACCCGCAGACCTTCGTTACCGCCTGGACAACACAATATGGACGCCGATTCGGACGAAGAGGCCGACGAGTACGACTGGAAAACACGCGTGTCAGGCATGCACGAGGAATCACGAGCTTCAAGGACTGGCACCCGTAAAGCCTTCGTTCAGCAACCGGAGCATAATGAAAAATCTCAGTCCCATACTTCGGAAACCGGTGAAACGTCTGACACAGACGACCTCCAGGAAGACGAACAATTGCCACATCCATTCTATCACTATGCTAACGAGAAGCGTGACACCTATGTGGATGCCAAGCTCATCTATCAACGCCATCGAATGGATACGTTATCCGAAAAGGACATGGGCAGCCCGTTGTTGTTGGGCAAGTCCTACACGATGCCTGCTACCTTGGATGGTGACGTATCATTAGATCGTACGACTAGCACTGCTTCGAGACAGTCTCGCCCAAGCCAGCACGGGGCAGGTCCTAGTGTGCAATCGACCAAAGTCCAAGAATCTCTTCCCAGTCTACAGACTCAAACTGGTCCCCTTCAGGGTGCCCGGCCAGATCCGGCATTGGTCGCTGATGCCGCCGCTCGAAATCATCGACATCATCCAGGCCTCCCGCATGAATTCAAGGATCCTTTACTGGCCAACGAGGGTATGCATGGGGCTGGTGCTGGTGTGGGCTTGGGCTCTGGTCCTGGAGGCCTCGCTCCGAGTGAAGATAGCATCGTCAGTGAAGTGCAGTCCATCTGCGATAAAATCAAGACCCTGCTCGACCTGAGGCAGAAGTATCTTAAAATCTCCCTCCAATGTCCCGGACAGAATCCACGAGATGACGAAAATTGGGAGGTTTATCCCCCGCCGCCGAATCCGGTCTGGAATGAGCAGAAAGCTCGCGAGCCTCATCAGGACTACATCGCTCCTAATAGCACCTCTAGCAGCCTCTACATGGCTGATGCAAGGGCGCATGGAGATGTGTACCGAAGCGAACTACACAAGTGGCCGACGGGGGCGAGTCAAGCTGGTTCCGACAGGGGGCCGCCATCACCATCCGCTTCCAAGCATCCTCGCAAACCGGGCCACTCCATTGGCGAAGATTTTGATCTTGATGAGTGCTTTATTCCAGGCAAGGAAGAGCGGCCTTTGAAATACGAAATGGACGAAGGCAGCATCTTTCAAGTGTACGATAGAGGTAGGCCGATTGTTGCGGTCCCTACATTGCGGGACTACTACGTGGCGATGGACACGATCCTGGATATTGCTTCAGATGGGCCAGCCAAAAGTTTCGCCTACCGCCGCCTTCAATACCTGGAAGGGCGATATAACCTGTACACCTTACTCAATGAATATCAGGAAGTGGCAGATACCAAAAAAGTGCCGCACCGCGATTTCTACAACGTACGAAAAGTCGACACTCACGTGCATCATTCGGCTTGCATGAATCAGAAGCATCTGTTGCGCTTTATCAAGAGCAAGATGAAGAAGTGTCCCGATGAAGTGGTGATTGATCGTGATGGGAAGCAACTGACACTCCGTGAAGTGTTTGAAAGTATCCACCTCACGGCATATGATTTGAGCATCGACACCCTTGATATGCATGCTCATACCGACTCATTTCATCGTTTTGACAAGTTCAATCTGAAGTACAATCCTATTGGACAATCCAGGCTGAGAGATATCTTCCTGAAGACGGACAACTTCATCAAAGGACGATACCTTGCCGAGATCACCCGCGAGGTCATTTCCGACTTGGAGTCGAGCAAATACCAGATGGTGAGTACCTGTGAAGGAGGTCCTCCACACCAACTAACTTGGTATGCAGGTCGAATGGCGCATCAGTATCTACGGTCGCAGTATCAATGAGTGGGACAATCTTGCGGGATGGGTTGTTGACAACAAACTCTTTTCCCATAACGTGCGTTGGCTCATACAGATCCCGCGACTGTACGCTCTGTACAAGTCGCTGAAGACCATGGAGAATTTCGAGGACATTCTGAGGAACATTTTCCAGCCACTGTTTGAAGTCACGCAAGACCCGTCCAGCCATCCCAAACTCCACGTCTTTCTGCAGAGAGTGATTGGTTTCGATAGTGTCGACGACGAGAGCAAAGTGGAAAGACGGCTGTATCGCAAGTTTCCGGTACCGAAAGAGTGGAATACCAAACAAAATCCCCCGTACGGATACTGGATTTACTACATCTTTGCGAATATGACGTCTCTCAACGCGTGGCGTAAGAGGAGAGGCTTCAATACGTTCCTCCTTCGACCGCATTGTGGTGAAGCTGGGGATACCGACCATTTAGCTGCAGCCCTCTTGTGCTGCCATAGTATCAGCCACGGCATTGTACTTCGAAAGGTTCCGTTGCTGCAGTACGTCTTTTACCTGGAGCAGATTGGGATTGCCATGTCACCGCTCAGCAACAATGCGTTGTTCCTGACCTATGATCGTAATCCATTCATCAGCTATTTCAAGAAAGGTCTGAATGTGTCTTTGTCGACGGACGACCCGTTGCAGTTTGCGTTCACCAAAGAGCCGCTGATCGAGGAGTATTCTGTGGCAGCACAGATCTACAAACTGAGCGCCGTCGACATGTGTGAACTAGCCAAGCATTCGGTCGACCAGTGCGGCTTCGAGCTGTCCTTGAAACGACGATGGCTGGGCAAGTATTGCTACCTGCCAGGTGTGCTCGGTAACGATGTGGCCAAAAGTAATGTGCCGGACGTGCGAGAGGCATTCAGACACGAGACTTTGAAGGCGGAACATGCATTCATTGCGAGGTACACGCGAGATTACAGCCATTATGACCGGTGCACTCCAAACCTTCCAGATCCTTCAGACCTATCTACGCCGATTGACGAGGTATACAAAGGGTTGGAATCTCCGAGACAGTTCTACGCGACCGTCGCCGACTCCGTGCCTCCCGCACAGCAAGCAAGACTGCCACAGACGAGATCTAGTGCTACCATAGACTGGGGTACGGGTAATACTTCACCCACGAGGCCCAGGACGATGTCGAGCGCCACGTCCTTTTACCCCACGCAATCACATCCCGACACGCACATCTCTGGCCAAGAGCCACGCGCTTTCCCCGGACTCGTGCATCAGCAGAGGAGACGCAGTTTGCGAGTTAGCTCGAGCAACTCGGACATGGCAGCGCCGGAAATGAGTTCGAGTTTGCAGCTAGAGCCAGGCCTGGCGAAGATCACTCTCCGAGAGGATATGGAGATGGCCAAGGATGAAGAGTCAGATTGAGCTTCTGTCGAGGTCAGGTACCCACTAGGCCACGATCGCACCTCAAGATAAGCAGTCAGGCAGGACGAAGCATGGACGAGAGGGTGAGGTATGTTTCTTTGGATGTGCATTGCTGAATCTAAACCTGGACAATTCGGGTGGAACCGGAGGGCAATCATGCAGTCTACAGTCATAGGGCGGCCGGCTGTATGCGGTGAGGAGAGGAAAGCCCACGAAAAAGGACAAACCTGGGGAAGGTCTACGAGTATCTTGCGACGGCAACCGAAGGACGCGATCTAATCAGAGCTTATCAGGAGCAATTCGGGTTATACAGCCCGAGAAGGCTGAGTCAGAATCGTGTTGGTGATTATTGACGGCTTTCTGCTTGTTGGAGAAGTCGAGGAAAAGGAAGATTGTTGAACGGCATGCTTTGCAGGTAATCCCTGAACGTCAAATTGGTGAGATTGCATCCCGTCTGTCTTGCTACATGGCGTTGAGGTTGACATGGATGGAGGCTCTGTCGACTGTCAAGACATTTGGTATGCCATAGATACTAGTATTTCTTTCTATTATGGACTCAAATTATCACAGTACTCCATAATATCCAGGTCATCAGAGGGTGGACTGATGGTTTGATGCGAGTCTCAGATGTGGGAGATCGAGACCTTTGGGAGAGTGGATTCGCCTTCAGACAAGTCCCCGGCTTCGGTGCTTTGGGGCTCATCATGGCTGGCTCGTAGGTGGTTCGCTCGCTGGATTAATGGGGATCATGGGCGCCAACGGGTACCTGTCCGGCTACATGATACGTCCCCGGTTGACCGCTTACACAGTACTGGCTCGCTGGCTCGCTGGGTAGCTCGTAGCTCGTAGCTCGTAGTAAGGGCAAGGGATGATGGAGGCCGTGCGGGAAAGCCAACAGCGTCATCCATCAATCTAACAGCATTCAATCACGGAGAATTGGCTGATGATGGCGGGTTTGCTGGTTTCTGCTTCTGATTTCTGATTTCTGCTGTTCCATGACATGCGACATCGCGGCTGCTGGTTTCATTCTCATCCCCTGGTCTGCCCGTCCGACTATCTTTTCGTATTCTTCCCATTCGCCTTCTCGCTCGCACTTCATCATTGCTTCTGATGACTTACAAGTATTGACTGGCCCTGTCACACACGGAATCCACAACCTCATCTCGTCTCAGATCCCCGCCGTTCCAAATCCGGGCCTTCGCTAGATTTGCAAATCATCGTCTGCAACTGGCCCGTCATCACCATCCTACACACACAACTCCTCCTACGATATTCTCTCTGTACAACCCTACTTCCGTCCGTCTACACCCGAACTGTCATCTCGAAAGCCTCCCTTCCCCCGCACTGGACGCAGTCGCGTCTTACCTTACACCCAATGCTCGCGTGCTCCTAGCTAGGCATCTTGCCGTGTCTGAATAGGAACATGGCCTGAACCTACCATTTTACCGCCATTGGTCATGACCTCTTCCCCGCCTCCGCCCAGGCGGTTCATGCCAGAGCCTCTCGAGACGACTGCCCGAAGTTCGAGACTCACTAACGGCTCATCTCACCCCTCTTCCTCCTCGAGTCCTGGCCCAGACGAATCACCAGTCTCAAATACGAATACCGATACCATGTCTCCGCAATCAAGACCTCGAAAGTTCCTACCCCAGCCAGTGGAAGAGAGTGTAAAAAGCAGCCGCAAGAAAAGCGTGGAGCACGTTGAGGGCAACGAACCCAACGGACAATCTACCAAGTCCTCGAGTCCGCACCACCCCTACTCTCACTACGACCATCCTACACTTCCTGGTGTTCCAAACAGCAGGCCCTTGACAACACCCAGACACTCTACATCGGAGCCCGTCGAGCCAAGTACACGAAGTTCTAGGAGGAAGTTCGCACCGGAACCTATAGAAACGAGTACAAGAAGCAGTAAAGACAAGGAAGAGCCAAACGAGGAGGCTCCTTCACGGCCCCGCCGGAAGTTTGCACCAGAGCCCGTGGAAATCTCGACGTGGAGTAGCAAGAACAAGAAGACTGATGCGGCAGATGAGAATCAGACACCACGTCCCCGTCGAAAATTTGTTCCGGAGCCTATTGAGACTACGAAAACTACGAGAAGAAGGAGGGATACCGGCGACTCAGACGACGCCGACGCAGAGCCTCTGCCATCGGGTGACTCGCTGGCATCTAGTCGGGCTTCTTCAGGGCCACGAAAGTGGGAACCGGAGCTGTTGGAGACGGCCAAGGGCTCTTATCGACGTGTCTATCCGTCTAAAGAGACTGCTCTAAGTCGGCCACCGCCATCACCGTCACTGAGCGAAGAAGAAACGGTTGATGAGAGCGCTGGCGTTGGAGAGTCACGCTTCTCTGCAGCAGCGCTCGTCCGCAAACAGTCTGGGCAAAGCCGTCAGCATTCCTTCCAAGTCCCAGACTTGCCTATGATCGAGTCTACAACCGAGGAATCTGAAACACCATCCTTGAGCGACTGTACTTCCTCGATCGAGACCGACCCTAGAAAGGACGACAACCAATCTAGTGAAAAAGACAACTATACCGAGTATGTTCTTCGATTGGCTAGCGAAACGGTGACCGAAGCAGAATTACAAGAAGCGGCTATGGCCGCCTACATCAACGAGCGACCTCATGAGCCTGTGGATCACTTTGCATTCACTCAGGACGACGATGAAGATGGCCCTCTTCCGGTTCCCATGTTCCAGGGGGAAAGCGGGGCTGATGCCCGCACATTCCGACGATCATCGGCGGCAGAACTGGATCTCGCGTTGGAGGGCATGCGAAAACACCACGAACAACTGGAGAGGACGAAGAGAGACGTCAACGCCGATACAGCAAGTGCGAGCCGGTTCAGTGCTGCGGCTGTCGCGGCACGGCATGCCAGAGAAGCAAAAGTACCGCAAAAGAGCAAGAAGCCCAAACCGCTAGATGAGGATTCGGAACTTGCTCGTATGCGAGCGGCGGCATCACCGCCAATGCTGGGTGACGACCTTGTTTTCCCATTCACAATATCGCCGAAAATGACCCGATGCGACCCAGACCAACCTCCGAGACCACGGAACGCCGATAGTGACGATGAATCTAGAGATCCCGGGAGCCCGCATTTGTGGATCTCCGACACCAAAACCAAGAATGATGGCAGCGGAGGTCTATGGATGGGTATGTGCCAGGCCGGGATGTGGCAGCCTCAGTCCCCACGAGATGGACTACGTAGCGGTATCCAAACACCTGCCCCTGGAACTCCGGCAACAGAGAGGTGGAATCCTTTCGAGACGGCGATGCCTGCTCGGGGGTCGCACACGCCTGGTCGTGGGTCTCACACCCCGGGTCGACGGCGGCCAGTGTCTGGCATATCTTTTCTTCCGCTCACGCCTCCTCGTAGTCAAGACGGCGATGAGTTTACGAACACAATCGACAAGAAACTGCAACTGGAGAAGCAGATCGAAGAAGAATTCCCGCCGCGAGTCATTACACAAATCTACAACTACTTGAGTCTTGGATACCCCAGCCTGGCACACATGTTTGACGAAGAGTTGAGCAAGATCAGCAGGATCCCGCTTGAAGAGTTGCGGAAGGATGATTACCAGGCCGACGCCAAGGGTTATGTTGGCGCACCCGAAGGCGACGGGTGCGATGAAAGTCAAGTCATGGGTGGCCGATGCAAACGCTGGGAAGCGTTGAAGTTGTATGTCCGCGAATGGGCAAGACAGAGTCCCAATTTCGCAGATGAGCGACGACGTGCTGCCCTCGGTGCGGATGAGGATTGGGGTGCGAGAGCGAGAAAAGGTAGTTGGGGCCAGTAATCCCCTGCCTTTCATGGTCATTCCGACTTTTTGGATGGTTCCATTTCGGTGCTTGCCTGTAATGCCAGGATTTGTTTCTCGTCGGACCTGGTGTTTGAACCTGGTGTCTTTCCTGGATGAGTACATTCTGTGGCTGCATGGTACCAACGGAAAGAGGCGATGATGGTCAGTGGGCCACCTGTCATGGCATTGTTCGCCGACTACAGATTCATCGTTTGCGATTGCTTGAATAGAGCGGACATGGTTGCTCTGAAGAGCGTTTGGGTATCGAATTCTTGGGGATTGACGCTGTTAGACTGAAGCGCAGGGCAGCGCAAGATTTGGCCTGAATGAATGCTCGGAATATTGCTACCTATAGGTACCTATAGGTACCTAGGTGGTAGCTGTTAGAGCTTGGATTGGTAAATTGTATACAGTACATACCTCCATTTTACATGCGAATGATGAGTTGATGACGTGTATTCGGGTCTTGAAAGGTGGAAGAATTGTACTTCTTCCGTGAACACAACTACCAGTGTAATCAAGCCAGGCCACGGCATGCGGCAGGCACAACGGACACCTGCCAGTGACCTGCCATGAGGCGCGTAGGCCAAGTCGGTCACAATTGAGTCGGAGTAAAAATGTCTTCCTCTGATCACTTATCACTTTTCACTCTAGCAAAATCTCTCCCTTTCCCTCCATCAGACCATTATTCACACTTGTTCTCGAACCGACCTCGAGGAGTCTAATTTCATCGCCATGATGGTTGAATTCACCTATGTGCAATTCATGACCGTCCTCCAGTCGAAAGAGCGAGTCTGCCTTGCCAAGAGACGGCCACTACATGGCCTCGATGGTACCATACTGGCATACCTCCGTAGTAAGTCAAGAGAACCCTGTTGTATGGTGGGCTCGGCAGCCTAGAAAAACCCCTGTCCTCAGCGCGACAGGCCTCAGTGGCCCCCGTCCAACACCCGGAGCATTTTTCTGCTGTCGGCGATGGTTTGTTCCATGGCCATTCGACCCAATAACACCGTTTCACATCATCGCCGGTCAATCTTTCTTCGAGAGGAACGCAACCTCCTTACTGAATTCACCCCTCAATATGTCTGACTCGGGGCAGCCGATCCTTGTGTGTGCGTAAAGTGCAAAAACACCGCGGCGTGCGTTTCAGGCGTCCCGGCGCACGCACTTGGGACGAGAAATTTGGCGTGAATTTCCCACCAAGGTCAGCAAAATCACCACCACAGCCGACGGAAACAAAGTTTCCGCTGTCTCTGTTGCTCTCTGGTGACTAGGTCGTCTTAGCGGAGGTCAGTGCTCGCTGCCCAATATTGAGCACGACTTCGGGGATGGCGATTCTCTCGCATACGCCAAGTCTTGTCCACTGCGAAACGAGACAACAGAAACCGACGTGCGTACCCGTGCGGCTGAAGTGCAAAACAGCATCGATGACCCTTCAGCTACTGATACGCGGGCATTGAGCGTTTACATACGAGCTCTTGATGGTAAGGCTGGTGATGGCCACATGCATGGAAACGACCGTATCTCGTTACCTACCAATGCACCTCGACCGGGGTACTCATCATTGTTGCCTACCTCCAGACACTATCACTTCGATGAGCCAACCATCGTCCTATCGTCGATGCAAGGCTACTCCCATGTCCGCTTCTCGATTCGCTACTAACTTTGCTTTCACTCAAGGTCCATTCCAACAGAAGCTGGCAGTGCTCCAGCAGGCAACGAGTCATTGGTACCGATGGTAGGATACCGAGCCAAACCGGTCACAAGTTGGGGGCCGCACAGCCACACAAATTTGAAGTTCCCATCAGCATCTGATACCGCAATTGTGGCAGCTCCTTCCCCTTACAGGAAGTCAGGACATTTTTGGCCAACAGCGTCGGCAGGTCATCTTTATCACACCGTGAACTCACCTCAAAATTCCTAGGCTATGGTGGGTCTGCATGTGGCGCACTCGGCTTCACCCAACGTACCTCGGACTGCTGACATAATTTGCCGCAATAACCCAGAAAGGCCACCGTCCGACCTCTCAGCCATCTAAGCAAACGAAACACCCGTCATGGGGCTGACAAACAGGGTGAATTACGGCCCCTTGCAAGATTCCCAGCTGAGAGAATGCCGTTCTTCATAAGATGGAAACCTTTACTGCGCCTGCCAATCATGCGTGCGCTTTTGACCGGGCTAATCTTATCCACACCCCCCGGACCAAAGACACCAGCCAAAATCACCTTGCTGCCTTTTCGTCAATGCGAACCAGCATCTATGGTCTCAGTCGCCTAAGATGCCGTCACATACTCGACCACTAGGGTTCTACAAAATTCTCACAGCCGTGCATTGGTACCGAAGGATCTCATCCCCTGCATATTGATGCCAAAGTCCCCAATCAAGGTCCCCTTCGCCCTGACCCGGCCACGATCCGTTCTACTGTATTTGTGAACCTAGTCAGGTCTATACCGGCCCCAACGAATCACTTGATCTGCTTCACAGCCTTGACAAGCTCTAAACGGAATATACTTGTGGCAAACCCAGACCTTTCTGACCGGAGGGTGTCACCATGGGTGCAATCGCAAACCCACAGACCTCTCTCTGACTATGTCTTTGCAGTTGAATATATCTCGACTGTCACCCAGGTTGAAGAGAGTCACTGTCTTCTAGGCATCAGTCAAACCAAGTTCTTGAGAAAACACTATCGTTCAGATATATCGTCATATTTACTCGATTGAACCCAGCCGGTCACCGTCGCTCCTCTTGATCAGGCGCCATCAGACAAGTCTTAAACTCGAGGAGAACGTCCATTTGCTTGTTCACCATCCCACCGACCACCGTCACTCAATGCTTCTCGGAGAGATTCACCTTGCTTGACGTCAATCATCCGTTCTTGTGTGGATGTCCGATCCACGCCGCAGAAGCAGCTACAACGACTCTTCACCAGAACCAGTCGTAATTGAAAGAAGACCCCAGGTGCGTACATATCGCATCCTCCATCCCCGATCTACCGAAGGAAAACGACTGACGCTGGGGTCGAAGCTTTACAACCTCTTCAAGATCCGCAAGAAGAAGGTTCATATCATCGAAGAAGAACCTGTCCGCCGTCGCGAACGACACATTCGGACTCCTTCTTTCTCATCGTCACTGACACCATCGCCTCCACCACCACCATCACCGCCCAGACGGCCTTATCGACCCATGTCGTCCAGGCTGGAAGGGGATGTCTACGCCCCTTTGCCGCCGGAGTTGCCGCACAAGGGGAAACATCGTCATGATGACGTCGCCAATATCGTCGAGCGGATTCCTCGACGAGACAGCGGCCGTAGAGTCAAGATCGTCCATGGTGACCGTCGTGATCCAGACGACGAGGATGCGTATCCAAAGGTCGAGAATCCTGGCTCAAAACGTGATAGTGGAAAGTACTACGTCACCACCAGTGAGGGTGAGCCAAGTGGACATAGGAGGGAATACGAGCGTCGTCGACCCAATGCAGATCACGAAGTTGAAAGGCTGGTCGACGACTTGGCATGGGAGAAACGGCAACGTCGTGAGGCAGAGCGGGCCGCGGCGTATGCGGAAGACAAAGTGAACAAGCTCCAGGATAAGCTGTATCAGGAACAGCGGGAACGATCGCTGGAGAAAAAGGAGCGAGACATCCTGGAACGTGAGAAGCGTTTGAGTCAGGAGAGGGAGAAGAGATTGAGTCAAGAACGTGAGATGGAAAGGGAAAGGGAACGGGCCCCGGCGCGTGTGGTCGAGATCCGACCTCGCCCTGCTACGAGAGATCGTAACGATGTTGTCGTTGTGCATAACCCAAGAGAAAGAGGGGTGGTGCAAGTGAGTGGTGGGGATGCAGGGAGGTCGGCGCTGGAGAGGGCGAGGGATGATTATAATGTCCAACGACGTCAGCAGCAGTATGAGGAGAGAAGGCCAGGCACGAGCGGTGGCGCAGGGAGAGGACAAGTCGTTATTGTGGATGATGATGACTATCGCCCGAGGCCGAGGCGGTAGATGGAAGGGTTCGTGGAGAGGACAGACATCTTGTCGTCTTGACATCATGTTGTGAGGACGGGAGAGGAGAAGTATCGGTGCAAAAGCATATATGTTGAGTGTGTGGATATACAAACATGGACATGTGGGACGTGGGGTTGGAGTTGGATTCGGTCTTTGCACTTGGCTTGGGTCTGGCAAAGAGGTGGAGGAAGGGGAATGGAGTTCAGGATCCAGTTGAGTATCATGGCAGGCACGGATAAGAAGAAGAAAAGGCAAGACGCTGCAAAGCGTAAAACCCGGACTCGGTCATAACATGGGTTTGGCAATGGGATCGGGGACGGCGTTGATGGTATGGCATGATATGGAGTTCGACGGACACTCACAGGGGAAAGGGAAAAGGGCAAAGGATAGTCTTCAATTCGCGGGCATGGCGTAAGTACCGGCTGGGTTTGTAACGGTTTCCAATATCAAATGTTTTCGTCAAAGATGGGAAGCCAATGGGGAGTGTGTAGATGGAAGATCAGTACGAGTATGTAGATAGAAGTCAGTACGAATGGGTATAGATACCTCCTTGGTAGATAGATAGGTTTGTCGGAGGAATGTCTTCCCTCCCTTGATGGTCTTGACTAGATGTGTATAGTCTCCTCCATTCTCGATCAAAGACGCCAATTGATTACTAATGACAGGAGGGCCGAGAGACGTGATTGAGCACCGGTGGTGAGAAGGATGAGGAGGGTGAGGGTGAGGGTCAGCAGAAGCGGCGGCCTGAGCAGGCATACTACGTAGTAAGGCTGAGCAACTCACGACGAGGCTGAGTCGGATCGCCTGGTATTTGAGTAAAGCGGCGGGCCTCCGTCCAGTGTCTGAGTAAAGCGGCATGATCACCGTTGGTGACTCGATCACTTTGATGAGTACTTTTCTTCACGTCTCAAGTGTTGCAGGTACGGAAAGGTCGTACAAGGCTCAGAGTGAAAGCCTTATCGCCGCTCCCTGTCCTTAAGCCGGCGGCTCCTCTTTGCAACACGTCTCAGACTTGACCAAAGTCAAGCCCACGCCTCGCTAGCACGCGAACTTCAGGCCGGCCGTGGTCGGTCATGGCCAGTCCTACTTTCCTCTTGATGACCACGCGATATCCCCTTGTTAAACGGCGATTCTACCCAGAGCCAGCATGAGCGAGCCGGCGACATCGAGCATCAAAAGACAAGGACGCGGCCTTCAGAATCGTACACATATGTCTTCACCCACGAAGAATTAACAGCAGTCCTTATGACTGGGCTTCCTGAGTGCTGAGTAACCAGAAAAAGCGTTGCTGTTTTCAACTTATCTGTATGACGAGAAATGCTGCTTTTGCTGGGGAATCGGATGCCATGATTTTGTGATTGGGCTCCTATTAAATCTTCATGGTAGGCCATAAGACGGAAATCTTTCGACCCTTGTCTGAATATCTGCAGGTCGCCTATGCTGCCACAAATTAGCTCAAAGGGTTGGTAGGCCTGGCAAGGAATCCCTGACGTTCGTTTTGTCAACCATGAGCCTACGAGCCGTGCGAGCCGTGCGAGCCTGCGTTGGCGCGCTCAGCCGCAGTCAAGATGCGTCCTTCTTATTGTATGCCCTGCCCACGCCTGCCTTTACCCAGTCTCCCTCATATCCTGTCCCAACCCATCTTCCCAATCCATCTCCCAATCCTCAAGCAATGAACGAAATGACTGTGCCGGTCAAGTTGACGACGCACGGTCACCGATGCTCTCGATTCATCTTCACGAACCTGTGAATGGCAATGTCCGCTTGCTTGAAATGCGCAATGAAAAGGTGCCGTGCTCGAGTTGAAGATTTCACAGTTGCATGGATTTGTGCCCTACACGTCGAACTTACCGCCGCAAGAGAAGCTTTGGACGAGGAATACGAGCGTCTAGACGATGTGGCCCACTACACACTGGGCCGTGTTGGCCGACACAACGTTGCTGTGGCATGCCTGCCAGCCGGTCATCTAGGCACAAGTTCTGCCGCAGCCGTGGCTGCTCATATGCAGAATGCCTTTCCTGCGCTTCGATATGGACTTATGGTGGGCATTGCTGGGGGAGTTCCAAGTAAGAGCGTGGATATTCAGCTCGGTGATGTTGTCATTAGCCACCCTCAGGGCCGTTACGGAGGTGTCGTCCAATATGACTTTGGGAAGACTGGGTCGGGAGGGCAACACTTTCCAAATGGCAGCCTCAACTCTCCGGATTCTATCCTCCTTCAAGCAGTGGCAGCCATGCGATCTTCTATAAACGCGGGCCAAACCGATATCGTGTCGTACCTGTCAGCTCTCAACCAGCGTGGTCTGTTCCCTCGTCCCGGCCCAGAGACGGAGAAGTTGTTCGATCCCTCCTACAATCACGTCTCAGGTGATACGTGTAATTCATGCCTCAAAGACCGCGTCGTCGACAGATTTCCAATGACCAGCCATGACATTGTAATTCACTACGGAACAATTGCCTCGAGCAACCAAGTTGTCGCAGAGCTCACTGGAGGCGGAGCAGAGACCGTTCAATTCATCCACGAATCTGTGCACGACTACCTTCTCACAACGAAGCGACTCCATCGACTTCAGCGACTTCAAGTCGACCTGTCATCCAATTTTCCCGGTGCCAGCCATGAGACGTTGAAGAAAAGCTGCGAAACCTATATCGAAATCGTTCGTTCAGAGGATCCAGGCTCTGGGACACCTTCGAGCTGTTTAGAGTCAGATCCTGGAACACAAGAAATAAAGCCAGAAGACACTCCATCTCTTAAGTACGCTGTTCGCAACATATTGTTCCACGCCGACGCCGCAGCAGAGCACGGCGTGAACCAAGAACGATTCATCGATGGATTCCCCTACGAACAGTGGGTGAAGGTAAGCGACTCTTTAGTCGAGCGTAGGACCGAACGCTACGGACTAGGTGTAAGCCCGCTGTATATCTTCGCCAACGAAAGCGTCCCAACTCTCGTCAGCAGTGAAGTTCGAAAGGTTCCGCTCATCGATGTCAAAGGGGGTCACTACGATTATCCGCTAAATGCGGCAAGGGCTCATAATAGCAAGGAAACCTGAAAGCTCTATTAGTTACAGGAGAAGACAATTTCCCCCCATCCGATGGCCCAGCCATGTTATATGTTACGCCCCAGGCGCACGAGGCTGCAATCGCCAGTTTTATGAACCGTAACATCTTGGTTAACATGACGCTTCTATACTGGGCCGTTGAAAAGGACAAGATCGACCTGCTGAAGATACTGTTGCAGACTAACAAGGTGGACGTGGATATTTGTGATCTTTACGGGCGCACGGCATTTTTACGCGCGGCAAGGTTAGGCCGCGCGGAAGCGGTCAAGTTGCTGCTCTGGACCCGAAAAGTGGATATCAATAGTAAAGACAACTCTGGTCTGACACCATTGGCATTGGCAGCCGAGCATGGACATGCGGCGTTGGTGCGGTTCCTGCTAGACACCGGCAAAGTTGACATCGAGTCCCTCAGCCAACTCGGACAGACGCCGCTATCGTTGGCGGCAGAAGGTGGGCATGAGGCAATGGTGAAGCTTCTGGTACAGACGGAGAAGGTGGACATCGAGTCCAGAGACTCAAAAGCGTGGACACCTACATGCTGGGCACTTTCAAATGGTCACAGAGCTGTGGTCGAGCTACTTTTTTCTTCCTGGATAGCAGATGCCATGTCGAAGGGCCGAAGTCTGGACGTGAAAAGACTCGGGCTGCATGGGAAAGCCCGCTACTCAAGAAAGAATTCTCTCCACTGGGCACTTCCGGAAGACGACGCGGTCAAGGTCGCGAAATTTCTCGCGTCGAGAGACGAGGTATGTCTCCAAGTTACCAGTCACAGTCATCCAAGTGCAGAAAGCGAGGCGACAACACCCTGGACCTTTGTGGAATTGATGGAATCACTCGTTGCTGCAAGCAAGCGCAACTTGAACACAACAGAAGAAGGAGAATCTTCCTGTGTACTGCGAAAGGCTAGGTGACGTGATGCGATGGCTGATTCTTGACAAAGTGTAGCGCATTACCCACACGTCCCATGGCGACATGCATGCTCTCAAAGTAGATGAGATATCAACAGGAACGATTACCTCGTGGGCTACCATCATTACCATCCACTGTAATCTAAAACTGACAACCGAGAGCATCTCCAGATTTCAAAGGAATCCAACGCACGCACCCATCGACTTGAGTCTTTTCAGTTGGCAATACTGCTCAGTGTTCGCTGCTCGCCATTGCCATTGCCATTGCCAGCCTCCGGGATGAAGTCATCATCATCATCATGATCCATTCTCTGTCTTCAGATGGGATTTGAGGCAGAAATTTGAATCACATCATTAGTTCCCCCCGCGCTAACCGCCTCGAGGGCCGCCCTCTCCGCGTTTTGGCGATATATCGCCTGCCAAACGGCCTCCTCGGCGAGTCAAGAGCCTCGCGGGCACGGTCACGGGCCAACTTCGCTTCTGCGACAGCGTCGCCGGCGGCAAAAACTCTGTCGAGGGCTTAGGGGGATAGCGAGGCGGATGGAAGGGCCTCGGCCGGATATTGGTTGGGTGTTGGTGTTGGTGTTGGTGTTGTTGCTGTTCATACTCACAAAGGCCCCCGGTTTGTTGCCTTCTTTTTCGTGGCTTCCCATTTGTTTCACAAGAGTTTTCGCGGGCTCATAGTTCACACAGACCCACCGATGTATTGTGAATAAAGTATAGGCTCTGCGATGATCCGAGTAACTGCTTACCCGGCGCCGTTGCGGGACCAATGTAAGTCTTCCAGAAGCTCATGAGCCTGCAAATTGACCTCACGGTGTCGACATAGCAACCCCAATCAAAGAAGCGCACTGTTTCATTGTACTCTGTGATAGGAGGCAGGGGGTTAGCGGAAGGACTGAGGATGGAAGCCCTCGGGGTCTGCGATGATATACTGGGCGGTTATCGAGTACCGCTTCGCATATAACGTCGGCCAAAAGGGTCCTCGTCCACAGCCCGCACAAGTACAAACCATGCTGGTGGCGACGCTAGTCTCCGCGGATGTATCTCTCCCATGTCTGCCCAAAGTCAAGGTGTCTTTTCCACAGCTGGGGCACGCGAAGTTGTTGGCCCGATCACTTTGCTGCCGCGCCGTCATCCACCCACTCCAGCAATCGGCGCACATCGCTGCACCTACGCAGGAATTGAAGGTGACCAGCTCAACTTCCGTAAGTTCCTCGCCGCAAACGGCGTAGGAATGGCGATTGCTGACTGAGGATGTCGCAGATATCCTCGATAGTCCTTGCATCCGGAGGCACGGCAATACCATGGCGCTCACACAACTTTTGTAGGTCTAGATCACCAGCCGGCCTCCTCCTGAAACCAAATGTCTGGTAGGGGCCTGGCTTCTGGACCCCGCCGGAAGTTTTAAAAGTAGGTGGCTTGAAGGGCGGATCGCTCGATGCAGGTCTGGCATGCTTAAGGTCCTCCTTTGTAGTCGAAGGTGCTTTTAGCTGCTGACATCTTCCAAAACTGCTCTTCCTCCTGAGAATCCGCCAGCTAGCGCAAGGTCTGCACGGTGAATGAGATCGTTCAAGAGCTGGTCTCTTGAGCTCCTCATTGAACACCTCCGCGTGCAATCTCAAGCACCAAGCAGCAACGCCATCGGTCGTGATGCTAACATCATGCGTTTTGCCATCGGCCTTCGAGCCACCCGCTTTATACGAATTCCCTCCAGAGGCATGCGTTCCATCTGCTGACGCGACAGGCGAGCTTTATTCTTTCATGGTTCGAATATGTGCGGCACCTTTCGTTGTCTGGCATACCGTAGTAACCAGGAGAAGGCCGAGAGGGAGGTAGAGACAGCATAATGTACTGCCCTCGTAGTTGAGTCGAAGGGGAATCCTAGACGAAATTGGGGGGGGCCGGGGCGACGATGGCCGAGGCGACTGCGGTTGTGTGTAATAGTAGGTTGGAACAGAGACTGTTGATCGGACCGACCCCTGAGCAGGTTGAGCTTGAACCCAGGGAGACCAGCCGAAGAGGCCATGGAGGAGAAGGTATGTTCTGCTGACCCGGCACGCCATACAGACCACCTGGCCGTGGAGGAGGAGAGGTTATGTTCTTCCCAACGATGCCCCCCACTGTTGCATCTTCGGGGCGACCTGCTTGCCTTTGATATTGCTGAAAAGCTTTGGTTGGACGCTTAACACACCCCCATAACGCTCACGATACCGCACCCTTCTTATCCATGAGGATCTTGTTCATCTGGGTCTTGATATTTGAATGGCGAGCGTAGTTTTGGAGGAGGTTTGGTTGTAGCCGGTGGATGCTTTGTCTCCCAGTCTGTCAAAGTCTTCCCTAGCTGTTGCTGCTTGGCTGTAGCCCGGAAATCCCCTGCGGATCCTGGTGGGTCATAAACTGTACGCCGACCTTCCAAACACCGTGCACGAATCGCTCGGTATCGAATGAAAACATCTCACGACACTCTTTAATGTACATGCAGTGACCTTTTCCGGACGGCATTGGCAGTCGCGGCACGACCATGAATTCGACGTTGTGGTTCGTGATTTGGACGGTTTGAGTCCCAATTTTCAGCCGAGCGGAGTTCGCCCTCCCCTTGCCGGTTGTATCGTATTCTGGGTGCTGAGGCGATTATAAGTAGATTCTCACTGAAGAGTACGTACCTGAACCATGTGGGGCGTGGTCAAAGCGGGATGGAAGACGACCGCATATGCTGACCAGGCTAGGGAGGGAGCTTGATTGCGGCCTAGTAGGCAGCGTACACAAAGTCAGCAACGATCCGTCAAGACTGGGATCAAAAGGACAAGGACAAGGCCTCGGACTTGTCCTTGGTCGTCTCGCCGGAGTGCGTCACAAAGCAGCATCACTCGGAGACCGTTCAAACGTTGCTGGTATTTGTGTGGACTGGATGAGCGCACCAGATAGATGCCCAGTATTGAGGCATGTGGCATTTCTTGTTGCTTGAGCTTGTATTCCGGGCCAGGGATCTAAGATGGCACCATGGACGCACCAGGCTCTGCCTCCTGTTGGTGGTGACGCGCGAGTCGGTTGATTTTGTCTTCTCAATGAAGAAGGACATCTTGACGAGAGGAAAGCACATAGTTGACACGCTCGAACGCTGGCTCTTTATTGTTCTGCTCAGCTTTTTTGACCGCACGGGTCCTTTTGCCGAACATGACGTCCACCAGCGGCGAACAGCTGACTGCAATGGTTGCATAGCACAACACTCCTTCCATCCTCCCAATGGTCGTATGTGGTCTCTACACTTCAGTGGCGCGGCGGCGTGTCTGCGCTGGAACGCAAGCACCACAACTCGCAAGGCCTTTTGATCTGTGTCAAGAATGATGCATTCGCCTTTTAGCGCCAGAGTTGTGACCGATTAGCCCTTGGTTCTGTTCTCTTCAGGAGTTTTGGTGGTTTTGGAATCCGCCGTGGATGGCCGCGTTCCCACTCAGACACTACCGAATTCGTTTTGGTTGATGGAAGGTTCCTGTAGTGAATTCAGTCAGTTCGTTCTTCCTGTTAATGCCTCTGAATGCTCTTGATGGTACTTCTTGATGGTCGACTTGAGGTCGCCTAGCAGGTGGCCATACAATAACGATATTTGGCTGGGGAAGTGTTCCGCAGAACCTCTTGGTACTTTCTCAAGTGTTGCATCGACTCGCTCGGGATGTGGAAGATTTCCTCGTTTCATGGTATCAAGAGATCATACTGGTAGACGAGGTACGACCAATTGTCGTGCTGAGTCGCTGAGTACTTGGTGTTTCTGACGCGTTCTAGCGCCATCGTGATAGCGTAGCCATCTTGTATTTTGGGCTGAGGGGACGTTCTTGAATCATTGTACATGGTGACCAGGCCGTAGAATTGACTGCGATGGTATGCCGGAAGATTTCCAAGGTTGGCGGCGCTCATTTGCTCGAATTCGTAGGCGAATAGTACGGTGTTCACATCTTTGGTGCCCTGAGCGTCGTACACATCCAGCAGGGTCAAAGAATTAACGTCCGGATAGGATTTGTCGAGTCTGCTTCACGATGTAGCCTCTGTGAGTAACCTTTCCGGCCCCAACTGTACCTGGTGCACCTGCAGTCCAACTTGTCTTGCTGACTAGACTCTTTTCCTACGGGATACACACTCGCACATGATTGTCCAGATCAGGATACCATTTCTTGGTGATCAGAAAGCACATATACGTCTCAGGGACGTACGGCAATGGTGGAATCGACTTGACGTGCCGATACTCATCGTCGTAGTCACGGTCTTCATGTCCATTGTCGGTCTTCTTAGGGTCATGGTCAGACTCCTTGGGCTCGATAGTTTAGACGCTGGGTCAACAATACCGTACAAGGTATCACAAGTATAGGAGGTATTGTCTGGATCCTGCCATGTCAAGACAGCCCGACTACCTGGCGCCAAGAACTTCTTGAGCATCAGTCGTGGAATGGTAAGAGGCATGTTTCCGGACATTGTCCGCTCACGAAACTTGCGTCAGTCCTCGAACGGCCATCCGTCTTTCACGTCAAACCAAGAGTCTACAAAGTGGAGATCATTGTCCAAGGCCTTGGCCGGCTGCTTCTTCGTCCAATCTGCTGGTATTCATTCACCCGACAACGCTCTGTCACGTCAACAAGTTCGGACTTGTCACTTGTTCCAGGCACACAGCTCGAATCTCAAGTCCATGGCGCTCATTGTGCCTTCTCTGGATGCCACCAAGGCGAATGCATCCACCAGATCGGTACACGTCTCTGTGCGCTTGACGATGTATCCCGCTATATGTGACCTTGCCGTTGTGGATCTTTGCTGTCTTCCAAGTTGTTTCTCTGATGCAACTTTTCTCCAACGAAAAGGTGTATAAATATATATAGTCTTTTAGGCATCCCACGATCGGTGCTTCAGGATCTCCTGAGAGTTCTTGCCCGTCCCAGCCTTCGTCTTCTCCGGGTTCCGCATAGTTGTTAGATCTCCAGTTCTGGTACCGATTCGATCCTGATGCGTTCGGGTTCCGGTTCGGGGTCGTATTCTGGTTCTGTCTGTCCCTTCGACAGAGACCAATCTAAAAGATAACATTCCCAATCCGTTGAAGTCCATTGTCAATTCTGACGGTGGGTTGCATTACCACGGCCGTCTTTCTCAAGCACAAACTCGAGCTCCGCTCGATGGTGCGCTATGCGCTTCTTGGCGAGCGAACGAGCAGCGTCTTGTGCCTTGTAGCGAGTGAGGTAGGGAGAGGTCGGGAGCTGAGACTCTCGGACATTGATGTCACAGCGTTCCTTCATTCGGTCGCACCGACAAAATCGCATCCTCTACTTCCGGACTGACTGGGGCTCTCGTCGCTTCGCACGTGAGATACAGGAGGAGGAGGAGGAGGAGGAGGAAGGAGGAGAACGGAGGGGATATGGGGGGGCTCTCTGGCGAGAGGAGGTAAAGGAGTCTTCCTACGATACGTAGGTGTCTCGTTCTCGCCGCCAAACGTTGCACCCAACCCGAGAGGATATGTCTTACTCAATGTCCGGGGGTATGTATTCAGGCTGTTCGTTGGCTCGAAGGACGACGTTGGTGTCAACGTGCTTCGTAACCTTCCTCGATAGGTAATAACCCCGGGTTGTCCACACGACTCCGAAGCGGGTCATGGGGTTATGGATCGGAAAGCAACTCTCGATCTCTTTCCGTGCTGCATCCGCATTTGACGAAAGCATGGCAAGTCGCAGATCCACCGGCATATCGGCAGAGAAGATCTTATCTGAGCCGCGAGGATACGCAGCTGAACAAGAGGCTTGCCTGGCTTGCTCGTCCAGTATTTCGAGTACTCGTCCTACCAACCGAGGAGGGTGCTTTGGGGTGCCACCACGACTTCGGAAGAAAATCACACGTCGGTTGTTGCAGTCCTGGCCTACCTCCCTTCTGACCAAGCTTGACGGTCTCCATGTTCTGACGTATCCACTCAGCTGGATGAATCGTAACGGTGCCTGAGCGGGAATATGATGGTAGGCTCCGAGTCTGCAGCTAGCATGGTCTGCATTCCATCGTGCACGAATTGCATCCTTGATTTGTTGTTCATTCCAATCAGTGTGATCCCTGCTGAGTTGGACTTTTGCCGACTTGACTGCACCAGCCGGCAGGTAATAAGTGCAGACATTTTCAACTCCAGCTGGGAAACGCAATCCCTAGGTGAGTACGGTATCAGTTGCCCATATCCCACTTCAGGGACAGGGTTGATCAAACATCCTGCCTGCGTAGAGGAAGACGAATGGGACACCACCGACGGTCTTTCTCACCACGTCCAGGCTCGTAGATCTGATGCAAGCTTCGCTTGAAAGATTCTTGGTCGAGATTTTCTCTTTGCGAGGGCCATATTCTTTGTCGACGCCGTAAGGTAGAATCTCCTTCATGAGACCTATGGGAACCATGGCATAGGCTTCAGCAGTTTGTTTGTCCGAATGTGAGGAGCGCATGGCTGTAGACTGGCTGTCACTGTAATATGTGCGTGTGCTCGGTTTCGGTGAGCCTAATTGGAGTGTCCCTGGAACATTCTGTACAACTCGGTCCATCTATTGGAGGTGAAAGTACCGCTCAGTTCGAAGATGTAGTGGTATATATATTCCACGTAGTGAGACTAGCCAGACCTAGATCATGCTTTGTGCTGGCTGCGCGTCAAGCTTGGAAAGGTGAAAGAAACGGAAAAGGAAAGGAAAAGGAAAGGAAAGGCTGAGGTCGCTCATCTCAAGGCTGCATCGTTTATGTCGGGCTTCTGGCATATGCCAGGGTGCTTGGCCCTGACCACATGAGAAGAACAGCCCCAGGCTTGAGGCGAGAAAATGGTATGCACATTGCCACTGTGGCCTTTGCGTCCGGTACGCGAGGAAGCAGACATGTACGTGGCCAGTGATAATGGACATCCGACAAAGACTATGTGCGGAAGGTCGGGAATGTTGACACCGGAATCGTAGAGCTTGCATGCGACAAGAACGCCATCTGAATGACCATGAATCCATCTGTGGACTTCAGTGCGTTCGGCCTGAGTATGGTCATTGTGGCTGACCTCAACGCGTCGATCGGTGACTGTTGCCTGAAGAACGGAGCAGAACGTTTCGGCTTCGGCTTTGGATGGAAGAAAGACGAGATGGGAGGCTTCTTGATCTCCCAATATTATTTCTCCTCTCCGCGCCTTATCCTTACCGAGGATGTAACCAGCCGGCAGAGCGCCAAAGATAGGCACAGGAGAAGGATGATGGCTGTAATAGCACAATGTGGATGGGCTGTCCCTGAACGTCAAAAGGAAGAGACGCAAATCTGTGGTCTCTTGTATCTGGCGAGGAGTCTTACCAACCAGCAGAGAAAGTCACCTGTCGATGGTACAGGGACCGAAGCAGAACCAGAATTAGAGGGTATGTGGTGTGTCGCGAGGTCCTCCATAAGATCTTCCAGCTCTTTGATGGCTTCTTCCGACCGCGCATCACCGCTATGTGGCAAGGATCCCACCGTCCGAGAGATAAGCGGTGATCTCTAGACGGCAGGCTTTCCACTCTCGAAGACCTTGAATTGATCCCCGGATCCGTTAGGTCCTCTTGATTCCCGTTCCAAGCCCACTTCACAGTATGGCTTATAAGGGAGCTGAGACGTTGAAATCCTGAGATTCGTGTCAAAGATGGAGGTGCGCAAACTGGTCTATGCACAGGCCGGCCTAATGCCACATGTGACAAAGAACCCTTAGTGGCCATGCTCCTTTTTGTATGGCCGTAGACAGTTGAGTACTTCAAATTTGATTCGATAGTCCACATTCTCGGTCAACACTGGTCGGTTCCGTATGGTCTTTGCAGCTATTTCCCACGGCACTGGACACCAAGGTGTGACCAGGTTTTGGAATTCGGTGTCTATAACCCAGGTAACATTCTTGTTTATTCACGTACAGCTCCTTCAGTCGACGTAGAGCTTGGAATTCTCTTCCAGACAGCCTTCCCGGCTCCAACGTTGGCCGAAGATTAAGTAATAGGCCGAGTGTAGAGGATTTTGAAGTGCTTAGGGAGAAGGAACGTAAAGACAGCACTCAGGAGATGCATCTGACATCAACAGGACGCTCACTTGATGGCTCGTTCCAGGCAAGGTTAATAGATTTGCAGAAGGGACACTTCTCTCCAATGACAGGTTTCCATGATCGGGTGATTCTCTTCAAACTCCACGAGGTTGAGTACTGGTGGAGGCCGAAGTTGAGGTTGTGCTATACCTTCAGGTGCCCATCGTGAAAGTGGTGATGCCAATGCTCTTGGATGAGACCGTTCGGAAGGGATCAGGAGATCGATGGAGTTTCGCGTCGTCTCCACCAGACCGAGGGGACTGGTTATTTGTATGTTGGCCAGGTGGTCTGTCGGATGTCACATGAGAGTCCGGACAATTCGAGTCGCTGGAACAATCAAACTTGTCCAGAAGAGGTTGAACTCCTGAACCAGACCCGGGAAGCTCTGGAAATCCTGTGACGCGCGGGTAGCGGATTGGAGTACTGTAGCTGTCGGCCTTCTGTACTGACACAGTTGCACGACCGAGTACTTTCGAAGTACATTCTCGAACACCAGATGCCAGCTCATCCTGGTTCCTACAATGTGCACCACCACATCGCTCACTGCACCCAACACTTCTCTGTCGTTGCCGCGATCGTCTTCGGATAATGCGTTCTCCATTCGGCTCTGCAAGTTGTCGCCGTGAATTGTAGTGAACTTCACCTTCAGCGGTCCTCCATTCGAGATTGCGTCGATGATGATTTGAGCGAAACTGATAGATCCCTTATCGAGTTCGGAGCTCACGTAGAATTTTCGACCGTGCAGATAGTAATTTGATCACAAGGAACGCTGTAGGGCGTGGAGTGAACCCACTGGGTCGATTCCTGGCCATTTCGGCGTCAACCTTTAAGGACTTCGTCATATTGTATCGGTACTTCATGATGTCGTATTTGTATTTCATGTTCGCTGGTAAAAAGGGACGATTTCCTGAGATCGAAACTGTTGGATGGATGCAAGCGAGGTGCTGGAGTATGCTGATTGAGATTATCGCACATGCTGGTCAACGACTCGTGACGTAGCAACAGGGCCACCCCGTGTAACGACACGACTCCCACACTTGATTCGAAATGCAGGCGATCGAGAGAGATCAGTGATAGTGCTGACTGTGAGGGGTGCTGAGTTGTTTGCTTCGATTGTTTTGCAGTATACTTAATTGGCCGAAAGACCAGCTGCAGCGCCTGAGGTGTACCTCGAACAAGGCAGCACACCTGCTTTCCACTGTTCGATTGCGTTGAACCGGGCCAATCCAGGTTCAGAGGGAGGCTCATGTCGGCGTTCCCGCCGCCGCCGATCCTGACCTGAACGATCGAGTATCCCTTGTGCTCCATCAGGCACCGGTAGAGCTTCTTGTCCGGACGTATGCCGAGACAGTCGGATCACCTCAGCGGCGTGTGTGGCGGTGCTTCGACGGAGGGTCGTATATATAGAACTAGGAGAAGTCAGTCATGCTGCCATAAGACGTACGTCGCCAACGGGTCTCGATAAGATGAAGCATGCCATTCAAACTCACTTTGTTGTCCCGGATAAAAACCACACAACAATGCCAGCCAACCTCTCCCCGCGCCAGTCGCCTTCTTAGGTCGGTCATAAGAGGTAGCTGCTTCCGCCGCGATAATCCCCGTATGTCGCGATATGCGGCAGTTTTCTCTGGATTGCCGGACGGTTGAGTCGCCCATGAGACAGATGCTGCCAGACTGTCGTACTTAGTCCGCGCACGTCTTGACAGCCTGACCGTACACAGTCGTTGCTGGCACCGAGCTCCCAGACGCGCTGCTTGCGACCGTACGAGCATACCTCCCTGTCAACCACCGTGGCCGTGGGGTACACCCGAGCCAATCTCCGAAGGTATGCCTGAATAGTGGTAGGTTGAGAAGTATAAGCTGCCGTCAAGATCAGATGGCTGGCTTGCTTGAAGCGCTGCGCCGCGACAATGTTTGAAGATCTACGCGGGGCCGTCTTCATGGCCACGGAAGCAGCCACCTTGGATGCGTCCTTCTCTGTTTGGCATTGGTGTTGTCGACCATAGGAGAAACACCAGGAGAAAGCCTGAGCTGGCGCGCTGGCGCTGGCGCAGAGTGGTGTAAGGGTGCGTCTGTTGCACCATTTCCTCGGGTTGGAAGTGTGAGATGGGAATAGATATATATAAAATGAAATGAAGCAATTGAGACTGCAAGCCAGAAGGCCCAGCCACCAACACTAGCACACCAAATGCAGAACGGAAGCAGGAGAAAATGATGGGGAGGAGATGGATATATATATTCAAGAGGTTTGAGAGATTCTGGAGATCGGTGAAGCTTCGGACACCAGCGCCTTCGCAATGTCATTCATCTGAAACAATGGGCAGCATCTGGCTCGGAATGGCGATGAGCCCTAAGGTTTCCATAGAAGACGGTGACACTCTTGAATGATAGTTAAGCGGAGCACGCAACAACAGATTCTCGGGAAAGCCGCGATCACGGCGAAGGAAAGGCAGCAAATTGAATGGCGCGGAAGTCGAGCACTGCGATACCATAGAGACTCTGAGACACTGGTGTTTCGAGATCGAGCGACTCGGCAAGAAATGTACAGTGAGTCATGTTCAAGGCTTGAAGTCTGCAATTGAAGGGACTTGACGAAAGCCATTCGATCTTGTCGAGGACGTGCGTGTGAGGCAGGCTGGTGCACTGTCAACCGATGTGACTGAGTGAAAGGAAGATGCGCGTGAAATTCAATTTCCACATTGCATCTCAGTGTGCGAAATTTGTCATCCGATATTCCCTGTTGTCTTATTTATACTGATATACTGTATGCGATGAAACATTCTCGGCTGCTGAGTCTCAGCGCAGCGGATCCATATGTGGCCTTATAGCAGATTGAGCTTTTTGGCTGGAAGCTGGCTGCATAGTCATCGCATGGCATAATCTCATCGCTGTTTTGCCGTTGGAAGTTTTCTTGTAGAACGTAAAATCAAGAACTTGAGATGAACCACAGCCGTCGTGCCCGGCAGACGCCCCTTGGAGGATGTTTCTCAAGAGAATGCTTCTCGAGGGAGCGATCTCGGAGGCAATGCGGTTTCCTCACCTTGCAAGAGACTGCTGCGCCTCTGCTCGTAAGCTCTCATCGTTCCAGTGCCCTCAACAGTTTCTTGGACCGTAACCGCATCGAAAACATCGACCTGGGTGCTGGCAAATTTCCTTGCGCTGACGCCTCGTTCGAATAGCAAATCCAGTTCTGCGAATGTGCGGCCGGCCGGCTCGGGCAGGCGGAAGTAGGTGTAAATGATGCAGAGGAAACAAATCCCGGCCCAGAAGAACCCGGCATAATTTTGCCAGTTCCATTCGCCCGGATTAAGCATGTACGGGGTTAGCACGGAGCAGACGATGCCAACGATGTTGTAACAGTTTCGACCCAAGACAACAGTCTTGATCTGCAGGCGGCGAGTGGAGAGTTCGGCGACCAGGGAATAGCAGACAGTTCCGACGGACAGCTGATAGCACAACGCCCACACCAGCATGATGGATCCTGTGGCAAGAGAAGCTTCCTTCCTGTGCGCGTCGGGGACAAGACCGAGAAAGCCTAGGATCTGCAAATCGTCAGAGAGCTGTACCGGCAATGACAGGAATAAAGGCTAAGACTCGTGCCTGAATGACACAGCTTTTTGGAGAAGGATACTTACGAGAAGCATGGAAAACAGTCCGCAAAGGCCATACAGATAAAGTGATCGTCTGCCGATACCACAGGTCATGAGGAACCACGCGCCAAACACGCCAGCCATGTTGATTCCGTACTGCCCAAGGGCGAAGTCGTATGATGTGGAAGGGTCCAGACCGGCTTGTTCGAGGAAATAGGTCGAGTAGCCCGAGAACGAATTGCCTGACAGGTTTTGAATCGCCCACACCATGCACACAATTTCAGTTCGTCGAAGATCTGTGCCCCTGAAACAATCCAAGTAGGAAGCGCCTCTGGTGATTTTCTCCTCAAGAGCCGTGGTGTGGACCATCATGTCGATTGTCTCGTCAGCATCGAAGTTGGTCTCCCGGTTCAGAGAGGTCAGACGGAGCAACGCTTTCTTAGCATCTTCGAGCCGACCTTTTCGAACAAGCCACCATGGACTTTCTGGGGCGAGTAAGATGCCGATAAAGAGCGGAACCGGCCACCTGCACAGGAATTAGCGAATCATGGCGAATAGATAGCAGAGAAGACATACATCCACTGCAGCGCGTACGGGATGCGATACGACCATTGATCTTGTCGAGGAAGCATGGATTTGATGACTCCAATGCCGATAACTTGCCCTAGTCCCCAGCAAAAGTTGACATAGGTGGTCAAGTATCCTCTGAGAGCAACGGGGCAGACTTCGCTGGCATAGGTGATGGTGAGCGTTTGAAAAATCTGACACTCTGTCAGATTTTGGACGTTATCGGAAGGCTAAAGAACTTACACCCCACGGAATGCCACACAAGATTTCTGCGACTTGCAATGCGACTACTGTCTGCGCAGTGAAGAAGACTGCCGTAAAGACGACGATCAACATCAGACATGTCATGACTGTGTAGCGATAACCGAAGCGTTCTGATACCCAACCATTGATGAATAGTCCGATAATTTCACCCACATTGGCACCGTTGCTGAGACCTGATTGCCAAGGTGCAGGTATTTGCCAGCTGCCATCCGGAAGCTGTTCGCCATACTTTCTCTGAAATTGTGGGAAGGCGTCTGAATCGTCAGAAGGCTTCCAGCGCGACAACAAGGGGCTAGGACGTACAGAAATTGCTCAGCAGACATACGTCGTATCCCTCCATAGCGATACAGGTTGAGATCAACATGCTCCAGCCCACAGCCTTGGGATACAATTTGATACCCTGCCACAAGCTCATGTTGTGCTCCTTCTCGGTGGCCCTGGAGGCATTGGCAACCACCTCGTCCACATGTCTAGTGTGAGGGAGGTGGTCCTTTTCCGGAAAATGGAGTGGGTTTTCTGGGGTGCCTTTGGACGGCCCACGAGCAATGGTGTCCTCTTCGATCGCCTTCTCAGCCATGCTTGTGGCTATCCTTCTTCTCGTCCGTTGATATTGGTGGGTTGTCCGACCCTATGGGCCGCTGAAATTTGAAAAAGTTATCGATGAGCGACCAGAGGCCCAAGACTACGAGAATCGCAGGGCCCCACGTGCTGGACGTGCGATGCGCCGAGCCCAATCGCAGAAAAGGTCTGTTAGGGTGCCAGGCCCGAAACAATGAAATGAGGTGGTAGTGGGAAAGCGTCCCCGCGCTGGTCGTCTGCCCAGCTGCTCTTTATATCTTTGCGACTGGGGACCCCACGGAGAATTTGACGGGCTTTATCTGCACAGGGCAGGGAACCGACCTCGGTGCGTCTGACGGTGTAGATTTGGGGAAAGGTCGAAAGGATTTGCTACTGCACCAGAGCCACGGGAAGAAAATCAGATGGAAAGTAGGTACACTTTTGCGTACTGTTAGATTGATCTGCTGTCACGCGGGCAGAGATTGACCGGCTTGCATCTCCACCCTATCCAGGAGATGGTTGACATTCAGACGGGACCAGTCAAGAGGAGGAAAAATTCAGGTCGTTCTTGTGTCTCCATTTTATCGTCATTGTCGAGTGGTTGGAATCGCCCATACTAGGATCCGTGTAGGAATTAGCTTGGGTGGAGGTAAGAGGGCAAGGTAGTATCGTCGGCATCATATGGAATGATTTTCACCCACGGTTCGGCAATTGCTGACTAGCAATGGCAGTGATCTAAATGGCTGGCATCGGTTACTCACACCGATGTTCTTCGTCTGCTGTCTCTGGTCAGAATACCACGAAAACTGTAAGCAGAGGGTAGATTATGCCCGGCTTGACGAGTTGGATGCAAGTGAATGCCTTCATGGTGGCGGGTGGGAAGTGGGAAGGAAATGAGGCCAACTCCACCAAGACGCGTAAAAATTGACACGATGGGAAATCAATCTAATGGTCTTCTAGAACAAACCGTCTTCTTGTGCCGCTGAACATTACAGGTCACGCATCAGAATCGCACAAGCTCTTTAGTATGGTAATTCATCGACGTTGATATCTGGGTATGCCTAGTCCCACTGGACAGTAGAAGAAGCTCCGATGAAGGCTTATTAGAGGCTCCAAGCACTTTCCCGGCTTGTGCTTCGGGTGTCTTGGAAGGCGCCACAGGGCACACAATCTTGGCCTGCACCAGCCTCGCTGCGCTGCTGTAACTTACTGTAGCACACTCGCACTGTTCTCCGTAGGCGGATGACGGCGGATGATGGCGGGGCCCAAGCACATCTGCCCTGCCGAGGCAAAACTCGCACAAATGGTCACGATGGTCAATCGATGGCGGCTCATATTTTTTATTCCTCCAAGCGCCGCGGATGATGTTGAGTACTCCCAGCCTAGAATGAAAGCAACCTTGAATCAGATAGACCCACGAAATATATAAAAAAGAAGGTCGTATTAAATATCCTGCATCTCAGGGTGAAGATTGAAGCTGAACGCCTATCATAATCGTCCGATATACCATAAGCACTATGATACTCCATATGCTCGCAGACTCGCAGTGTAACATTCATAGATCGCCATCTCGCTTGCTGTCAATTCGTTCACACAGTCCCACTGATCGCCCCAAAAGCAGGTCCGAGAAGCTGCGCCAATGTATCTGTACCTTGCAGCAACATCGTGTCCTTCTGCTCAACACCACAAAATTTCAGACTTGCTTCTCAGGTGTGGTATCAGGTCACACCAAGTGTATGACGTCGCTCAGGACTGACCCATGACTTCTATGCCTGCCCCGACTTGAATGACCGGCCTGCTGGGCAAAGTGCTGCTTGCCTTCCTTTTCTCTGTCGTCCTCGCCTTTCTCTCGCCGTCGTCCGGCAGCTTCAGGTCCAGTGATGTTACAGGATTGTTGAGAAACAATGCGTCAAAGCGTGTCCGACGACAGAGGAGTTCGGCTTCTTTCTGCAACATGGTTGAGTCCACCTTCAAACCGAAATCCATCAGATAGCAGAAGGTGATCTCGAGTCGACCTAGCTCGCCTTCGGAGACGCCGCCAACCTTGCTAAAGCGGGCGTGAGGCCAGCAGAGATCTTCCAGTGCCTTCATGGCTACTCTCAGGCATGCCAGAAGCAAACGGTGTACATTTCGTGGTGTCACTGGTACGATCTTCTCATGCACCGCCAGCCGCGTAATGTACACCGAGGAAGCCAGATAAACGGCAGTCGACAGCGGGCAGTATTTGTGCATGCGCATGAGGTAGTCTTCGGTCGAGATTGGCGGAGGGCGTTTCGAGTAGAATTTCCGTGCCAGAGCTCCATGCTGGAGATAGATGGGTTGCGCATGAGCGCCAATGATATTTGCAGCCGACATAGGCTCATGTGCTTGTGCTTCAGGCGAACCGATCGGCGTCTTCACAAAAACTACTCCGTCAATGTGTTCTTGCTCCTGCTGGCCCGGCGCTCGCAGCCCGTGGAAGTTCTCTTTCTTCGTTGTAGGGGTCGGGGTGCCCGGCGTACTCGACTCGCGTAGCTTGGACAATGGACGTGCCGGAGAAGCTCCCCGGCTACGTGCCGGAGGTGTAGGAGGAACGTCGCCGGTCAGTTGGACCAGAGAGTCGACGCTGCGGCATAGCAGCTTCAAAGCTTGCACGGCCTCAAGCTTGAAGATGTCGACATTCTCGGGCGTGATGCCATCTAGACCTTCCGGAGAAGGGCTCTTAGCTGGAGGAAAGATGCCTTTGTCGTTCTCAGGCTGTGGAGGTGCAGGGAGCTCCGGCGTGGGCTGTGTACATGCTTCCTGCTCTTTCTGGCCTGGTTGCCCTTCAGGCTGGCTCATGATTTAGTATTTTTTAAATCTCTTCCTCTTGTTCACCCTACTTCGATCATGAGCGCAGATAAGGCTGAAGCTGTGTGTCTGGTTCGTGGCTGGCAGGTAGGCTGCCACATGGTCGGGCGCGCGTCAAGGCGGGGACTGTGCTCCAGTAGCAACGATGCAGAGTGCTTTCTTCGTGCTGTTATGTACGAGTGCTGGGAGACAGGATTCGGGAAACCTGTCAAGGATGGAATAAGACGTTTGATGTTTGCCGCAGCTGCAGGGTCAACTGTCGTGAGGCGAGGCGGAGGGATCAGCTTTGACTTTTGGCTAATTGTAGCTGTCTGGGTGGCTGTAGCACTGATGATGAGCGAAGCACGGAGCAGCAACCGAGAAGCAGAGAGCCAACACCTTTCACAAACATGGCCAGCAGGTGTCCAGTGCACAAATAATAGATGATCATTAATTTATATTAGGTCGCACCACTTCGTCCAAGAGACGCCAGATCTCTCTCCCGACCACGGCCGCGATGGAAAAAGGTCAACATGTCACGCGCCTTTCTGTAAAACCAGATCTGGATGGGGCTTCGAACGGCGAAATTGAGTATGCCACCATGCCACTCACCTGGGCTGCCACTCCACCAGACATTTGGATCCTCTTTATTAGTCATTTTGCCCCAAACATTGCACTGCATGGCCACCCTGCGTAACCACCAGGCAGTGATTCTGTGGGAATCGAACAGGCCTTCGTGGGTAGGGATTCAGGCTTTGATAAACACCCTTAATGGTCTTCCCAGTCACTGAGGAGTCTCCGCTCGACCGTATGTGTTCTTCTGTCCTACGGAGTACTGTGGTAAACACTTTCAGAGATGTGTTTGATGACATAATCAGATTCAAGTGGAACGACGAGACGACAACTGAGTTGCTCGGATCAAGTCGACGGACCACTGACGATTTATGGCTCATCTACCGAAACATGTATGCAGCAATGCTGCAACCCCAACTAAGTCGCCTGGTAGGTGCCTGGTAATCATTGGCTGCCAGGCATGATGGAACATGACTTCTGCGTCGCACCCTTAATGTGTCCACCGATTTGAGGATTGTCATTGCAGGTTGCCTTGCGGAGATGTGTCTGCCCACCAGCGGCCATTTCGGTAACCGTCCAAAGATGGTAAACCCTGAATCCAGTTCGGTATGAACATAACCTTCTTTGCCGAAGACCCAAACAGCCAGGAGAATCAGCCATCATCCAATTTGGAGCCACGCGTTGACCCCAGCTCAGTCAGCTCACTGCCGCCATGGTCGAGATCAAATTTATCGATCGACGTAAATGCCACCGGGTTGTACCTATGCAGGTACTTTGCCTCGGAGCAGGCCGAACAGGAACTGAATGTGAGCCAACTCAAGCTGTTAGAAGTTCCACAGCGCTGATTTCCGGGAGCAATGCGCAGAGCCTTGCAACAACTTGGCTACCACGAAACGTATCATGGTTTTGCTAGCGCCTTCGAGACACCACTCGACAGTCAGATGTGGTTAGAGGCCTGTAACGCAAAGTTCAAAGGGAAAGGAAAGCCATTCAACCGTCATGATTGGGATCAGCTCCTGGGACATTGTCAGGTTGACTTTTGATCTGCTGATGCCGTCGAGAGCCATCACTGATTACGACAGGCTGTAACGGACGCCCCTGCTATGTGCTTCGGCCCAGAGCTCATAGAAGCTTATCCAGAGGCCAAAGTCATCCTCACGAACCGAGACGTCGACTCATGGCACAAGTACGAGCTCCGTCGTCCATCCATATCAATGCTGACGTGGCGCCCTGAATAGATCATTCACCGAAGCCGCCGTCGCCCCGTTTTATTCCCTCCCCGGCAGGATCACTGGGTTTATCACATGGGCCATGAACTCGCCTTTCAAATATGGCCAGCCAGTGTGGAAAATGGTACTCGAGGATTTCTTCCATATCAATCCACACGCTCCAAATGGCATCGATACGAGTGCTGCAAAGGAAGTGTACAGACAGCACTATGCGCAGATCAGGAAGCTGGTGCCCAAAGACAGGCTTTTAGAGTATCAAGTCCAGGATGGATGGGAGCCCCTTTGCAAATTCCTCGGCAAGGAAGTCCGTGATGCCCCATTTCCGCGAGGCAATGAAAAAGCAGATCTCCACGAGAGAATTGAAGCGTACAGTCGGGCACAAGCTAAGATGCTCGGGATGAAGTTGGCTCAATTCGTCGGTATTGTCCTGGTAGCTTGGGCGGTGAAAAGATGGTTCAGCCAGTAAAGCTTGTTGTAGTATCTCTGACGATGCTTACCTTGGAGGAATACGCTGCGGGATGACTATTGCTTCAGCTGAACACGATGCTCCTCGCCAAACTTCGGGTCAAAGATATTCCGTCCCACACGTTGTGAGATGACGAGCCCAGAAGAACAAACTGTCGTTCCAGCTCACTCTGCGCTTTTTCCCTTTCTTTGCGCGAGCGAAACATTGGATAACCTTGCACCAAAGATGCTATCTTACGCTGCTTCGTCCGCCTTAACGCCAAGCCATCAGGCAACAAGTCCAGATTCCAATTGTCTCGTATACAGCTGAGGCTACCCCTCCTCCAAGTAAGACCTGGAAGCCAATGATACGAAAGCATGTTCAGCCAGCCTGATGATCCATGTCAGTCACTGCTGGGCAGCTGAAATGGAGGAGGAGCTCATATACGGGCTGTGGGAAGGAGCGGTCTTGTCAGTACTACTTGTTTGATCTCACTTCACCCTTCTTCCCATCTCCAAGCAGACTTGCATCCCATAAGTACCTATCCTTAGTCTTGTCACGCAAACCAGCTTCTTGAGAGGATGCCACCTTCGGCTCCTTACAAACGCCTCATCGTCCTCTGCGATGGTATTCTTTCCTCGCCCAAGTCCCGATCCAGGCGTGCTGATCGAGCCTTTCGGGTTTTGTAGACAAGCAGCTTTCAGATCTGCGCGTCGATATGTCTGGTGCTGACCGTTTGAGCTAGGAACATGGCAGAATATTTTGTCTGGCAACAAGAACGATTATCCAACCAACATAGCCCGGTTCTCGAGAGCTATAAGCCCAGTCGCGATCATCAACGACAAAGACGACCAAGAACGCGAAGTTGAGCAGATTGTCTATTATCAACCCGGTGTTGGCACCGGCATCGGTGACAAGTATCGAGGTGGTAAGGCACATTGATTCCGCGTCCTAATCGCATTCCCTCTGACATCTACTTTGGGTGTACACTAACCGGTCAATACTTGACTAGGAGCATATGGTGCTGGTCTCTCAGCCAATATCCGCGCAGCCTACGGTTTCCTAGCTCACAACTACGACCCCAATCCTGGTGATGAGATCTTCTTCTTTGGCTTCTCCCGTGGCGCTTATACCGCTCGAGCGATTGCAGGAATCGTCACCAAACTGGGACTCTTGACAAAGCGAGGAATGGATTACTTTCCCCAAGTCTACGACGAATTTAGCAAAGACGGCAGTAGGAAGCCGGATTTCGATTTCTCAGACGGACTTCGAAAGAAGATTGGCAATCAAGTGGTCGAAAGTGCTAAAAATGCCATCAAAATCGTTGGCGTTTGGGAGACGGTCGGCTTTCATGCCGAAGGGATGTTAGGAGAGTCTCTCGAATTCCACAATGCGGAGCTTTCAAACCGCGTAGCCTATGGCTACCATGCCCTTGGTCTCGACGAACGGCGAACTCCCTTCAAACCGACACTGTGGCAATGGCCCAAAGGGTACGAAGTCAGGACGGATGGTAAAGGGCTGCAAGGCATGAAACAACTGTGGTTCTCCGGCGTACATAGTGATGTCGGCGGAGGTCACTACGACCCTGCTTGTTCCGACATCAGTCTCGCTTGGATGCTTGCACAATGTAGCAAGGACAAGAAGCTGGCGTTCACTGACGAAGACCCCCGGCGTCCCGATGACCCTGACGAGTACTATCTTCTACCGGACCGGATGAAGAAAAATACCATGACCGAATGGACCTCGTTGAAACACCAACCGGAAAACGACCCTAAGGACTCGCTGTATGACAGTATCACTGATTATATTGGGGGAATCTTTAGTGAAGATCGCAAGGCGTTCCCATTGGAACGAACCAACGAACGAATTCACCGATCAATTCGGAATCGAGATCTGAAGGCCTGGCGTTGCCCCATGCTTGATGGCAAGAATCAAGGGAATAGCTGGAGCTTGAAGGTGCCGAGTAAACAGGGAAATGTGCTCATGGAAGCGGAGCCAGATCAGGAGGCGGATGAAATCGAGAACAAGTACATTGGCAGAATTCGGCCAGCGCCAGGCTCCAAGGGTGCGCAGAACTGAGATTGAACTTGGGAGAGACTGGGCATGGAAATTATGTGATGGTGATTTTTCGTCACCCCGGAGTGGTAATTCTTACACAGCAAGCGTTGACAGGTAGCATTAATGACCAATATTCTTCCTTTCTCATCCTTTCCAATCATTTTCCTTGTACGGTAGTTATCGCTTGCCAGAAAGACACTCATGATTGGCTTGAAGCGGGAATATTCCATGGGGATTCATATTCCAAGCGAGCATCGGTCTCGAGCTTAGACTCCGTTGAGATTCCAATTCAAGCGAGCGGTTTCTGGGTCGATGCCAAAGAGAGAAAGCTCTTCCTGAGATAGACGAGGTTGTCTCCTCCCTCGACGCTCGACGCCCGGCGGCTGTCGATGTGGGTTGTTGCGGACATCACGCGACGTCCGAGTGTGAAAGCCGCAGTATTTGTCGATGTCTTCCTGCGTGGTTTTCCAGCCGCTGAAGAAATTGACGAATGCTGTAATGTCAGTGAGGCGTTCTTGTTCGCGACGGGTGTGGTTGGGACGGTCGGACGTTCTGATCTGGAGGATGGCGTTTAGGATTTCTTCGCGCTCCTTTGTGGTGCGTGGTTGGGAGGCGCGGGATACATCTAGGATGTCTTCTCGCTCCTTGCTGGTGGTTTGTGGTTGTTGAGCTCGAGCTATCAGGGCGTCGAGATTCGGTGGTGATGGTTTTGGTTTGTCGTCGTTGGGAGACTTCTGACTCGTTGCCATCATCGGAATCAGTTGCGGATATACTAGTGGTGGATTGTGGTTCAAGTCGACCGGCCATTCTCATTGCTTCCTCATGTGCCTCTTTGCCGAATTGTGCTTGGAAGGCTATCAATTCATCGGCATCGCTTACGGATAGTGTGGGTCTGTTCTCGTCGTAGACTTCCCCAGTAAGTTTCTTCTTGAGTATTGCCTTCTGGCGCTTGTCTGCGGCCGTGACGCGTCGAGCTTTTTTGACCATAGGCATAGTAACTAAGGTATATACTACGTAGGTAGTATGTTCTGGATTAGGATGAAGCCCCTGCTCCTAGACAGCAGGTAGTAGTACCAGTATATGGAGGATGAAATGAAACCGCTACCTCCAGACAGTAACATACTTGTACCTCAATTATAGTGATCACCCTCATCGAGTTGCGCAAACCCATGGAATAATGCTTGCAATACATTCAGGACCTGACGTCGGGATGCGCGTGGGTGGTGTTTCATAATGTAAACAGATCAACATGCGCTGAGGGACGAGGCTGAACGCGTCTTGGGAAATAGCGGCAGATTCCATGCCTGTGGTGATGCGCAAGGGGAGTCTTGGAGAGTCTAAATAACTCTGGTGTTAACTTAACTTAGAGCACAGCGGGAGCAGATTCCTTGGTAGTCAACAAGGTCAATAAGCTTGTCTGAACACTTGATGCAGCCTCGTACGAGGAGTAGCGGAAGCGCCCATCATCGCCTATTATTCCAACACATATCTGACCTTTATTTAGGTAGAATTGGTGGCTTGAGGTCCGAGACAAGTGGCCCCCCCTCGCCCTCCACCAAGGGCCGAAGGGCCGGCCCATCTCCCCATCATTCCCCTGAAGCATGAATGCCATAGGCTCATTGGGCTTCCTTCAGCCTCAATGGCCCCCAAATCTTTCCACCGGTTGCACTTGATGTCTGGGAAGCTATCTGCGGGTGCCCAGGAGGCTGAGACGGGTTTACGAGGAGGCACCTGACCATGTGTCTGCCTTTTCAGCTCTTCACGACCATGTTTGTACCCTCGAGCATCGTCTGTCCTGGGGGACTAATGAGCACGAGCGCCGTCATTTTCGCCATCTAAGCCTACATCATCATGCCTGGCAACGCTACCACTACCACTACTCACCCGAGAAATGAGCTCTTCGATCTCGATAATGAGATTTCATTCGGTAGATGCGACGCAAGACTGAGGTTGTCAGGCACCGAGAACTTCATCGTGCGGTTCAATAGTGACGGAGCAAATTGCGCGGTCGATGTCAAAGAGGACGAGGCTTTGAAGTGGCTACAGCGGGAGAATCGTGCTGATCATCAAGCCGTATGGCTGAATTTCTGGGCGTCGTCGTTGCAGAAACGCACCATCACAGCAGTCGCAAAGAAGTATGGCCTATCGCCACGATTGACAGGGCTACTATTCCCTGCGACGGCCAGTGCACCCTCGACAACAGGCAACGCCTCGACAGGGACTATTTCAAATGGAGCTGTAGCTACACCCGGCACCACGAAAGACTCCCACTTGACCGACCTCGAAAAAGGTGCAACTCGGCCTATGCGAACACCACAGCCGGACTCGGCCGGATCAGCCAGCTCGAATCGTATGAACTTTGGCAACGTCGTCACTGATCTGTGGCATTTCTGTTCGGTCGATTTCGGCCGCCATTACATCTACGTCGGCTACAATGCCCTGTTGCCCGGAGCCGAAAACACCCACAAGAGCAAACCATCTGGACAACGGATCTGGACGTCCTTACTTCTCTGTGATGACGGTACCATCATCTCGGTCTTTGAGCGGCCTACCATGCCAACGCCAGAAGCGCTTGAACGGACGCGGTTCAACGTGCTCAACGTGTTCAAGCATCTATCCTCGTTACATGACCAGGATGACGCGCAGGATGCCTTGATGAAGGTCCGAGTACGGTGGAACGAGCACTCAGCCAAATCCCGAACGGGCTATTCGGAGACCGAAGCAGCAAGCCTCTTGTTCTACTACCTCTTTGACGACTGGCTATCAACGTATAGGCTTATCGCCCGCCAAGAACATCCCTACCGAAAGAATCTGGAGAAACTGAGGGAGCAGATGTTGGAAGCGGCAGATGTGTCTCTGATCCAGCAGGTGCATGATGTTGGACGACAGTTGACTGTTCTCAAATTGATGTACCAGGGTTATGAGCTGATCGTGTCTCGCTTACTGCATCGCCAACGGGCCGTAACGCAAGCGGAGATCATGTCCATGTCCCCTGCAGATCCTAGACGCTTCCATACCGTCCAGACGTATCATGAGACGCCTGCATCACAGTTGGACCAGAGCCATCTCACGATCCTCGACGAGGACTCCAGTCTAAGCGTCAAGTTGAGCTTGTCGGCAGTCGTTCGGTTTGAAAGATTGCTTGACCGTATCAGGTTATACGCGCTGACGGAGATCGAGGAGTGCTTAAAGGAGAAAGAATCACTGGTGTTCATGGTAAGTTTCTTTCGGGCCAGTCTCCGGCCAATTTTGCTGACGCACTTCAGAACTTCAATTTGGTCACCCTGAAAGAGTCTCAAGCGGTCGAAAGGCTCACTCGAACGACAATACTGCTGGCCAAGGCGACCATTCTATTTCTTCCAATCAGTCTGATGACGGCATATTTTTCCATCCAGGTTGGAGATATCGCAAAGATATATAGCCTGAAGACATATTGGCTGTGTTTCTTGGTTGTTTCCGTTCTGTCGATTGCCTTCTTGGGGGCATTTGGATTCTACACCCACACTGTCGAGGGCAAGACTATTTACAGGTCGGTCACGAGGATGATCCTGGATGTTTTCAAGGGGAAACGGAAAAGGCAATGAAATGTCTTGATTACTACGTAGTATCACGAGTCAGTTGATTTCGACCAAGGCGCCATCTCGCGTTTGGACTTGTCCCATTTATACACATCACCTTCACCGACATTGTATCGGTAATAGTTCTCGGTGCCGGCGGGTATCATTGCTCGCCGCAGGGTAATGTTGATCCGCCCTTTGTCAGCTTCGCCGCCTTTCCGCTTGGGGATGCTGTGAAGCCAGTTCGATTGGGTTTGGCCACGCATCAGGATCATGTCGCCACTGGCCAACTGTATCTTGATGTCTTTGGTCTCGAGTTTAGGCTCACCTTCTTTGGGGGGTTTATGCTTCATCAGAAAGTCACGCTTCGCGCCCAGTGTGAAGGAGGCAATGGCCGGATCCGTGCCGAGAAAGCGCTCGTCGTCGCTGTGGAACGAGATGCTGTCGCTTCCCGAGGCGTAATAGTTGACTAAGCAGAAATTGAACTTGGTATTGGTGTTCGCTTCGGTCACTCGGCGCAGAAAGTCAAGGCATTCGGGGATGGGCCGCGGATTGCATTTATATTTATCCTTGCGAACGGTTTTGGACGGGTCAGATGCCTCAACGATCCTGGCCCCGTCGTCCACGAAGCGGCTTGTCGCGTCAATGCCGAAGACGCTGGTGAAGCGCGGGGTGTTGATGAGAGTTTCCTTGCCGAAGCGCTTGATGGTGTACTTGACGCGATAGAAGAAGAGCTCGGCGCGGAGAAACTCAAAGATTTCGCGCTCGATGGCTTTAGGGATGAAAGGCTGGAAGTATAGCAGGTCGAGATGCGGTTGATCTTTGATCTCTTTGCCTTGCGCTGTCACGAGAAGTTCGATTTCATCAGCTATGTGCTCTGGAAAATGGACTATGGGCCAAGGATATGTCGCATGGTTGGTTCTCTTGGTTGGTGCAGATACAGCTGTGGCAATGGGAGAGCTGTCGACCCGGGGCTTTTTGGGGCTTGGTGCCCGGATGAAGAAGGTGTCGAGAGTGCGTTTGGACATCTTCGAGGCGGCAAGGATGTCGACGGCAAGGCTAATGACAACGAGAGTATTTCAAACACTACCTGTTACCACAGTATTGTTGTACTCATAGTACTACTGTCTTGCTGTGTGCCTCTGTACTGACGGTACTTTGGGCTGATGTCTTGACGTCACTATTTGGTGTCGATTCAAGCTTCGACGCGTCAACGCGTTCGTGACGCGGTGACCAAAAGGGCAATTCTGCCGGTGAGCACGATGCACAGCACCTAGGTGCACAGTACTCCGTCCTCTCAAGCATGTACCATGTCGGGCGCGTGGTGGTGAAGCCTCCTTTTCCACGGCAGTTCCTTATCGTGCACGGTTGTGCTAACTCCTAGAGACACCATGGAATATTCCCGATGACGCTGCAGGACCATGTTCTCTCTGGGATGACAACGTTGACCAAGTAGCAGGTGAAGCCTCGAGCGACGGTTTCAGGACAGGTGACCGTGTACCACATCGATCCTCTTTGACACTCTGAACGACGTAACGCGAACATGTGCCCGAGCTGTGGACACAAGGCTTCTGGGCTTGCCACCATGATCTCCACCGTCAGAGCCATGGGACAGCGCACAGGGAGCTTGGACACCCACGATGCCCCTCGAGAACCCCGATCTTGTCCGTCTCCTCCAAAGAGCCGTTAGAGGCAGTTCTGTTAAAGGTGTCGATAACACTACGCTTTCTGAGACAACTTGGATCCATTGTACAGCAACGATCTGCACCGCTTGGGATCAGCGTCTCTATCCGCATGGGAACATGTGCATGTGCCGGGACTAGCAAGCAACGGATCAGACAATCATTGGAGTGAACACGGCGGCCTAAATCACTCATGGCCAGGCAATGAGCAAAAACCCACTGAGTACCCCTCAATTGGAACTCGACGGCTTCACATCTGCAAGAGCTAGACAGCAGGAGACATTTTCACCCTTTCAAGGCACATTACTGGTGGTCAGAGCGACGTGTCGGGTTTTTGCAACGCGTAAATCATGGGACGGACGGTCCTCATTCGAGTGCAGCAGAACAAATGCCGCTCAAGCTAGCTAGTCATGGCTCATCAACCTGCAGACGATCGACGCGCCAGACACGAATGCGCTGAAAGCACTGGACGACTTGAACGAAGCTACCCTCTTGAGAACGCCAGTATATTCCCGTTGCTACTGTTGCAAGAGCCAGTCAATTCCTCAGACACTGAAGATTGGAGATGTTTCTCTTAGTACATTGCTATCAGAGCAATGGTATGCAAGGTAATTAAATACACCAACCAGCACACTACTCTACACGCAGAGTATTCCATCTAAGGCACTGATCGGGCATGGTCTAGGTACCTAAGGTGAGGGTCGCCTCGAGTTCGGAGCGACTGACCAAGTCCAGTTTACTGCGACATCATCCGACGCTGACTCTACGTGTTGGATTGCACTCTACATCGATTGTGGTAGACATTTCCGGTTACGCCCAGTCTATCAAGTGACATTCAACCAATCACGCTGTCACGACATTTCCTCCTGGCTGCAGATCAACTATCTTCCCATCTTGGACATAAACCTCTTCCCAGCCAATGATGATTTGTGAATTTGCCGGGTCGGCGAACTTCAACTCGTCGGGGAAGACGACTTCCGAATAATACGGATCCTTTTGGGCTTCGTCAAAGCATGACATATTAGGCATCAGCAGCTCAACAAACCCGTCCCACTCGGCTATGGTGGCCTGGGCAAGACCGGGAATTGATTTGGCCTGATCCCGCACCGAGGATGGGGTGTGATACTGAGGGATCGTGTCAGCACCGGGTGGATGGGTCGTAGGCGCGTACACTACTGACCTGAGTATATTTCATGATGCCATGTCGGGTCAGCCAATCCTGGACTTGTGGGACATGCTTCGTTGTCCAGTACGAGTGGAATTCTTCTTCCGATAAAGCCGGGTTACGTTTGACCAGGATGGTGAATCGGACGAGACGCCGCTTGGTCGCCATGTTGTTGAGATGTGTCGATCTTGGGAAGCCAGAATGCGAACGACCGAGAACATGATGAACTGTTTGGACGACCGTGGACGCCGCCAGGGTCTAATGTATCTCCGTCCATCTGTCCAGTGAGATAATTTAGTGGGTGCCGGCTATACGAGACCCGACCCAAGCGAGACGACTAACTACTCAGACCTCGTGCATTGGGGTTTCGGAGAGCCTAGTGAGCTTGGGTGGGGCTACGCGCATGTCCTGACATCTGTCAAATTCCCAGCAAACGGCACGGATTCTTCAGTCATTGTTGGGCACCGTGCAGGGGGGTTGGGCTTCGTGTCTTTGTATAGAGGCGGTGAAGCAACGTTTGTAACTTTGCAGACACGTCACCGGACCACCACGTTGGATCCAAGGTATGCCAGGGAGCCACAGTCACACAACGCCGGGACGGCGCGCATTACTCGAATGTCATGCTTCTCCGGTAGGTCACTTTAAGAGTGTTTCGATGCATGTCCTGCCAATGGCATGGAGGAAAAGCATGGGTGACGGGGTGTCCCCAGAGTGCAAAAGCCGGTAAGAAAGTGGTTAGACTTACCGTTCGATCGAGCTAATTTTCTGGGTATGATTGGACACAGATTTACGACCGAGCCTCTCCGCCGGTACTTGATGCGCTGTCAACGCATGCTCGACCGTAACTTTGTTGATGGGCTCCACACACATTCTTCATGTTCATGCAGGAGGACGCATGCACGAGCCTACCAAACGTAATGAGACAGAGCAAAGATAAGAGTACCGTCTCTCTGCTGGAAATTTGCCGACGTTGAGCTTCGAACTGAATACTCCACCAACCGACAGTGCTAGGTCCAAACCATGTGCAGCTACGTACGTCTGCCGAAACCAGATGCTCATCTGAGCATTCCTCTGTGGACGTTTGACAAAATGTACCCGTCTATGAGGAATGCCCTGGCACACTGGAAAGGTAGGAGCCTAAATCTTCATAGGAACCGTTGAACTCTGCCATAGCATGGCGCGGGAGGTGCGAACCTTTTCTCCCAAGTACGCACAGTCACCGCCGATGGGATACTGGATGCTTCGCGCTGATTTGCGGAGGGGGAAACGCTGACATTTGACCGGCCTGGGAATTGACAGCTTGGTAGAGGGGCGATTCAATCCAGAATGTTGCACTGCACCACATGTTTCTGCCACGATTCGCCGATCAGCTTCTAGATGGATTGGCTCAAGCAACTATGCTGCAGCTTACCAATTCGGATCGATGAGCAGACATCGCGCGCATCGCGATCCAAGTAAGTACCGATATGTCTCCGTACTGTAGGCATAAGAATGCCGCCGTCACCTCTGGCACACACAATCGCATTCGCTCTCTCAAGCTCTAGGCTGGGGCAGATTGGTATGCTCCAGACCGCATCTTGACATTCATTCTTCCAACACAAATCTGAAGCTTGAGGGCAAACATGGCGGACTCAACAATGCCTCAGTTTCCTTCGCCCAACAGCGGCTCGTCCAACATGCCAATTGCTGTTGTTGGCATAGGCTGCCGTTTCTCTGACACTGCTACTGACCCGGAGAAGTTCTGGGAGCTGCTGGCAGAGGGCAGAAGCACCAGTCAACCTGTACCCAAGGACAGATTCGACGCGGAGGCCTACTACCACCCTGACTACGACCATGCCGGTACATGTGTTACCACGAGGGGCCATTTCATGCAGCAAGACGTCTCCAAATTCGACGCTCCCTTCTTCTCCATCACAGCCAACGAAGCCAAGTCGATGGACCCTCAGCAGAGGATGGCACTTGAGGTTGCTTATGAAGCATTTGAGAATGGTCAGTATCCCTGCCCTCATTCCCCAGGGCGTCAGCTCACATTCGCTGCACAGCTGGAATGCGTATCGAGGACTTGACCGGCTCAAATACCTCGGTGTACATGGGTACTTGTACCCAAGACTACTATGACCTGCTGCTCAAGGATTCCGAGCCCACCACCATGCATTCCGTGACTGGCATCAGCAAGTCGCTCTTGGCTTGCCGCTTGTCCTGGTTCTTTGATCTCAGAGGTCCGGCCTTGACCATCGACACAGCCTGTTCCTCAGCCCTGTGTGGCGTACACCTTGCTTGCCAAAGCTTGCGTACGGGTGAAAGCCAAACAGCCCTGGTTGCGGGGACCAACCTGATCTTCGCCATCGACACCATGGTCTCTATGTCGGCTATCCATGCTCTCAGCCCGGATGGACAATGCTACAGTTATGATCACAAAGCCAACGGGTATGCCAGGGGGGATGGTATCGCTGCTTTGGTCCTCAAGCCCCTCGAGACAGCTCTCAAGGATGGCGATGTTATTCGTGGGGTTATTCGTGGCTCGGCTATCAATCAAGATGGTGGTGCTTCGGGTATTACCCTTCCCATCGCTGCCGCCCAGGTCGACCTCGTCAACACGGCATATGCCAATGCAGGTCTTCCACTAGATCAGACCGCTTACTTCGAAGGCCATGGAACTGGCACAGTCGCTGGCGACCTACAAGAGACCACTGCCATGGCGAAGACCATTGGTCGAGTCCGATCCAAAGAAACTCCCCTCTACATCGGATCGTCCAAGACAAACATTGGGCATATCGAAGGCGCAAGTGGTCTTGCAGGCCTGATCAAGGTCATTTACTCTTTGGAGCACGGCATGATCGCTCCCAACGTCAAATTTGAGCGCCCGCCTCCTTCGATGAACTTTGATGAGTGGAACCTCAAGGTAGCAACAGAGTTGACGCCATGGCCGCTCGAAGGTGTACGCCGTGCCAGTGTCAATGGCTTCGGCTTTGGTGGAACAAATGCCCATGTGATTGTCGATGATGCTTACCATTTCTTGAAGGAGCATAACCTCAAGGGCAGACACAACTGCATCGTTACCGATCCTGGTAGCTCACCGAACTCCCCTACCGACTCAGGGGTTGGTACTATGGCTTCAAGCATAGAGCAGCTCTCAGACCCTTTCGAGGGCAGCTTCAAGAACAAGTACGCTGGCCTAAACACTCAGCCCCGGCTTCTCGCATGGTCGTCTGGCGAAAAGAAAGGCCTGGAAAGGACGCTGGCTCAACTGTCAGACTATGTCGGCCAGAAAGCAGCTCATGGCTACACCTCTGAAATCGTGGACAGGCTGGGCCTCACGCTTGCTACGCGAAGAAGTGTCTTCCCATGGAGGACATTCTCGATCGTGTCATCTTTGCACGATGCTGCCACTCAGTTGACTGATGCATTGGCCACCCCCATTCGAGCCAAGCAATCTACAGACATGGCTTTCATCTTCACCGGCCAAGGTGCTCAGTGGCATGCCATGGGCCGAGAGTTGCTCTCCTACAAGGTCTTCTATGACAGCCTTACAACCTCGGACGAGGTATTGCAATCGTTGGGCTGTACCTGGTCACTCTTCAAGGAACTTATCAAGAGCAAGGAAGACTCAAGAATCGACGAGACAGAACTTAGTCAGGCTTGCTGTACGGCTCTTCAACTGGCTTTGATCGATCTTTTACGCTCATGGGAGGTTCTGCCAAAAACAGTCATCGGTCACTCGAGCGGAGAAATTGCAGCAGCATATGCAAAGGGTGCCATCAGCCGTACATACGCCATGAAAGCAGCTTACTATCGTGGTGTGTACGCCAATAAGTTGAAAGAGGTATCTCCAGACTTGAAGCTGGGTATGCTTGCTGTTGGCGTTGGCGAGGGCCAGATCAAGCCTTACCTTGAACCGGTCAAGGACAAAGTCACTATTGCTTGCTACAACAGCCCTTCGAGCTTGACATTATCCGGTGAAGTCAGCAGTCTCGACCAAGTCGAGGAGGCGCTGAAAACTGATGCTATTTTCGCTCGCAAATTGAAGGTGAACGTCGCGTATCACTCGACGTACCTCAAGACGATCTCCGACGATTACCTGGCTGCCTTGGGCGAGGAGAAGCCCCTCACAAACAGCGATGACATCAAGATGGTGTCGACAGTAACAGGTCTTCCTGTTGAGAGCTCCAGCCTTCAGACATCATACTGGGCCAGCAATTTGTTGTCTCCTGTCAAATTCGACCAAGGCATGCAGAAGCTCTTGAAAGACGGATCTGCGGACTTGCTGGTTGAAATTGGACCACATGGTGCACTCCAGGGACCTGTCAAGCAAATATTATCAGCTGCCAATCTAGAACTTCCTGCCATGTCTTTGCTGGATAGGAAGCGTGATGCTGCCGTCTCCACGGTGGAAGCCATGGGCCGACTCTGGCAGTATGGAGTTGACATCAACGTGCCTTCCGTCAACAGCCTCCATGGCATACAAACCGGCACACCTACTCCTTTGGTCGATCTTCCACCGTATGCTTGGAACCACGAGAACAACTACTGGTGCGAATCCGCAATATCGCGAGATGTACGCTTCCGACACGAGAAGCGACATCATCTCCTGGGATACCTCATCCCAGGCGCCGTGCCAAACGAGCCCTTGTGGAGAAATCTGCTCCGGATCTCCGAGAGTCCATGGCTGCAGCACCACAAGATTCAGGGCACGATTCTATATCCTGCAGCTGGCCTTATTGTCATGGGAATTCAAGCAATGTGGGAATTTGCTGGCTTCCCCCAAGACATTGCTGGCTTTGAGCTTCGGGATGTCAAGATTGAAAGAGGTCTGGTCGTACCAGCCGATGACTCTGGCGTTGAGACCAGTCTGCAACTGAAGCCACTCAAGGTCGGAACGGCCTCGAACGAGGTTGTCTGGCATGAGTTTACTCTGTACTCGAGGACCAACAGCGACATCTGGCAGGAGCATTGCGCAGGTTTGATCCGCCTCAAGCCTAAGCAGCAAGCCAATGCACTCTTCAACGACGAAGATGCCGCTGAGATGAAGCGCATGAAAGAACGACATGCGGAGATCAAGTCCAGATGCACCAAGTCTGAATATCCACGGCAGTTCTACGAGGCTCTGTCGACAATGGGATACCAGTACGGCAGTGTCTTCCGAGGCTTGAGTGAGATCAAGTACGGCTACATGGAGAGCAGTTGCGTGTGTACGGTGCCAGACACCAAGGCCACCATGCCGTTCAACTTTGAGCTGCCACACATTGTGCATCCAGCATTCCTCGACAGCATCTTCCACATGCTCCTGCCATCGCTTATGCCAGAGGGTATGCACATGAGCGCTGTGGGAGTGCCGACTCATTTTGAATACCTGTATGTCGCCGCAGACATCAGCAAGAATCCAGGAGACGACGTTATCGGCTACTCCGAAGCTATTCCTCCTCTGAGTCGAGAGACTCATGGCAACCTCGTCGTCATGGATGCTGACCTCACCAAGCCAGTCGTTGTCATCGAGAACCTCACCTGCACGGCTGTGGCTTCAGCCGGTAACGAACAGGATGCGACCCGCCAACTTGGCAGCAAGCTCGTATGGAAGCCCGATGTCAACGAACTCGGACAGACAATGGCGCCGGCTGAGCTCGACACCATCACCACCCGACTTCTTGTCGAATACCCAGCTGTCGCAGAAGAGCTCGAATTTGCTGGTCTCACCTATGCGAAGCGTATTCTGAATGCTATCACTCCAGAGCAGGCCAAGTCGTTGAAGCCACACCACCAACTCTTCTATCAGTACTGTCAGCACAACTTTGAGCTTGCTGCGCAGGGCAATCTGCCACATCAAGGCGGAGCTCTTGACTGGATGAACCCGTCCCCTGAGATGGAGAAGGAGATTCTGGCTCGTGTCTCACAGGCCACGAATGATGGCCGTCTGCTGTGCCACCAAGGCGAACATCTCGTCGACATCCTTCTTGGCAAAACAGAGCCTCTGGAAATCATGATGCAAGACAACCTCCTCGATGCTTACCACGGACACCATCTAGGCTGGGAGATTGCCCATCATCAAATGGCGGAGTATCTTGACCTACTGGCGCACAAGAACCCGGATCTCAATGTCCTCGAAATAGGCGCTGGGACCGGTGGTACGACACTTCCCATCCTGCAGAAGCTCGGTGGTGAGAATGGGGAATCACCACGTATGCGCTCTTACTGCTACACTGATATCACCACCGGCTTCTTCGAGGCAGCTGCAGAGAAGTTCGCGCCTTGGGTTTCGTACATGCAATTCCAGAAGCTGGATGTCGAGCAAGATCCCACCGAGCAGGGATACGAAGCCGGCTCTTACGACGTGGTCATTGCCTCCAACGTTCTTCATGCGACCAAATCCATGGATGAAACCATTGCTCACGTCACTACTCTGCTCAAGCCAGGCGGCAAGCTGATTTTATACGAAATCACTAATCCCCTTCAGAGAGTCTGCATGATCTTTGGCTCACTGCCTGGATGGTTTGCTGGCGCAGATGAAGGAAGACGACTTTCGCCCTGCTTGACTGAGAAGCAGTGGACGGATTTGCTTCAGCGCCACAGTTTCTCCGGCATCGATGTGTCTGCCCGCAGCATGCCTAACGACAAGGACTATATGCAGAGCTTCATGGCATCGACCAAGAAGACCGAAGAAATGAAGACAGAGTTGCCAGCAGATGTCGTCATCATTCAACCTGAGAACGCCGAGGTGAACAAGGGTTTGAACGAGAAGTTGACCCAGGCTTTGCAAGCCGTCGGCGTCCAAGCTACCTGTCAGACCATGGCGGATGCTTTGGCTGCAGGAGTGAACAAGAAATTCTGCATCGTCACATTGGAGGCAGAATCTCCATGGCTCATTGATGTCGATGCCAAGTCGTTCGACAACCTGCAAGACCTGATTGTGCGATCTAGGCGACTCCTGTGGCTCACCCGCGGCGCAACAGATGGACAAGAACCAGGATCGAGCCTTATCACTGGCCTTGCTCGAGCTATCCGAGCCGAGAATCCCGGACTGGTGCTGGCGACCTTGGACCTTGATCCTCGGTGGCACTGTGACGAGCAGGCGAATATCGAATCTATCATGAGAGTCTTTGAGCTTTCCTGCGAGGAGAAGGAAGAAGCGGACCCAGACTGGGAGTACGCTCTTCGTCATGCTGCGCTCGAGATTCCAAGATACACGCCAGACGCTCCGACCGATGCTATGCTCCAAGCGATGACAACTCAACGTCAGCCGGTGCCTGGACCATTGAAACAAGGGGAGCGTTCATTGAAACTTGAGATTGGCGCACCAGGTATGCTCAGCTCTCTCAGATTTGTCTCGGATGAAAAGTTGGTCGAGCCACTTGCGGATGATGAGGTCGAGATCGAGGTCAAAGCCACTGGTCTCACACCGAGAGATGTGCTGATTGCCACCGGTCAAGCACCGCTTGATGAAGTCGGATCTGAATGTGCCGGGATTGTGACCAAGGTCGGCAGTGCGGTTACAAAGGTCAAGCTTGGAGACAAAGTTGTCACCTGGCAGCGGCATGAAGGCTGCTTGAGGACTCATCTGCGGAACAGCGAATCTTGTGTTCTTGTCATTCCAGAGGGCTTGACGTTCGAGGATGCTGCGTCAGTACCGATGGCTTTTGCGACAGCATGGTATGCCTTGAGTTTGCGAGCACGGCTGGCCAAAGGCCAACGGGTGCTCATCCACAATGCAGCCAGCGCTGTTGGCCAGGCGTCAATCATGGTCGCTGAGCATCTTGCTGGAGAAGTTCTCGCCACCGTCTCGACCGCCGAGGAAAAAGCTGTCGTTGAAAAATACAACGTCAAGCCCGAGAACATTCTCAATGTCGCTGACGCAGAATTCGTCAAGGGCGTCAAGCGTCTCACCAATGGCAAGGGTGTCGATGTGGTTCTGAACTCCCTCACCGGCGAAGCTCTTCGCCAAACGTGGCATTGCGTGGCTCCGTTCGGATACTTCATCGAGCTCGGACAGCAGGATATCCTTGGCAACACAGGCCTGGATATGGGCCCCTTCAAGCACAATGTGACGTTTATTGGTGTCAACTTGCAGGAGCTGTGCCGCAGCAATGAACAGCTTGCCGCTTCACTGTTTTGTGAGGTCTGGGAACTCTTGAGCCTGGGACAGATCAAGCCACCTCAAGGTTTGTCGACATTCAAGTACTCGCAGATGGAGGAGGCGTTCAATGCAATGCAGGCGTCGAACATTGGCAAGGTCGTTGCGACCGTCGAGGATGAAGATGAGGTTTTGGTAAGTTGACCCTTGTCAACATGTGAATTGATGCTAATGTGTGGCAGATCGTGCCTCCTGGTATTCAGGCATTGAACTTTGACCCGAAAGCTAGCTACGTGCTCGCTGGCGGCTCTGGCGGTATTGGACCGCTGATCGCCGCCTGGATGGCTGACCATGGGGCGAAGAACCTCATCGTCCTGTCTCGTTCTGGGATCCAGAGACCTGACGCCAAGGAGGTGTACGACGCTCTTGGTGTTCGTGGCGTCGCTGTCAAAGATGTCAAATGTGATATCACCGACCCTTCTGCCGTGGCTGCGGCAGTTGAAGAATACCAGAAGACGATGCCGCCAGTCAAGGGCGTCATCATGGGCGCCGTCAAGTTGGAAGATTCGGTGTTTGACAACATGACTTATGCCAACTGGAAGAACTGCCTTGATCCGAAGGTCAAGGGTACTTGGAATCTGCATGAGGCTATGCCGAAGGATATGGACTTTTTTGTGTGCTTGTCGTCCATTGGAGGGTCCGTGGGTAACCGTGGTCAGGGCAATCACGCTGCTGGTAAGTCCTCTCGAACAATTATTCTCGCCGCGATTGGGGGATACTAATGATGTCGACAGAGAGTACATACCAAGACGCCCTGATGGAGCATCGCCGCAATTTGGGCATGGCAGGATGCAGCATCGACATCGGCACGATCCTGGGCGTAGGCTGGATCGCCGAGAACATCGAAGCCGCAGCCATGGCATACCTGCGGTCCATCCAGTATCTCGGCATGCGGTTCGATGAGCTCTTGCTGCTCATCCAGGCGGCTATCACCGGCTACACGATGGAAGGTCACAAGACACCTACAGTGCTCGCAGCTGGTCTAGGCACAGGTGGATTGGTCCTGCAACACGATGTGGACCCGCCGTTCTGGTTCGACGACGCCAAGTTCCGACATCTCCGGATGGTCGGGACGCACTCGAACGACGCTGGCGGCGACCAGGATGGAGGCAGCGTGCCTGTCTCGGCACAGCTCAAGGCTGCGACGTCGCTCAACGAAGCCGGCGAGCTTGTGACGATGGCGATTACGAACAGATTGGCGAAGCAACTGCTCATGTCGCCGGATGACTTGGACTCGATGAAGCCGATCAGCAGATTGGGTGTGGACAGCTTGATTGCCGTCGAGTTACGGAACTGGATCTTCCGAGAAGTCGGCGCAGATGTGGGCATGTTTGAAATCCTGTCCGAGGAGCCCATGTGTAATCTTGCGGTCAAGATTGCAGGAATGTCGAAGTTCTTGCCCAAGAGCTTGAGCGAGGGAGGTCAGGATGATGGCAAGGATAATGCATTCGAGGTTAAGGGGGCGATCACGTCGAGTCACTTCCCGGATTTGACGCAGGGAGTTGTTGTATAGGTCTGCGTCGATATGGACATGGAGAGTACGATGGTCAAGTAAATGACTCACGAGGCAATGATTGGTTTTCTTTTGGTTGATATGGGATGGTTCGAACGTTGACGATTTTATGTAGCGATTTTCCACAAGATGCAACAGTACTACAGATTGAAATTGAAAGTGAAATTGACATAGCTTGGACACACGAGACTAAAGAGTTGAACCATTGTCTTTCATACCCTTTCTCCAAAACCTGGCATCACTGTTACGTTGCATGCTTGAATGCTGGCTCGCTGAAGTTGAAATACTAGTACGTCCGGTCGAAGACTTCGTTCAGAGTCCATCAACCTCGAAGAGATGTGTCGATCCAACGGCCTAGACTTTCATCTGGCCGCTTCGAAGTCATTGCTGGTCTAAGTGAGCAACCAGGCCGTCGCCAGGACAGCATATGGAATAGCCATGATTGCATGATCCGTACTCTTGGACCCCGCGAAGTCCGCGGCACTTCTTGACAAACCGGGCCCGTGCGAGAACTCGGACAGGACCCACGAGTCTCCCAGTCTGACAATGGTGCCGGCCAACATGGTGATGCCGATGACCTTCCTCACCGCCGTAGCTGCTGCAGGAGAGGAAGTGGCGACATATGAGAATTGCAGGTAGCGCAAGATGCCCAGGCCGGCAAGACCGGTAGCTAGATTGTAAACGCCGCGGACTTTGATATATGCCAGTTCGACGGGCCTTGGTGGATCGGACTCTGTTTGCCTGTGTTATTGGTGCCGGTGCCGGCTAACGTTGAGAGCATATGGAGCAGTGTTTAGTACCTAGCAGTATGCCGAGGATTATGGCATCTTTGTCGGGTTCTGCGAGATTGACGAAGCCGGTGCAAAAGGCGAGTGATTGGAAGACGCTGGTCAGGATGGTGAGGGCTCGATGGGGCGGTATGAGGCTGAGATCTGGATCTGGATCTGAATATCGACTTGGGTTCGGCATCTCTGCGATAGTTTACCTAGGTAGGTTTCTGGATAGTCGGAATAATAGAGGGAGAACGTCAAGAGATTGGGAAAGCGAGAGAGGTCAATCTTTCGACGAAGTATGGGGGAGTTGAGTTACTACGTAGTAACTTCGTATTTTGTCCTTTTTGGGCGGGTTGGGCATCAGGAACACGGCAAGCTACGACGTGACTGGGCGTCACTGCATCGTCCCCGATTCGTGTGCAATTCGCTATCAATATACCTCCACGCAGTGTTTGCTCGATCGGGGCAGGGAACATGGTTGCAGGCGCCAGAGACCGCAGGGAGGTTGGGATCGAAGCTCAGGAAGTGGCCAATGCCGGGATGTGTTGTGCTGGTTGAAACCGGTGAGTGTCGAGCTGGGGACAAGGTGACAGGGACAGGGGGGCACGCCGATCCAGCGGGAGGAATACGAGTACGGGTCGCTCAGCCCGCAAGCCTGTGCAAACATGAAGCAGCATACATCACGACAGTCTACGGGAGCAAGGTCAATGGATATTGGACATTCGAGGACGTACTGAGTATAGTTGCAGATCCAGATATAGATCTCAGACAAGTGTCGAGAGAAGTATTGTATATTCATCTAAGCCTTATTCAATCGCTTTAACCCGGCAACCATCTTGGCTAGCAAGGACAAGGGTAACCTCCTGTTTTTCGGTACCCACAGCGATCCCTGTGTCTCGAGGATCCAGTTCCAGTGTTCGGAACTTCTGCACTATCCGCACAGTGACATACCCAGCTTCAAGCAAAGCAAAATCCTCTTGAACCGGGTCAGCGATGTGTGCGAACAATGGCTTGCGTCTAAGGAAGACTTACGCCCCAAGCAGAGTCTAGGACCCCCACCGAAGGGTAGGTAGCCCCAGCAAATGTTCCTGAGATCCACGGCATTGTCCACGTCTGGGTCCCAGCGATCAGGACGGAAAGAATCAGCGTCCTCGCCATAAAGTCTCTTCAGCCGATGCATCGCGTGAATGGAAAACCCTACAGCCTCCCCCTTTCTGACCATCAAATGCTCAGAGCCATCAGGTCCGCCGCCCCTTGGGATTGTAGTCGTCCATGACGCAGTTCGGGAGTTGATTGGCACAGAGGGGTAAAGTCGAAGCACTAGAGGAAGGTCAGATGATCATTTACGCCCATCAACAGAGTATGGGTGTGATACCTTCTTTCAAGACCAGGTTGAGGTACTTCATCCTCTTCAGGGTGTTCCTGTTAGGTAAAGTGGAGTCCTTACCCACACCCACGGTAGAAGCGATCTCCTGTCGTAGCTTTCCCAGAACATCCGGGTGTTGAGCGAGGAGCCGACTGTCGCACCAATTAGTAAGGAGGCCAGAACTGACTTGTAAAGCACTCTGTGACATACAAAGTCCATGCCAAACAGCATGCCGTTGTATCTCTGCCGGCAAGCATGACATTCAAAAGCTGATCTCGCAAGACTCTGGGATCACGTGTATCCTTGATGAGAGCATCCAAGAAGCTATGCACCTCGGCAGGTTTGCCGTCCTCGTGTGTGGCTGTGAGGGCCTCATGTACCGCTTCGTCAATAAACTTATGCACAACCGAACAATGTCCTCGAAACTCTTTGTTGTCGACCGTCCAATACAGACCCCCTCGACGTCCACGACGGAAGAGGAAATCTTGAGATCTTCGAAATGCCTCCGCAAATTCAGCTTCTCGAGCACTTCCTGCATCTTGTCTTGACTTAGCCTGTAACGAGTTCACTGACTTGCCGAAAAGCAGAAATGTTGTTGTGTCAAATGTGAATTGGAAAAAGAGAGGCTGTAGGTCGACAAACTTGTCCATTGGTATGCAGCTCACCAAATGTTCCGTGTGCTCTTCTACCTGGGTGAAGATGTTGGTACGGTTGAGTGAGAACAAAGGCCGCAACAGGTTGCGAGAGTGCCTCCATTGTGCAGAATCTTGGGTAAAGATTCCGTCTCCCAGAAGAGGTGCAAAGACCGGCCGGCGGGCACCAAGGTTGTATGCTGTCACTGTGTATCAGATAACAAATTTCTCCAAGCTTTTCTGCGTTCGGCATCCGTCGCCGTTCTGAACAACCTACCTGAGAAGTTGGTGGACAAGATGGACTCAATGTTCTCCGGCTCAATGGTGTCGATGCTCTTGGAGCCCAGAATCGTCTTCTCAAAAGTTGGTCCTGTTTCCGTAAAGACTCGAACAAACCATTGCAAGATCTGCTTCTCTTCAAACATGCGGAAAGCTTCTATGACTGTGTCTAGTGCGAGAGGCCATCTGTACCGGAGTGGGCGTGGACTGCCACAGCGATGGCTCTGCTGGAAGAGTATCTCAGCCTTTTAAACATGTCAGTTACAGACAGAATCTTCAATGCCGCAACCTACACGCTTTGTATTCGCACTTCGTTTGTAAAAGTAAAGCACTAGAGCTGTCAGGGCGGAAACGAGTATCACGCTGGAATATGTATTCCCTCCCACATAGGCGGGGCCCTCTGCTTTCTGGATGCCGAAATTGCCGGGCGATCGCAGCGACATTGCCTTGGTTTTGGTTTTAGAGTCGCGTATGGCAGGGAACAGAACAAGACGTGTTTTTCAGTGCTCGGAGTACCCAAGATGTTTTGTGATCCCAGAGCCTCAAAAGATCGTTGTGGAGTTCCCCGTCCACACTCGCTGGAACCTTGAAGCAAGGACTACTCCGAACGGTCGGTGACGAGGACGTGACTAACGTTAGCGCCAGCACAAGGCGCGTGGAGTAGGCTCCCTGCCATCAGGTTTGTGTCGTTAAGCGCCCCGCTCCGACCGAAACAGCAGCGTCCCACCTAGGATAACCAGACGCCCAGCTTGAGTGCTATATTCTAGCTTCCTAGACCAGGGCGAGGGCGCGGGCGCTTGAAGGCCAGATTAGCTCGCATCATAAATACGGTTCAGGTCTGATCGTGTGTCAGAAAAGCGAGCAAAAGTCCGAGTCATTGGCCTTCACTGCTCCGCCCCCAATAGTTGACCTCGTTGGCCCCCCCC